CCGCCCCGCCAGCGGCCTCAGCAAGAGGAGGGGCACATTCAGAGGCCCACCGCCCAGTTTCTACGCGCACGGGGGCAAGGACACAACCTCCTCCTCTTCCTCTTCCTCGTCTGCACACTTCAGCGCGGCAGAAAACACCCCTCCAAATTTCAACCCGCACCCCGTCCACTCCACCCAGACACACGAAGATGTGCGCCGCCAATCGCGCCGCGAAGCCGCCATGGCGGCGGCCCAGAGGGAGATGGAGGACGACGCCGGGTTCTGGGTCCGGTTCGTGATCGTGACGGGGCTCTTGATCGGCGGGGTGAGCGTTGCGGGGGTGTTTTTGGGGGTCGGCGGGTTCGTCCGTGGGGAAGGGGGGGTTGACGAGGGGGGATGGAAGTCGGCGTGATCGTGATCGTGATGGCGGTGGGGTGGGGGGAATGAGTGGGCTAAAGGGGGATAAGGACCATGGTGCTGGCGCAGCTCCTCGCTGGGGGATTAGGGGTATCAGGAGTTGAACAGGATCTGTGAGTGATGGAGGGAATAAATGCATTTAAGATGGACAGGCGTGTACAGTATCCAAAAAGGAAAGGGATTGAGGCCTGCTGTCGCATTCTGCCAGACCAGGACCCACAGGCTAGAAGAGACCCAAACAGATAAACAGAAAAGCCATGAAGAAGCTCCGCTTGTCCAGATCGAGACAGCGCAAAGATGAAAACCAAGATGAATCAGCTCCACGAAACGGAAGACCTTGTTACATAAGGTTTAATTATAAAAAAATCTGCATTAAAATTCCGCTTGACCAGGCTCGACTAGAGCGTAATCACATGGTCTTCTACCAGACTCGGAAATGTACAATACAAAGGTTTTCTCTGCGGTCCCCCAGCGAATCACGCAAGTGGCGCTGATGTGTCTCTTCCACGTCTTCGAACTGTCCGTGGCGCTTGTCCATCTATCGACTGACACAGCCTAGCCCTCTATCTTCGATGACTCTACCCCTCAAAAGTGAAAGACGCGCCGACCTTGTGAGCCGCCTGGCTGAGGTTCTGGGTATCAAACGAAGCGCCGAGACCTAGAGTGACGCCGGTGCTGAGTTTGACGTTGTATGCGAGTGCTGCGATACCGCGATCGTTGATCTTGGCCTATTGTTTCAACCGCGTTAGCAGCTGTGCTTGCTAGGGAACGATGATGTTTCTCCTGTGCTCACCTTCGCGAAAGAGCTGGGATCAAGCTTGTACTTGCTAGCAATTTCAAGGCCGACATTGTTACCAGCCTTGGAATCCCAAGTTGCCTTGGCACCGGCTTCTACCTCGCTGTTGACTGCGTGGTAGTAGCTCGCCGAGAAGACGCTGAGATTGTTGGTGGCCTGGATAGTGGCAGCGTATTGTCTCAGACTGTATCCAATTGCGGCAGAGTACTTGGTCACGGCTGCTTTTTGCACGTCGTAGCCCGCCTCGGCACCCACGAGAAATCCTTCATGGCCGAGAACGGCGTCAATGTTGGCGGTGGGACCTTTAAAGAGATCGAAGAAGGTGCGGAAGTGGAGGTTGGGCTGCTTGTAGTAGAGGTTCACCTTTCCGCCGTACGCTTGTTTGGCTGGGAGGTAGTTGGAAAGGACTTCGGCTTTGAGACCCTTGGCGAGTTGATCTTCGAGTTCGACTTTGGTGTCGAGGGAGTTGGAGGTTGTCCATGATTGGGTGAGAGTGAGGCCTGCATGTGGAGGAAGGAGGATGATCAGCAAGCTGCAGACTCAACATTCGCTGCGTTGACAGCGCAATCACGACGTAAGCTGGATAGAGAATATGGTAGATATCATACGGGGTTGGATAGGTTGACAAAGATCCTGGCGCAAGAAATGACAAGTAGACACGTACCAGTAGCCTTGTCTTGATATTTTCCTTCAAGCTGATCATAGTACTTAGTACGTCTTGCTCCAACAGTGAACGGGCCCATCCGGGGTAGAATGGTGCTCACCGAGCCCGAGATCGGTCCTTCGTGCGCAGATTTGCCCTTGACGTTGAAGGTAACACCATTGGGGGCTTTCGACTTGACCTCGAGGTTCGCTGTAGCAAGCAGTCAGCAAGCAGCTTGAATAAAATGGCCGAGGCATCAATCCACCTGCTGTGGTGTGATAGAAATCTTTGTTCAGGATCTGTTAATGTCCGCATCAGCAAGCTGGTCTGCACAGCTCCTCATCCGCGGTGCCGCCGAGAGCGCGGAACATACATCGTTGGCAGGCTTGCCGATATCGCTAAATGCAACAGGAACAGACATTGTGAGGACAAAAGGGGAGGCTCGAACTGGAAGTGGCTAAGAGAAGAACGTGAAGCTGAACTGCGGGTAAAATTTGTTGTTGAGGTAGACAAGAGCTTGGGCCGGGAGAGGATAAATCGGAAGATCGGGGAGCTTGCTGTGGGCCAATCAAAGCCGCGCGTGTCAAAGAGCTCTACAGTGGTACTCGTATGCAATAGGAGTCGGGTTTCGAACAATAAATCAATAAATTAATTAAATTGCACCTTCTCCTGCTTCACCAAGATAGAAATCGACTCCTAACGAATTGTAAAGAGAGAGCTCGAAGCAAGGCACTCTACATAAGTAGTGTTTCGGCAGACAATTAAGTATTCCGTGTGGCCCATTACCCTGCTACTCCTTCGACCGCACAGTATTTAGGTCATGCACGACCGGTGTCGTTGCATGTATCATCTATTCACTTCTTCCTCAACAGGGATGTTCTGTGCTCCTGTCAGGTTTCGATGAGTCTATCTACATGAGGAGTCATTTTTTATGTACTAATGGCCATGTGCAGGCAAGAAGCCCAACAGGTCAATACGTCGCGAATACCCAATCGCAAGCTGACAAGGAAGGCAATAGATCAATCCTTGCCCTCATACTTGGCAACATGAGTGGTAATGGCTCTGTTCGACTGGTTAGCGGCTTATGTCTTTGAATCCCGAGATGTGCATACCTTCCACTTGGGTCGGTCTGCTTGGACCATGTAGGCGTCCATCGCACTACGGTCGACGCACAGTATGGAGGGAAGTGCTGGTCGAATATTGTGCGGTACCAGTACCTGTGGACATCAGCACAACTTCAGTGTTAAAAAAATTGCCTCGCCTACGCTTCTTTGCTGTCTGGAATATCATCCCCCCATTCTGGTTTCGGAGTCTTCATCATCTCGTCAGTCACATTGATTTCTGCCTGTTCTTTCAAGGCATCGATCCAGCCATAGCCAACGCCATCGCTGAATTGTTCTTTCTGTCTCCACAATATTTTGTCTGGAAGGTAGGGCTTAACATCCGGCTCGTCTGTTGTGTCAAACGCTTTCCGCAGTATGTACTTCTCTATTCTGTCTTTGGTGATCATCTTCTCCTGAGGGTCAATATTCATTGCCACTTCCAAGAATTGTTTGTCCAAAAAGGGTACTCGTGCCTCTAAACCCCATGCTGAGGTGGATTTGTTGGCCCTGAGGCAATCAGACGTATGTAAGAACTTGACCCTTCTAACTGTCTCCTTGTGGAACTCCTCTTTATTCGGGGCAGCATGGAAGTATAGGTAACCGCCGAAGATTTCGTCACTGCCTTCTCCGCTCAGCACCATCTTCACTCCCATGGCCTTGATTTTGCGGCTCAGCAGGTACATCGGTGTCGAGGCGCGAACAGTGGTCACGTCGTATGACTCCAGATGATAGATGACATCTGACAACGCGTCCAGTCCATCATCAACGGTGAATGTGAAAGCATGATGCTTGGTTCCCAGGAAATCGGCGACCTCGATGGCAGCTTTCGTATCAGGCGCATTTGGCAAACCAATTGAGAATGAATGCAGTTGCGGCAGGAACGTAACAGTAGAGAGCTCGTTGTCATCATCGATACCAACCAGCTTTTCACTGTAATCTGGTGTCTTATATCCATTGCCGCGGTTTTGCATGAGAGCTCGTTGCCTTAGAGATTCTCGCTGTGCAATCGAAGCTGTCAGGCTCGAGTCCAACCCTCCCGACAGAAGGACTCCATAAGGGACTTCAGCCATCAGTCGCTTTAACACAGATCTTTCCAGTGTTTTTCTGATCAATTTATAATCCACTGGCGTTGAAGGCACCCTCATAGGATCCCACCAGGTAGGATCAAAATATCTCGTCATCGAATTTGTTTGGGAATCATATACGTGACCTGGTGGGAATGCTATAATCACGTCACATACAGGATGCAGGCACTTCAGCTCGGAAGCAAAGTAGACAGCTCCAGGCGTTTCACTCGACCGACCAAGGAAGAAGCTAGTGATTCCAACTGGATCTCTAGCGGCAACGGTACGATCTTGAGTCTTGTCGAACAAAACCCACGAAAACATTCCATCGAGGTACTGAGGAGCTTCGGTGCCATATTTCATATACTATTCCAATCAGCACCGAGCACACGAGACCCTCTTCGACCTACCAAGGGTATTATGACTTCACAGTCGGAGTTGGTTTTGTAGTTGTATGGCTCCTTTAGCTGTTTTCGCAGAATGCGGTGATTGTATATCTCCCCATTGACTGCAAGAGCTATGCTTCCATCCTCGTTGACGAGAGGTTGGGCACCCGACCCTAACACTACTCAGCTGCTGTTCTTATAGACTCGATAGCATACTGTACCAACACCCACGATGCTAAGACGTTCATGTGCAAGGACTAGAGTCGCAATTAGTACCACCCAAGCTGAAAGGTATGTTTGAACTGACTGGTCTTGTTTCCAATAAAATTTCCACCTGATCACAAATCAATCGCAAGTCTTCTTGAGCCATTCAACCGACTGAGCTTACTCCAGTCAGGTCCACGATGTCGGGCTCTGAGAGGAAATTAGCTATCGCGTGTACCAATGGACAAATTGGTTAGCATACGCTTTGGCCATGCGCAAAGCAGTTGGCTTAAACTTCTGCACATCAGGATGGCTAGACGTTGGTAAGTAGGCGAAATGGCCAGTAGATCGATGAAGAGACTGACTGGTGACACGCAAATATCCCGCACATATTGATGGTTCTTGTCACGCGACTGAATTGATACCAACAGAAAAGATGGAATTTCTAAAAATTTGTTCGGCACGGACAATCTTGGGAAATATTTTCTGACTCATGACCGTGCCATTGTGATAAGATAAGGAAAGATCAAGCTTGACTGCCCATTGCGGGTCTAGACAAGAGCTTTGTTTGAGAATCTACAACTTGTAGTAAAGAAAATGGGGTACAGCTTTCTGGAGGTTGATATGACACAAGCAATCAAACTTTTTCCCTGCTTGTTGTGTGTTGGTAAAAATATGCACGTGTACCTGATCAACACGAGTCATCTACAAGGATACCCCTCAATCTCCACTCCGCCAAAGAAATTGGAGTCCCGGGATGTGGCCAGTGGCAGTGTCACGTCCAACACAACCCCATAATGCTAAAGATCCTGATTTGACAAGCAAGTTGGAGAAAAGAAATACCTGAGTCGAAGCCGGCTTAGTTTGCTTCCATCGCGAAATAATATCTAAGCAAGAACGCCATCCCTACCAACGCCTCGCTCAAGTCTTGAGTATTAGGAGTTCCGTCAATCAGAGTTGGCTTTCATAAAACTCCAGCCCCAAGAAGAACACATGTAGGCGTGAATGTCACCTCTCCACAATATGCGAGCTGCATCACGGTGCTGGGTTTTCCTTGACAACGTTCCTGATCTTCTTCTCATAGGCAGGCTTATCCTTCTTGAATAGGTTGTAAGCGTCGGCTTGAGCAGGAGAATCCGGATTAGGGTCGTTGAGAAGATCTTGGATGCCGATTAATATGGACTTGATGGTGATTGCTGGCTTCCAACCTTCCTCTTCATTCAGGATCGACAAGCAAACAGTGCCGGATGGGTAGACGTTGGGATGGAATAGTGGAGGAACGAATTTGCCTGATAATACTGTCAGCCTACCATGAGAGATCAGATTTTGCACCTGTAAACTCACACTTTGGCGGCTTTGTAGGATATTCTGTCTCTTTCATCAGCATTCTTTCCAACAAGATGGAACATCCAGGCGCAAGACATACCATCAGGAAATGTGACATCTAGCTTGAACAATCCGCCAGCCCATATGGTATTCTCTTTGCCTGGGACTCCACAATCCCATTTCTTTAGGTCCACTACACCAGTCTTTGAATCGCGAACCGGTTTCGCATAGAAGCCGAACGGATGGTCTTTTCGCCACTGCTTTCTGCAAGATCCCCTATCAGCTATAATTGACCCACAGAGTGCGCATTCTACCTCTCTTCCTGCAATCGGTTTAAGGTCAACGACATCCTTTACAGAAGAATGAGGGCGGCTAGGAGAATGGTAATGGTTTCTTCGAATGCGGTTGAATAGCGGTTGAGTTGCGGTTAAGCTAGCTGTCTTTGAGGTGAGTTCTGAGGGCGCTCCGGACTTCTCTACTGCTTATTGGACTGATAGGCAAAGTTGTATTGAAGTGAATGTGGAAAGCGAAGTCTAAAGTAAGGGTGGGGGAAGAAAATGTTTGCCCAAGACCCAAACACGCCAAGATCCGGACTATCATTTACCAATGCGCCCTTTTGTCACAACAGGCTTTATCCTGTTCTGAGACCAGCCACAATACAAATAATATGATGTCAAAGATATGCGTTGTCATGAAGAACTTTCTTTCGTAAAATCTGCATGTTATGAGACATGTTTCAGTGGAGTAATTGCATCTAGGGAACGGAAGTCCCTTATAACTCTCAATCAGTAAGGTATCAGAGTCATAGCTTGTGCATTTGTCATGCCTCAAAATCTGCTCATCATTGGAGCGACTGGCCTAATTGGAAAATACATCACAAAAGAGATCATCGAGGCCAAGGGCTCCGTTGAACGCATTGTCATACTTACGTCAAAGGACACGACTCATAACAAAGCTTCAGAGATAAACGACCTTAAGCAGTCAGGAATTGAAGTCTTAGTAGGCGACATCACGAAGGAAGAGGATGTCAAGAACGCTTACCATGGTCTGACTTGTGTCTGTTCCCTGATTGATTGTCTAACATATGCCAGACATTGATACCGTCATCTCCTGTGTTGGACGGAATGTGATTGCACAACAGATTCCTTTGATACAATGGGCATCAGAAACCTCAGTGACACGCTTCTTCCCGAGCGAATATGGGACAGATATTGAGTATTCGCTGGAATCTGCATCAGAGAAGCCCCACCAGCAGAAACTGAAAGTCAGACGATACATGTCGACCGTGACGAATCTAGAGTGCACGTATCTTGTCACGGGGCCTTATTCAGACCTCTATTTTGCTGAGCCTCCCTTTGGTAGATTCGAGGCAGGAGGCTTCAATGTCAAAGAGAAGAAATGTTCTTTGCTGGGAGATGGAAAGGGCCGGATCAGCTTCACTGCTATGGCAGAGTATGATGATTCTCATGGACACCCTTGCCTGAAACTGACTTCCCATCCAGTGTCGGAAGACTCCTTGTCGCTGCTCTGCAGCACCCTGCAGCATCACGAAACAGAGTTCTGATCGTAAACTCATTCACGACAAGTCCAGATGACATCCTTGCTGAATTTGAGAAGCAGACAGGTACTAAATGGGAGGTACAGTATACTGGCTTAGAGAAGTTGAAAGAGATAGAGGAGCGGGCTTGGAGGAACCAAGATCCCTTGGCTACAGCTCTGACCTTAAGGAGAATATGGGCGGAAGGAGGCACGCTTTATGAGAAGCGGGACAATGAACTCATAGGTGATCCGCCAATGGAGACCATGACAGATCAGGTCCGGCAAGCAATTGAGAGATCCTAGTTCCATAGAGCCGAGTGCACATGGAAAAGTTACTGCGAGCGAGTTCCTGTAAGATTTACCCCTTCCTGTTACTGAATCACTCCATTCCTCCTAACGTTAAGGCGGCGATGCGAATGAATTTGGTTTTCGAGGCCTGTAATCAGTCATACCCATCCGAACCAGACATTTGCCCGCAGCAATAAGACGATAACATCCAGGCCACGCAGAGACCATGCTTTCATAATGATTCCTCCGGCATTTCATCGGGCGAAGGATGGTCCTGGAGGCAAAAGAGAGAATGGTGGGATTGGGGAAGAATCAGAAAGACTTTTAAGAGATCGTGGATCCTAATGAAGAAGAGGACCCGTATGATATCAACAACTTTTCCGAGGTCTCACATGGGTTTCCTGGCTTTGGATGTTGAATGGTCTGTCCAGCTGCGATTCACAAGAGTTGATATGGTGTCGTTGGATTGGGACGATGAATATCCTTCTCGCTCTTGGAAATGGCCATACGTGTGCCATGTTTTGAGACTTGCTTTGAGAAAGTACACGCTTGGTCATATAACCGCTGTTCTTTGGTTCTCCTTGATTTACTGAACTGCAAAGCGTTTCCCTCCGACCTGCCCGTCACTCCCTTGATCGACTGCATCTCCCAATCCCCCAGCACCCCCGCCACCCTCCAACATTTGTCCTGTAAAAGCGGCGCTCTTTTGCATATTTTCTAACACTGTCTGCCGACTCCATCTCGCCCACTCGTCATACGTCTTATTTTCAAGCTCTATACTCCTCTGGTTGATACTCGGTCCAAAGTCCGCACCGACTGCTTCCGCCTCTTCAGCAGCAACTCGCCTCTCGATCTCCTCACGCAGGCGGTGTGCGTAGAACTCCTTGCGTGCCATGTCGTAGGCTTGGCTTTCTTTTATGTCGGGCACATTGTGTAATAGATAGAGCTGTCGCTGCACCACAGATTCCCCATTCAATTGGGCATTGGGGGAGCGGACGTTGCGGCTGTAGTCGCGGTGGGTATAGTTATCGCCGCTTGTCTCGAGGACAACACGGGGTCGAGCCAACTCCCATGGATGATCGCTATAGAACTGTTTTCGGAGCTCGTCTTCTTCATAGCGAATTGGTACCGGCTGGAACACCTGGGAGGCTCTCTTCTTGCTGCGAGTGGGTTTTATGGTTGTCACTTCGGTACTTGTGCGCGCCGGGAGTTGTGAATCTGAGTTGGAAGGAGGTGAAATGGTCTTTTTGCGGATTTTGGTCAATGGATGCTGAATGGGCTGCTGACGGGTGAATATTTGAGCCGGTGGGATATCAGCTACTACATCCAACCAGATTGGTTTCATTCTGGTCCGTCCTGTCTCGAAATCGGCTATTGCCCGTCGCCTGACCCGGAGCGCAGCGAGATTGAGTCGGCCCATGATGCGCTTTTCGGGGCCGACAATCAACAGATTGGCTTCTAGATTTCAGTCGTGATAGCTTAAAAAGCGTATAGGACAGCTTTACAGCTTCATTTGGGCGCCAGCCACGGAGGTGAGATGATCGCCCCGCAGGATCCTGGTAAGCCGACTTCGTCGAAATCGAGGAGTTTTCCTTGATTCGTGTTGAAAATCTCCTTCGTTGTCGCGAGGTTCTTGTCTACAATTGCTAGCCCCGTTTCTCTAAACTCCGCATCACGAAAGCTGTCGAAAATCTTTCAGTCAATTGCAACCCTAACTGCAACACCAGAGTAGTACTTTGTGCCCTGCTTATCACTACAATATCACTGGTCCCCATGCCACAGGCTGCATAGCATCATGTCTCGCTATAGATGCCTCGATTCTCGCCTTGGGAACGGTCACGGAGCTACAGAGCCACTATCGCTTTGAGCGAAGCACCTTTGTTGACCTTTCTCCTACCTTGCCTGACTTCCACATCATCACCCCCCTGGAAGCATGCTTCTTCAAGCAGTAGCGTCTATCGCAGCCAACACCTTCCAGCCGCTGGTGAAGTTGAGCGGTACTTACTCTCCACCCTTACTCGCGCAGGATCATGCCAGTTGCCACACTGCCATGAATCACCCAAAATCCTACTTGCACACAAAGAAACCGGCGCCCTGCCTCAGCGTTTACAACGACGGTGGTTGTCCGCATTCCGCGCCCCCCAAAATCGGTCAGAGGTGGGATCGGCCCAATCGGTAACGCCTGCGAAATTAGACACTACTTCAAGCTCTGAGGGGGGAGCCTCTTCTTCACAGACAAAACATGATGACCAGCGATCAACTGATGCTCAGAATGAAGGGTCCTTTTTTAAGCCCTTCTACGAAGTGGTTGACCACGGGACTGGCCCAGTTGGACAAAAAGCTGATTCAACCGATAGCCAGAGCACAGAACGTAGAGCGAGGCTACAAGCGCAAATAGCTTCTCTGGTGAATGCGCGCGGCGATGTTGAGACCGATCGAGTGGCATACGACGAACTGCAGGAACTCATGGATTCAGAAACTTCTGACGACACACCTGCGAAAGCTGATCAGGATGATTCAATTGAGCCAACTGAACAAGAACTCGTAGAGCAGATTCACTACTTGAGAAATGTTCGGGAATTGGAGAGAAAACTAGAGAAGGCACGCCACAAATTGCACCTATCCATGCAAAGACGCGATCAGAAGCGCAGAAGGGCTTATTGGCAGGAAGAGGCATACCAGGATCAGCAACGAGTCGAAATGATGGATCTCACTGAGGTCGAAATGACACCTGCCTCTCGGCCAACTGTAAAGCTAAAAAAAGAGGATTTCCTTGGTCTTGTCGACTTATACTTTTACTCCCATCGAAGCAGGTTCTTGTCCGAGTCGCCCGATGCTTCACCAACACCTTTGCAGCTAGATGATTACAGCTTCAAAGTCTCGGAAGACTTTAGTCCGCCAACAAATGCAGAGTCTGATCTGGTTCGAGATGAAGAAGGCACTCCTGTCTCTCCGCTTCATCATGTAGAGATGGAGATAAAGATACGCAAAATGAACGAGATTAAAGTATTGCAGAAGCTCGTGGATCTGCTATTAGATGACTACTCGTCACTCGAGGACCTTTTTCGAGCTTACAAGGCGTTGCCACAGCCCGGTGTATCATATCTTCCTGGTGGTGTGATTCGGCTATTCCTTCAACGCATGTCTACGCCCTGGAGGAAGTCGGAGAGAGCCTTGCTTCGATACCTGTCGTTGTTAGATGATATGCAGCTTGCCAGGCTACCAATTACGGCATGGGAATGGTCTTCTGCTATCTATCTTGCAGGTCAGTCATTTAACAACGTGTCTAACTCTGACGTCTCTGCAGCTTTCCGTGTCTGGCGTCAGATGGAGAAGGATGCGGGAGTAGCAGCTCGCGCTGTGACTTTTAATATCCTGTTCGACATCGCTGTGAAGGCTGAAAAGTTTGTGCTTGCTGAGGAACTCCTGCGAGAGATGCACGATCGTGGCTTTCGGCTCAATCGCCTTGGCAGAGTCAGCCTGATATATTATTATGGTAAGAAAGGTGATGGAGATGGCGTCCGAAAGGCTTATCGCGATTTTGTCGAGGCTGGCGAAATAGTTGACACGCTTGTGTTGAATTGTGTGATGGCATCCTTGATCAATGCCCAAGAGCCTGCTGCAGCAGAACAGGTTTATGAGCGGATGAAGGGAATGCAAGAGCGCCTGCGAAGAGGCAAAAATGGCGACGGTGATGAAGCTCTTTTCCTGAAGTATCCACCTCCTGGTCCAGACAAAATTGGGAACGAGATGGCATCGAACGCCCTTGGTCGAGTACTCCTCAAGGCAAGCAGGCTGAGGACTGTTCTACCGGATCATCACGATGACCTACAGAGCAGGATGCCTCTAACTCCTGATGCAATTACTTATCGAGTCCTGATGTCTCACCATGCAAGGACATCTGGGAACGTCGATCGTCTCACTGTGCTTCTGGACGACATGACTCGGCAATTCCGGATTCCCATCACAGAAATGACCTTCCAGTTACTCTTCAGAGGCTTTGCCATGCACGGTGGCTCTGATCGTAGCGATGCCAAATGGACACAACAACGACTGCACATCGCTTGGGCGGCTTGTGTCGTCTGCATGAATGCAGGCAAAGCAAGGGAAACTGGCACAAGTCAGAAGCCGTCCCGCCTTGATCTGCTAAGCGTCAAGGACGCAGAGGCAATAGCTGCAGATGAAGAAAAGCGTGCCATTGAGGAAGCGTCTAAACGACCTAAACCGCGAAGACCAACCGCCTGGCATACGTTCATAAAGCAGTTCGCAAGCCCTTACCCCGAGACAAAGCCGTTCGACCTGTACTCGACAATTATCAACGCATCTGAGCCCGAAGGCGAGAACGAAGCCGGTAGTGGTGAAGAATACCGTCTACCTAGAGTAGATCTCACACCCAGAATTGCTCCTGCTGAGGAAACGGCAGATCCAAATTCCATTCAGCCAACCAAACATTTGGTCTTATGGGCTATCCGGGCCTTCACACGATGTACGGCCAGCAGGTCCGTGCTTGAAGATGTCTGGTATCAGATCCAACGAATCTGGCGACCTTCGGATGTAAATGAGCAAGCTGTTGCTATACGTGAGATTCGTCGGGCTCTCAGGTATTGCGATACCCACGGCAAAGAGTAGACATGTACATTTATAAGCAAGACTAGTATCATTCTACGAGGTAGTACGATCTGGAATATTAACCTGCCGAGTTTAATTCTGCTGATACACGATTGGCGATGGGGCTGCAAGTCCTCACATTCAATCCCTAGTATGCTGACCTAGAAGCCTGTTCCATGGCTTTTAGTATCTCATAGACTCCGAAAGATTACACGTTAAGAACTAGATGTGTAGTTGCCATGTTGAGTAATTTATATACCGCCCAATGTAGCGGCTGAGGGGAGCAATAGTAGCAGTGCCTTGTTCTCTTTCCAACTTCTCCACCAAGAGGTTCAACCAAGTGCGGATTATAGATTCGCGGTCCAAGTCGTTGCGAGTTCATCCATCGCTCATGGAAGGTTGAGGTGCAAGGAACAACCTCATCTTACATGCTTGATTGAGGCGGAGGCAAGAGCTATTTTTTCATGCGTGATCGAGGCGCAAGGAACGTGGTTTTTGCACACTTGGGTGAGCGCATCTTCAGCTTCTACGATCCCCAAAAATATGGCTTCTCACCGCACCACTTCCAGCATGACCTTCTGTGCTGCCTTCGTGCTGGTGCCGACAGAGGACTCAAAGGCAGTGGGAGTGCTCGTCCGAGGTATCTGACCACAAGATCCGAGTTCTCGGACGGAAGATAGTGGTGACCACGGTTGATTGCACAAGTTTTCAAGCAATTCGTGCTCATTGATGCAGGATCCTAATCAGAATCCGCACTGCCACTCAGGTTGGAAAGATTTCATAGTCTACACGAACGGGTAGCGACATACCTAAATTTCATCCACCTTGCAAAATTCAGAGCGGGACTATACAAGGATGAAGTTCGAGATGTCAGTACTTGAATTGAGTTAGGAACTAACTAGACAGGTTATGATTCCGCATAAGCAGATTAAAGGTGCTTCGTGTATCCACCTTCGAGCCCAAGTCTAATTTTCCACAATCTGAGACCTGTGCGAATGTTTAACCTGCTTCTAATGCTTCGTCCAAATTGTCACGTATTGTCCTTGAATATATGGGCAGATTGACTGCTGCTTGGCGTCTAATGTCTCTATTTACGTACGCTATTCAAGTTTGTTCCGAACTGCCACTCCGAGATGTTTTGTTCCCAGGGGTCGCTAGTCACGCTTAAACATCCCAACCACCACTTAGATGATATACAAACTTGACCTTAGAATAGACACTGAATGAATCTCTTAGTAGCGGCTACTTCGCTCTGGCGCCTAATTTCGTCGATGAAGGTGAGAAATGGGAGCAGATTCAATACATTTTGTGCTGCCAAGGGGCTAAAAGTGAGTTTCGGGAGGTCCAATTTCTCCTTCCACCGACCTGCCCGATTCGGTTAGTGTAAGCTCCTGAAACGTAGTACTACGTAGTATGTTCTCTTTCTTGAGTTGACCTCCTAAGTCCTTCGGTCCTAGAGCGGCCTCCTATCCAGAAACACCGTCAAGCTTCGCCAGACCCTGTAAGAAGCATTATAGACTGCTTCATCCTGCCAATAGGTGTGGTGGACACTCTGGACGCAGTAACGAGCATAGCATTGGATGAGACCAACCAGTCTCGCGCATCATCAAGTCCGGGCCTATTGATTGATGTCAACCACGGCGGCACAAATGCACTTGACCAAGTGACTATGAAATTGAGCTAACGGCACGATGCGTTAAGAGCTATTTAGCCCTGTCACCGACTTTCATGCAGGTACCAAACCCCCCAAGTACCGACTAACTGCCTTGTCAGTCTAGAAATCTCCTGACCTTGATATCACACGCCAGACCAGCCAATTACAAGCGGGCCGCGAACGCGATGTCCTATTTGTCATGTCAAACCAAGTCATCTTTTCTCCCAAGGACCTAATCCTGCAGGAGAAGACATGCCGAGCATCCGTGGTTCGGCAGAGATGCATGATGTGCCCTTCATGAAGTAGACTTCCCTTTCCTTCCGTTGCCTGTTCCTTTCCTTACTTCGTCAATCTCGTTGCAAGCTTTCATCTTGCGTCCAGTCTTTCATACTTGCGCGTTTGCTTTGGGCATTGCCCGTCCATTCTTTCGTCATCACTAGTTCTTTATATCAATAATGCATTCATTCTTTTACGCTGCCAGCGTACTGGTGTCTACATTCGCTTTCGCAAATGCTCACGGCTTTGACGCCTCTTCGAATACCAATGTTGCTATGTACTGGGTACGTCAAGAGTCGTACTTCCACTTACCATTGCTTTCGTTAATCCTGGTTTACAGGGTCAAGGAAGCGATCAAAAACCCCTTCGCTATTTCTGTGACGAAGAATCCATCGATATTATCCCCATTGGCTTCGTGAACGTCTTCCCAGACCAGAAAGGGGCAAACGGGTATCCTGGAACCAATTTTGGAAATGCATGTGGTGGCAGCTATTACAAAAGCCCAGATGGCAAGGAGACTCGCTTATTGGAATCCTGCCCATTGATCGGACGTGATATCAAGTATTGCCAAGCCCAGGGCAAGAAAATCTTGTTGTCCCTCGGAGGTGGCTCGCCCGATGTCTATCTCGCCAGCGATTCATCGGCGAAGGATATGGCAGATTTTATTTGGGCCGCATTTGGACCAGCGAAGGAAGACTGGGAAGGCCCACGTCCTTTTGGTGATGCTGGCGTCGATGGTTTTGACTTTGATATTGAATCAGAGGCCGACAAAATTGTTGGGCCTGTCGACTTTGGGTACGCCACCATGGTTGACCGCCTCCGCCATTTATATGACCAAGAGGAGGCGACCTATTACATATCCGCTTCTCCTCAATGCATCATTCCTGACTCCCACCTGTCTGACGCTATATCAAAGTCGATCTTTGATTTCATGTAAGCATGACACGCCTACTCTCTGGTTGTGATGATGCTAATTCTACAGATTCGTGCAATTCTACAACACTCCCTCGTGCTCCGCTCGTGCCGGCATTGATCATTCGTATGGTGCATATGGAGGGCCAGCTACTGATATCTCTTACGACTCATGGGTAGATCATGTAAAGACAAACTCTGCCAACAAAGAAGCAAAAATCTACATGGGACTCGCAGCCGCCGCGCCGGCAACCTTTGGAGAGATGTATCTGTCTCCTGAGGAGGCGGTGCAATTGGTTGAGAAATTCCAAAGCAAGTGGCCAACAATGTTTGGTGGTGTCATGCTTTGGGAAGCAACGTTCTCAGAGAACAATCAGTACAAAGGAATGAGCTATGGCAAGCACATTAAGAAGGGCTTGGAGAGCTGCTCATGTGCCAGCAAACCATCGAGCATCTCGACTGTGGTTACAAGCTCGACTGTGTCCTCAACAGCTGCTCCAACTGTCTCCGCTTCAAGTGCCACTATCTCAACCTCATCTTCAGCAGAATATCCAACCTCAAACACCTCGGACTACCCAACTTCCAGCTCTACAGATTACATCACCTCAAGTTCCGAAGCATATCCCACCTCGAGCTCCGAAGGATATCCAACGTCTAGCTCAGCCTACCACCCCACCTCAAATTCAACTACCTCGCTTAGCTCTCAAATTTCGCCCAGCTCGTCGCCCCTGGAGAGCTCGTCTACTACGTCCTTCACTACGACCTACAACAACTTGACCCTGTCGAGCACAACCACAGCTTCTGCAACTGCTTCCCCTTCAAGCTGCGGCGTCCAGGGATATGATAAGTCGCCCGCTTACAACTTCCTGAATGATACCATTTCTGCCAACTTTGAGAAGTGCTCCGCTAGGTGTATTGCCGATGTGGCGTGCGTGAGTTTCGGCTTTGGAACCACTCAGTGCCTCCTATATACTCAGACTGTGTAAGCATTCGATCCTTATGGTCTATTGGACTACCTCGTACTAACCCCGACCAGTGCCTCTAATGTCAATGAAAACTCAAACAGCCCCTTCACGTTCTATGACAAAATTTGTGGAACCCCTTCTACTAGTTCTTCTAGCATGTTATCAACCACCTCCTCAGTGGTTTCTTCATCCCGGACAAGCTCCGCAAACATGACTACTAGCAGCTACGAGTCGCATTCCACCGTCTTCGAGACGATATCTTCGAGAGTTAATGCATCCTCTCAGACAAACTCACATTTATCGACTTCCAGCCTGATGACGGAATCCTTATCGGGTTCTGTGCCTTATCCAACAGGCCCCAAGAACATCACCTCTTCTGGATATGCTTACTCTACCGGATCGAAGGACAGCACCTCTGAGCATGACTCAACTCCTACCAGCTCTGAGACGATCGTGTCATCATATATCGTCTCTACAAGCAGCACTTCTGAGGAACATCCAATAATCACCTCTACTCCCACGTACAGGTCTTCTGAGATTCCTGATGAGGACTCAGATACTGTCACCAGTTACGTCGATGTGACCGTTACTAGCTGTCCACCAGATGTGACAGCCTGCCCCCCGAAACCCAACGGGAGCTCGCCACCAGTACTAACCTCTTCCAGCTCGCCTGTCTATCCAGACAGTTCTTCGTCGTCGACACCAAGTGTGCTTACTGCAAGTACTGCTTCTTCAATTTCCAGCGGTCTATCTTACCCGTTAAGCAGCGAAGCAGCTACTCGGAGCAGTGGAGCTTCTGGCAGCTCTCCTCCGTTTCTGTCGAGTACGGTTACTGGTCCAGCTGGCTCGTATTCATCCAGCGTCCCATCTTATCCAATGACTAGTGGCGTGCCTCCCCAGAGTAGCAAAGCTCCAGAAGGCTATACTACTATCATCACTACGCACTACATCGGTATTTGTTCAACTGGCTACACTACAATCCCCTATACTACCACCGTTGTAATACCCTCTGGCTCGGATTTTGCCCATGCACCTACATCGGAAGTGCCTGCTGGTTTCACCACTACAGTGGCAGTTTGTCCCGCATGCAACTCTGCATCACCGACTGTTACTTTGACCATTCCAGTTATTTCTGTCATGCCCATTCCCGTTAAAACAGATTCACCGTCGGCAGGCTCTCCACCAGCAGCCTATTCGTCGACAGTCTCTCAATCAGCGGGTTCTCCTGCTGCAGGTTCAGCTTCAGTAGGATCTCCATCAGCAAGCTACTCATCCGTAGCCTACCCATCAGCAGGCTCCCCTCCAGCAAGTTCCTCACCAGCGGGCTACCTATCCGTAGGATCTGCCTCTGCTGGTCTTTCATCAACAGGTTCCCTGGCCGGAGGTTCTAGCCCTGCAGGGTTCGCTCCTTCTGCTCCGGCTCCACAGATTTCATCTGCTGTTCCCACTGGCTACGCTGCGTCTCATCCCGCATCACCAAAGTCGTCGTCTACTGCTCCCGTCACAGATCTGGCACCGAAGCCGAGTGCGCAAAGCCCAGCCCACTCTGGGGCTGCTCCCACAACAGCGACACCACCATACAGTGCAGGTAACTCGACCACTGGCTTCAAAACTGCACCAGCCTCGGCGGGCAATTCTAGAACGACCGGTGCGAGCACTACACTGGAGCGGCAAGCACAGCCAGCGAGGTCTCTTTTGTTGCTGTTGTCATTGCGGCAATCTGGGCTGGCTTGTTGATTGTATGATGCATGACGGTTTGGGACAGGCCTGAGGTCGTGAGGCGCTTTGGTGTAATGTAGTATTTAGTATTCTTCAATACATATGTTGGACCCCATGTATTCATTCATATAATGAAAATTTCAAGTCAGCTGTGAACAATGACCATCAAGGCGCTTCCGTAGTTTGGTTCCAATTGATGAGCAGAGTGGTCGCCGTGAGAAAGAATTGGAACCGGATTGACTTGGAACGCTAAGTATTCTGTGCTTTACAGCGGAGATCATCACTACACCTGACACGTGCTCATTGTGATCCTCTTGTCAGCTACATCAATACCTTGAAGCAAGAAATCATGACGACCAAGAAGCTTCAGAAAGAGTTTCAGGCCCAGCTGGCCGGCATGGACAAAGAGACAGAGGGGTGAGCGGATCCTGAGCTAGAATTCTGTTGTCGTGCATGACGGGAATTTCATGTATGAGAAACGGTGGCTGGAAAGAGGGGCCTATGTCCGCTCCGCTGCCGTTACAATCGCCAATGCATGGTCGCAAGTACAGAGTACATGCAGGTGCGGAAAGAACTCGGTAGGGTGATTCAGGACCAGGAGCAGGTCTTATTTTGAGGGTAGTTAGGTGGCAGCCTCGATGGCCCATAGGAGGGGGATAAGCGGAGACAGAAGTCCAGTGGGAATTGGCAACAGTTGCAGCAGAGTCAATTGCTCACCAAGATCTTTCAGTACTGGCCGAAAAGACGTTGTACCCTCCATGATCTATGTCGAGTACTGGTAGTACTACTAGCAGTGTTGTAGTACTCTGCAAATGTCTGGAAAATCTACTAACCTAGTTAGGTAGTACGTAAACCACGGTCTTGGCATCACATGCGTCGTCATGCCACCACCACCACCTGGAGGCCCCTTCAATGCATCCACAAGCTCACAACGATAGTCAATGAACATGTTTGCTCTCATCCCAATGGGGATACGTTTGGGAACTCGATTCCTTGCTAGCTGATCCCTGCTCCCTGATCCCTGCTCCCAATAGTACCCGTATGGACAAAACTGGCAGGGTCTGCTGTTGCCGTTGCCATGGCAACTCCCAGCAGCCGAAGACAACAAGGATCTGAACCAGCATCTGAACCAGCATCTGAACCAACATCTGAACCAGCATCTGCGCGCAAGCGGAAGCGGACATCAGGTCATTGACTCATTGGTACTAACCACAAGTCGTCAGCAGTTCGCGGCTGATTGTGCTGCCTCGCCAATTGTACCGAGCACCAATGGGCATTTGTCCTGCCGTGCTGCTCTGCATGAAAGGCGTAACTAGCCCAGCCCCTCCTGAAGTGGCTGGTCCCAACCTTCTCGTGTGTGTTGACAGGCCGTCTTGACTGCATACACGTTTGCACTGGCCCCTTCTGCGACCTTATCTGCGATTGTTCCCTCGCTTCTCCCCCGCTCTCTGCTCATACGACCGTACAGCGCTTAATGGGAACTCCGATTCAGCATTCATGGACCATACCCAAGGGACGAACTGTCTCCCATCAATGATTCCAGCGCCCACCTACCTCAGCGCCCTTCGGGAGGCTGCGTTCCTCCGGTACTCAGCTTGAATCGCAATTGCACCTACTCTACTTGCCGACAATGATATCGCCGCTCAGTCTCCCCGTCGGCTTTTTGCTGCTGCTTACGGTTCGCACATTCGCAGACTTTCCTTACAACCCGACTCGCATCTACGTTACGAATAATGGCTCTACGGCATACATCTTCTCCTCTCAACCTTCTACGTCGCAGGCCGACCTTCAATTTCTGAACACATCAGACTTCATAGATGCTTCGAGCCCTTCGCTACGCACCTTGACAGGGAGCCTTCCCTTTTCAAACCCGTCTTCTTGGAGATCCATCACGCCTTTACTCAACGCTAATGAATTGAACGTGCTGGTAGGAGATTGTGATGATGAAGGAACAGAGACGGAACTGTGGCATTATACACCAGGTGAAGGAGAAAGTGCTGGAACGTGGGACAAGCGTTCGCTATCGTCAACAGATTCTACCCTTAACTCCGGTTTCCTGTCCGCCGGATTCTCCTTCTCGCCTATAGCATCTCTCAATAATGCATCCTTCTACGTCTTCGGAGGCATGTGCCCGAATGACACCTCTACAGCGGAGACCTGGACCTCAAATGCCAGATATCTCAATGACATGCTCAGCATATCGCCCACCGCACCTGCGATTGCTTCATATCCCAATTCGGCCTACCAATCCTCTATCCTACCACTACGTGGTCCGCCAGTCCCCGAAGCTGGATTGACCATTACTCCACTTACACCAACATTCTCGAATTCGTCTACAACAAGCGTCTCTCAGCAACAAAATTTCGTTCTTATCGGAGGGCACACCCAGCAAGCATTCATCAACATGTCCCAGGTCGCCATCTTTTCGCTCCCACAAGAAAGCTGGTCGTTCAAAGAGATAAAGCACCCCGAGTCTGGGGAGACAGACTTGGTAAGGAGATCGAATAGACCAGAAATAGAACCTCGATCCGGTCATACGGCTGTGATTACACGAGACGGCAGTAAAATCATCGTCTTTGGTGGATGGGTGGGAGACGTCTCCACGCCAGCCGAGCCGCAACTCGCAATTCTGGAAATAGGCCAAGGCTACGGCGGAGTTGGTGAGTGGAAATGGACAACCCCGTCGACTTCTGACAATCCGATGGACGGTGGACGAGGTATCTATGGTCACGCCGCGGCAATGTTGGAGGGCGATGTGATGCTGGTCTACGGCGGGTACAGCATATCTGCCAGCCCTAGGAAGGTTCGTCGACAAAACCTGCAAGCTTCAAACAATCAGATGTTTCTCTTCAATACAACTTCCTCATCTTTCATCAGCACGTACACCAGGCCGACTGCATCGCAACTTTCCACCTCCGTCAAGGATAACTCCAGCACCGGCGCTCTACACACAACTTCGCAAAAAGTGGGCCTGGGCGCTGGACTGGTATTGGGATTTGCTGCACTTGCCGGCATTGTCACAGTGTACATCGTCTACTCACGACGTCTGCGGCAGAGACGATCTGCTCGTGAAAAAGAGTTGCGCGAGCTTGCGCTTGGGGCAGAGCGCTATTACTCTGGCGACCTCATTGGTGCAGGTGTAGATGTCCGAGGTGGACCTTACCCCGAGATGCGCAGCGCAAGCTGGGGCAGTCGTCAGGAAAAAAGAATCTCAAGCCCAGGCGATAGCTTTCCTTGGGCACCTGCAGCACCTGCAGGCCAAGGTCAACATAGCGAGAACGGAAGGTATGGGAATGGCGAAAGAGAGGCGGAGAGGACTGGTTTATTAGTCGAGATTCCTAGCCCAACCCGCGGGTTGAGAAGATCACTTCATTCTAAGGGCCCGACGACTTACAACCCCAGCGTTGGCGTTCCGGTTAATTCAGCCTATGGTACCTCCCCAACAACCGGCGAAATTCACACAATAACGGAGCAGGATGAAGATTCCGAGGCGTCAGGCTCGGGCAGACGATCCAGATCGTCCAAGAACAAGGGAGGCGGCATCCGGCCTATCAGTGACCCCTTCAGAGACCCACCACCGCAACTGACACGGAGCCAAAGCGAACTCGATCGCCTCCGCCGGGAACGCGAAGTCAAGGGCTGGGTAGACGATTGGGAAGCCGCAGGGACAGCGATGGAATCTGGAAGGCCAGTCCAACGCTCATCCTCCACAAAGCATGACCAAAGCAACACCAACACCAACACATCCCGAAGCAGAAGTCCGGAGAAATCAGACCGCACGAACAGCAACCTATCGGAACGAAGCACCGTGTCTTCGGGTAGCATCCAGCGCAGTGTCTTCGGCTCAATATCACGGAATAGGAGCATGCGAAGTTCGAGCACTGGATACACGCTCTTCGCCAACGCGGCGGCTGCTATGACGGGTCGAGCTACATTGGTCCATCATCCCGGTCCGAGTCCGAATCCGTCATCCTCTACAGAGGGAAATCATGGTGCCGGTGTGGCGAGGAGAGCTTCCTCGAAACGGAGTGCCAGTCTCAATTTCAATAGCGGGGCTTCGACCAGATATAGACCTGGTACTGGTGGTAGCGGTCAGAGTCCACGGGAGAGAAGCGACACATTTCTACCGCGCATACCGAGTTTGGACCTGTGCAGCCGGGGGAAAGTGACGCGCTGCTTTCCCATAGCTCCCCCACACGTCAAGGCCACGGTTATGATGAAGTATTTGAGACCCCGCCTGAAAGCCCGGTCAGAGAGCGAAAGGCGTTGGGTTGGATGGGGAGTATGCGGCGGGCTTTGACGGGCTCAGCAGGTGCAGGAGCTCGGCGTGGCACCGACGGCGGTATCGGAAGACGCGTTGAAGAGTACGACTCCCAACATGGCACTTCTTCGAGGGATCAACCGCAAATGACGGAGGTCAATGCCGATGATAGCCCACGTCGAGCGGCGAGTGCTTCGGCGGCTTTCTGGATGGGGAAGAAGGGCGCTAGGGATTGGGACGTTGACCCATCATCTCCCTCTGTGGCCTCTGCCGCCACCGCCGCGGGGCCCGCCTCTACCGCGGCTGGCTGAGCCATCCTTGCCTCCAGGTGCCGCTGGAGGCGGGGATGAAGCGGATAGCGAATGGGACGTCGAGGCTGCGGTGCAGAAGAGATTGGTCCAGGTTATGTTCACGGTTCCCAAGGAGAAGTTGAGGGTCGTTAACGTGGATCAATTGAGCTTGCTCAGCAAGAGTGATGTAGATGATCCCGGTGAAGGGGTTGCAGAGAAGAAAGATGAGCTGGATCACGCGAAGAGGGTCAGCACCGTTGTGGAGGAGGGGGAGAGTCCCGTCGCAGCAGAGGCGCCGGACGAGTCGAATCCGACTTGGAAAGGAAAGGGAAAAGCGAAGCAGAAAGATGATCGCGACGAGGAGGGAAAAGGTTCATCGTGAGGGATGAGCCGGATGTCTATCGATCATTCGTTTCATGACCATGGCCGTCACAGAGCTAGAGAAATGGAGCTCGCTCGGCATGAGCAGACGACCTATCTGCACAAATGTCTTCTATCTGGTGGATCACTCGTTTTCTTTCCATACTACAGCGGGAAAAGCGGGGGTGGAGTTGTCGTCGGTGGTAACTACTTTGGGATTGCATCAATATGCTGGGACTTGCAGAAGGGTATGGTATGGTATGGTGGAAACGTTCGCTTGCTGGCTCTCGTTCTGGATATATAGGTTTTTGGCTTGGAAAATGGATGGGTGGATATGTATGCTAATTCTGTGTTTCTAGATGTTGAACGTTGATCATGATGCTTGGTGCTTGGTCTTGGATGGAGGGAGGGAGAAAATCTGATGAGAAGATTATTTGCATTCGCTGTTCCAACCAGTCTTTGTAACTTAGTCGTTTCTTGGGATATCGCGTTGCTGCATGGGGTTTGAGGATGGAATACTATACCTTTCCCTGAGGAACTTGGCTTAGCCGCCACAAGCCAGGGTAGAATCTGCCTCTCGGCTCTCCTTGATCGTTATTTTCAACATTTTTCCACCAATTCACCCATCCCTCCGGGGAGGATTCGTGGGGTTGGTGTCAAGCGAAACTCTGCCTCGAAGTATCTCCCATTGCCGGATCCAGTAGGGCCGGCGTGGTGATCGGGGCGCCTTGCTTTAGGGAGGAAAGGGAGAGAGGGGAGAGATCTCAATATGTTATTTATATATATTGTGTCGTATTCTTATACCTATTTCAGGCTGTTCATCGAGCTATTGAAATTTTAACTGGTTAGATTCAACGCGGGGAGAGGAGTTGAAGGGTAGTTGTGTCTAACGTTCCTTAGGGACTTCCAAACCTATCGAGCAGTTTCGTGGAAAGAATAGAACCTGCTGCCTCATTACATCCAGCTCCTCTTTCCTAGTATTCCCTCAAACCGAGCTTAGATGAATACGAAGAAGGCTCGGCCTCGTCCTCCGGGCGAAACGGGCAGCTGCATCTAATTGCGAAAGTGGTAGCCTGACAATGGTCGAGTTCAAGGCTATTGCTCGGCGCGTCTCTCAAGAGTATCTTCTCTACCAGCCTTGTCGGACAATGCCCCAAGGTCTGCGTGGCTGTAAGTACGTCCGGGAGAATTTTGACTCCACCACCGGACGTCGTGTTCTGTCATGGTTCCAGGGAAGAATACCGGCAGCATTGACCGTCCAAGGCCAGGAAGGGTTTTTTCCGCCGACTGCAGCGCCTCCATCACCTTTCTCTTGACTACGACGCCGCGATAGTCCAAGTAGATTCCAAACCACTCCGGATTGCGAGGAGCGGCAGCGATGATGACTGTGTGAACCATGCTCAGGGCTCCAACGGCGAGCAAAAACCAAGTCTGTCTTCTGACTCCTGACACCGTGATCAGAAGCCCGCCCCATAGCGTTGTGAGCAATCCAAAGGCCACTTTGGTCTTCCAGTCATACGCAGTCTTCTCGACCGATCTAGCAATGTCTTCGAGGTCCAAACCCCGCCCTGCTCCCTGTATGACGAGTACGTGTTGGGCGCCATTGCCGTGCGAGAGGGCAAAGGTCTTCTTGGAATTGCGTCTGCAGGCCCACCGCTCTTGTCTCCATTGGGGGAGACTGCCGGTCAAGAAGGCTAGACCGGTTCCCACCGCCGTTAGGAGGAGCACATCCCACGATCCCTGGGTACCACATGGTACTGCCGCAATACCCAGCTGCAACAGGGCGACTACATATCCGGAAAACCAGTACAGATCTTTCTGGGGAACGCCCGCGATGCCTTTCTCGGATGCTTCGAAAATAGCGATGCAGAGGCCAGCCTTGGGAGCATTAGCCGCTTGCAACATCTTCTCTAGCTCGACCTTGACTTGGTTGGGCATCCAGAGGTTTTCGTAGTCCCGTAGTAGGCGGTTCAAGATCCAAGAGTCATTTGTGCGAGGGTGACCGTGGTTGGTGCTCAAGATGATGGAAGATGGGCCCGGCGCAGGAGGCATCAATCGGTTGTTGCCAACCGCCGACAGGAGGGCGGTGAAAGCATAGCCGACCCAGCCGAATGAGAACACTACCGGAGTGGGGAGCTTGGTCCCAGATTGCTGAGCGAGCGCTTGCTGCACCACGTCGCCGCCGACCAGAAGCAGCAGGGAGAGGATATCGTTAGGGCTCGCCCACTGCGACCTCAGCTCTTGGGACGTCGAGCGCTGTCTAGGTCTAATGATCCCCGATGGTGGCATCTTGTGCGGTGGGTATCAAAATTACTCCGTAACATAATCCTGCTCGGAAGGTCACTTCAATCCACACGATAATCAATATCTATTGCTGTACATTCTGGACTCTGCAAAAGGATGTGGCCCTTGGGCCATATTAAGGCTTAATGTGGACATGATTCTTGCTTTTAAAGCAAGGCAAGTTCCGTACGGCGGACTGTTACGGGCTTAAGGCTAATCCATTTCGAAATTTAAGATCGCTTTAAAGACAACCTGTTAGGGACACCCTCTTCAGGACACCCTTTTAAGGACACCCTCTCTCTTAGGTACACCCTCTTAAGGACATCTTGTTGGAGATACCCTCTTAATAGCACCTTTTTAGAGATGCCTTCCTATGAACATTAAAATCAATTAATACATCATTACATATAGTGTTCGACTAAGATACTAAAAATTCAAAATTTTAAGATAATCTTCTCGTTCGCTATGTCACTAAATAAACATGTCGAAGCATCTCTCTATTGGGAAGATATTGCCAGATCTGTTGTGGTCTTCTTTCTTGTCTAAACTATCTAAGGATCTATCTAGTAATTTCCTAAATCACATTTCTACTGCCAAGGCACAGGAAATGATCCCACATGACCGTAGAGTACTAGTAGCGTTAAGCCACTTTAGGGATGTGGCTGTACATCATAATGTACTATTAGTTTTGAAATTAGCCATACGCGTACAGCCGATTCCTTGGCGGTCACGTGCCCGCGCCCTGGTAGATTAGCCTGCTCCTCCTTAGGTTGATTGATTCTGCAGATAGATAGAATCTCATCCATCCACCTCATCGATTAGTTCTATTATAGTCTCCTTATCTAATCCATTATGTACTGTCAGAAGGCAACCTAAGGGACAGGCAGGCAGTAGAGAAACTTAGATAGAGTAAAGATATTCTAACTGAAATGTAACATGGTGCTTATTGTGATGTGTAGAACCCAAAAATACAGTTTGCGCTTATTTTGCTACGTGTGTCACCAGCGTTTTGTTACAGATTTGATACGCGTTTTGCATAAGCCACGCATGTATTTTTGGTATCTGCGTTTCGCGCTATTTCGCTTGATATAGCAACTTTGTACGTATAAATACGCGCTCCTCGCACTGAATTAGATAGAACAACTTGCTATTTCCACACTGTGTCGAGCAACACAGCTTAAACGCTGGTACGGCCGTATGGCTAACAACCTCCTTGCAGGGCAGCGCGAGCTGCCGCAACTGCCAAGAGGACACCTTCGTCAGATATCCTAGCGAACTGCTCCCTTCTCTCCCTCCATGCATGGTCGTGCTCTCGACTCTCCCGCTCAAGGTCTTCAATCTCAGCCCTAAGCTTCTCCAAATTTACATGCTGTTCGTCTCTGGGTTTCAACGTTTTGTTGCTCGTTATCTTCTCTTGATGTAACTACCAACGTATGTTGGTTGGGCCCTTCTCTTAGGTGTACAGATCCCCATCTAGTCTAAGGAGATTCAGGAGTTAGTTTACTGTTATACACATACCCACCGGTAGTAGTAATCCGATCACCGTCGTTGTACCAGTGTTGTACCAGTGTTGTACCAGCGTCTATCATTCTGCCAAGCAAGCCTTACATTAAGCGTCCATCTTTGTCCAATTCTTCAATCTTTTCCCTGCCTTCGACATCATACGGTCAGTCCAGGTTCTGCTTCTTGAGGTAACAAATTGTCTGGCCGCTGGCTCCGCGGAGGTGTCATTTGAGAAGTCCGATAGCAGAAACCCAGGATCTTGTCGTCCATCCACGCACCAGACCTGTTCATCAGAGAGCTTTTCACCCGCCCACATGATGCCGAAATTAGCTTTCCGGATATTCACACGTAGTGCCTTTATCATTTCTGGGTCGCGTTCCAAGCTCATCCATATGCGAGTAAGAATCTCGACAAAGAAAATACCGTCATGTTTCTTGGCAATTGTGACGAGAAGCGCAATCTCCCGAATTGACGGGAGTAGATGAGGCACGATAATTGCCAACTCGCGATTACTCACCTTACGATCCAGCAGGTGAAACTTTTCTTCATCTGCAGGAACGGCGCGATACCATTGAAGTAGTGAGCCGTCAGTCGGAAAATGAAATTCCTTACTCCCAGATAGCGATTCGTTATCATCCGCCAACCTGTGCAGGCAAAATCCAGGGAATTTCACCTCTAAACCGTGCGGCACGTTCAGTCTTGCCTTCCTAGCCTCGGGTGTCCGAGGATCTGGTGTATCAATCTGGTGACCCGAGAGCCATGTCCGCGGAGCCCACCCATATCCCTTGGCAGCGAGTCGCGGGCCTGGGAGGAATATCATCCCTGGTGGGATAGGACATGGATCTACGGCAGATAGTAGGTCCAAAAGCTTCTGCATTCGCCGATCAAGTATCTCTTGGTCATATCCTGAGCTTCCACTTGTGTTGCTGGCATCTGCAAACTCGTTATTGTTGACGTTGAAGAGAGTAGCAAGGGCTAAGGTCTCGTGCTGCAAATGTGTGGTGGTCCTCCATTGTACAGCCTTCCACACCGCGGCCATGAAATTCTGATCGGTTTTTCTGTCCTTGGGTGTTGAATCTGGCCCATGCATTCTTCGGCTCTCGCGTTGTAGGATTCCATGATAATATGTGCGAGATACGAATGCTACACACGAATGAAGTGGATCATTTTCCCGTTCAAAAAGACTTTCGAGGCGGTCCAAGGAATAAACCTGGTCTGAAAAGTTAAAATAGAGATTCTTGCTCAACACTGCCTCCTGCAGAGTCCAGAGCCTAGTCATCCATCTGCTCAAAGTGATACGCATTGCTGGCTGCGTATATCCCTCGCCCCTATCCATGCTCATCAAGCCAGCGTCCAGCACGATGGTATATTTTGCCCCCATATATATATCATGCATCATTCCAATTGCTTTCTTGCGCAGACCTGTGGAGTCTCTATCGACCGGGACTGCTAGAGTATCAATCCAAAAGTTTTGTGGTATAGGATTTCCAGGATTGCTTTGAGCCACATTTTCACGCCTGATATCGGCGAAAAGCGATAAGAATAAGTTCAAGACGCATGTGTTGAGCTCATTTGCATCCGGATTTCCATACCCATCGGCCCAGACGTGAGAGAAAATAACGTAGTCCTTATCGCAAGACTTATTCATTTCAATGAGCTTGATTTCATTCGCTTCCTTTTCGTATTGTAGTAGTGGCACTTTGCCCTTTTTAACGATGCTATTCAGCTCGGTTGTGGTCGGTCCAATCGCCCTGCAAGTGTCGCGAGAGCATTCTGGGCAATGGAATTGCTGATAAGCATCCGGATTAGCTTCGGCGGCAATGATCGACGAAGCTTTGCACTCAGTCGGGCTGCAATTAGAATGCTGAATCCCTGGTTTCTCGTGTGGTGGCATTTGTAAGGCATACAGCAGCCCGATAGTGTTTCCTTTGAATAGTCCTTGCAGCATAGTGACCGTTTTGGCACACCAGTTCTTTCTTTTTAATTCTTCAAGCACTGCTCTACTAGAGCCCCAGCCCTGACTCTGATCATCATAGTTACACCAACCATGAAGATCAAACTCCACGGTCTTTTTGATTTTGATTAGCGCACTAGTCAAAGTCTCCCCCAAGATCATGATAGACAAAGCCACTTTGTCGTTTATCGGCCATTTCGGCTTCATCTCTGTAGAAGTCACGGCGCAGTTCTTAGAAACGTGAGACCTGGCTACGTTTAAGACTTGTTGTGCCAGAATCAGCCGTTGGGCTTTTCCACTTGGGTTATGGTTTTCGTAGTCCTGCCATTTGTCGAGGAGCTCGGGTAGCTCCTTGGTAGTGACCCATTCGTTCTGTTCATTATCCTTTCGGGTGAAAAGAAGAACACTGAAGCCAGGCAAATGACCAAGAATGGCCCTTAGGACTTCGAAAAACAGCCAGCGTTGAACAAATCCAGTCAATGGATCATACACTCGGGGTAGCTCATATTCTAATTGAGACATAGTTGGCTCTGGGGTCCTGTCATCGTCATGGATAATATACCCATTATCTCCTTGATGGAAGGTGAAGAAGTTGACGTCGTTGGTTGCGTTGGTGCGGATATTTGCGTAGAGCCGAACCGTTTGGAACCCGAGAGATGGGTCGGAAATGTTGCCTAGATGGTCCATTGGGGCGTGCGGTCTTTTGCCTGGTGATCTCTGCCTCGTCGCGCAATAGTTATGCATCAAATGCTTCCAAGGTGCTGCTGGCCTGAGAAGGGGCGGCTGAGGTTGATATTTATCCACCTTCCCTCGCAGAGACTCCCACAGAGCTGCTGGATTCCAGCCTTGCGCCCACATACTACGTACCCTGAAGTGGTCCGGGATCAGCATTGGTAAAAGTTCCACATCCAGATTGCAACTGATCAGACCCTGTTTTCTTATTGGGCGTACATTGCAACCCACCGCCTCCATTTTATTGGTGGCGTCAGTTTCCCAGTAGTCCGTTGCTGTTGGAGCATTGCTATTGGTTTTACACAGTACGGAGCACTAGTTGAGCAACCACACGAATCCCCTAATTTTAAACCCGAAGTTCATGCAGTCATGCAGCCTTGCAACAGCCTCAGCCTCGCATGCCCACTCTCGAGTCTTCTTTATCAACCCCTCACCCATCGAATACTCACCCAAAATCTGGTATGCTCCAACAATTGGGTGCTGTCAGAATAAGGTATCTGTTACGGCATAAGTCACTGATTACCTTTCGGTCTCATAAGCCTTTCCATGATGAAAGAAACGTCGAAGCTGCAGCCTGTCGCTGGACCCTCTATCAAGGAAGCTGAGGTCGAGTAAGCTTAACTGAATTGACTGGTGTACAGCGAGCTCACTTCCTCGCAGTATTGTTTTTGTACATGGTCTTCAAAGCACTTTTGATCGGACATGGTCTGGAGTCAACTCCTCGGTCATATGGCCCCGTGACCTTCTTCCAAAAGACATTCCAGGCGCTCGTATTTTTGCGTATGACTACAATTTCAGGAATGCTTCGGTCATCAGGCCCGACGCTGCCTCGCATGGCCTCAGGCAGTTTCTCAAGGAACTTACGGAACACAATGTATGGTGGTCCTCTACCTTTGAAAGGCTTTGGGAATCCTAACCAGGCTCAAGTCGGCTTACCACTAATAAATCACAGGCCGGACTGCCAATTATTTTTGTTGCCCATAGTTTGGGGGGGCTTATCCTCCAAAATGCCTTGTTGAAAGAGTCAAAACTCAACAAATCATCTATACTGACATCCGCAAGCGGCATTATCTTCCTAGGAACACCTCGCTTTGAACAGGACGAGGAATGGTCCAAGTTTAGAGCATCTGTGTCGAAAATAACCAAAGCCACCAGTTTACCTGACACTAGAGAACTTACGCGGCTTGGTCGTGAAAGCATCGAGTTTGCTTCATGGCTGACGACACGCTCTGCAAGTACTATAGCCACCTGGTGCTTCTACGAAAGCTTGCCGGTATATCGCATGGGCATTGTAGGGGCCAAATATTCCTATCCAATCCCTGACCTCTTTGGTAATATGTCTCTGACTGGTTGATAATGCAGCTCGTGCCAAAGGAGCGGGCAGTCATTGTTAATGACCAAAGCTCACCGCTTCAGTCCGACCATTTCCGGCTCTCGAAATGCGATAGTGTCAGCGACACCCAGTACCAAGCCATTCGGTACAGGCTGAAATGCATGTGCGACAAAAGCAAAGGTACAGAGAATGAAGGTGATATAAGGCCAAAGCGCATCGGAAGCATAGATAGTCGTGAATTAATAATTGATGCCGTTGGTGAGCTCGAACCTGCCAGAAGAACCATAGAGCTTGCTCTAGCCCTTGAAGACCACGGACACCCAGGGGCTGCCGAAACTGTTTATGACAGGGCGATTGAGGAATGGACCACAAACCACAGCTCTGAAAGCCCGGTTGTGTGGTTCTGCTTGTGGAAGAAGTCAACTATATTGCGTGATCGCGGCAAATTCTCAAAGGCAGAGAATTTGTGCAAGCAGGTGCTGAAAGAAGCGGCTCCAGTGAACGAAACCGTCTATTTGCAGAGCATTGGCAACCTTGCCTTGATCATGAGAGCTCAGGGACAGTTGAATCAAGCTTACACAACTCTTCGCGATACCTTGGAGGGAATTGCGGTAGATCCGTATCAGGATATCTCTCACGTGCAAGTAGTTAGTATCCTAGGGACTGTGTTAAACGATCTGGGTTTCCCGAATATTGCACTACTTCTGGCCAGGGATGTCTTGTCGGCTTCTGGGGCTCTCCTTGGTTCAACGGATCCATTCACTCTAGATCAAGCATCGAGGTTGTCCTTAGTCCTTTCTGATCAGGGTCATTTTGGCTTAGCCGAAGAGATTGATCGACGCTCTCTGGATGCGCTTCAAACGACCTTTGGCACTAATCACCCTCGATCACTACAAACCGCGACACGCCTCGCGAATAATTTGCGCTATCAAGGTCACTGCGAGGAGGCTGTAAAGATTGCTGAAATGACACTTAAAGCGCAGGAAATACAGCTCGGCCCTTCCCATCGGAGCTCGATTTTGACGAAATATTGTCTTGCCGCGGCTTACTTTTTGCAAGGTCGCTTGAGGGAAGCAGAAATGCTTTTCACTGAAGTAACGAGGGGATATACCGAGATGCTTGGCGAAAACCATCCCGACACTGTATTGACCAGACAAGCTTTAAAATTTGTCAAAGATGCCATCGAATCAACTTACCTGGAGTCAGGACTTAGCGATAAGATGAATGAATTTTTCAAGAAGCCTGCATCGCGAAAGGAAGCTGCATCCATGGTTAATAACCGTGAAAAGTTTCCGGAGCTAAACTTAGGATCCACAGACGTAAACGAAGCCCTCCGGGTCGCTGCAATGAAGAATGACGATGCAGCATTTGATGCAGCGCTTGAGCGGGGCGCAAAGCAAGAGTCAATCGGCGGGCTTTGCGGGACCGCCCTTCACGCAGCTTGTTTTAGTGGGAGCGAAAGGATGGTCAACAAACTGTTACACTCCAAGGCCAACCCTAACATTCAGGGAGGTATTTTTGGGACTCCGCTTCGGGCAGCGTCATTCAGCGGACACGCGGCCATTGTACAGACGCTCTTAAAATCAGGGGCGGATCCTAATATCAACGGAAACCATGGCTCCGCTCTTCAAGCAGCTCTGTTCAGTAACCACGGGGATATATTTCGAATCCTTCTCAAGGCCGGAGCCGATCCAAACATGTCAGACATGTGGTACGGTACAGCGCTGCATGAAGCGTCGATGGCTGGTCAGCAGCAGATGGTCGACATCCTGCTCGAGGAGAAAGCGAAGCCGAACATACGGGGCGGGGTTTTTGGAACCGCATTGGGCGCCTCTGCCTGGAAGGGAAGCGTGGCCATCACTAATTCGTTACTCGAACATGGGGCAGATGTGGAAGCCTTTTTCAATGGAAGAAATGCACTCTATATTGCGGCGGCGGCGGGAAACAGAGATGTCGTGGCCGTGCTTGTGAAGAGATCTACCGGCTTTTCCGACTCCTTGAAACAAGAGGAGCACATCGGACCACCGAAGATGTCTCCGAATCAAGATGTATTAGGATCCAACACTTATAGGGCAGATGAAGTGAAGTCCGAGAAGACTAGAAAGAAGAGACAGGGACACAGAAGCTTTATACGTATCATTCGCCAAATTATGTGCAGGGTGTGAAAAGACAATATAAATCAGTATCTGTGACGGCTGCGAAGGAGTTCTTGAATTTGATATAGGCTGCCGGACAGGTGAAACAGGGTACATGCCAGAGGAGGACATGCAACCAACGACTCTAGTGGCTTTGATGCCTTTTGGTGTTAGTGTTTTTGTAGTTCTTGACTCTATATTCGGGTTGCTAAGAGAAACAGATCCGTACGTCATTCGCTATATTGTTTGGTTATCTAAAGTGTTCATTACAACTTTGAACTAAAAAAGATACAGCTTATCAATCTCATTACCTCTAGTCAAGCATACTCGTCAGAATAATAGGCCGTAAGCTCCTTACATGCTTTATATGACAAGGCAAAAGGATTAGATTAGCGAATTCAAGACTGTTTTGAGCTATATTTTCACGCCTAATATTGGCGAAAAGAGATAAGAATTAACTAATACATAAAAGACATTAAGTGAACATGGATGGAATCAACACTTGACATGTCGTTCAAATAACATCTTTGTAAGCTTCCCTTTCAATACGTGCATCACTTGTATTTCAACTCGAGTAGCATTCAAGCACTGCTTCTATCAGTCTCAACCCTATCTCGGCGCCGAGTCTATTGGCGTCAAGCGCTTACTTCAGCGTTAACAGACCTACTAATATAAGAGCACTTAAGACTACCTCTAATCAAAACGATGGGAAAAGTAGAAGATGTTGAAAGAATTCGAATTACAAAATAATTTAAATGTTAATAGTACTAAGAATCACTATATATAGATATAATATGTGATTTCAAATACATGACATAGACAGTTGGGTGGCGTGCATACGGGCCTAACACTAGATCTTTATCACACACAGCATGCCAGGCTCACTTGGAGATGGCTCTCCTGCCGGTCTACTCCCGGAACCCAAGTAACATTAGTGTAGCACTAGTAGTCGGTCAAATGGCGGTAAGCCACCGACTAGAATAAGACTTACACACCACCGCTTTTGAGAGGTCTCATTTCTGTTTCTGGCCACTGGCCTTGTACAGCAGACCTGATAGACAAAAAGAAACAAAAAAAAAACAAGTTCTGAATGTGTAAAAATGTGTTTAGGCAAGACTACTCCATGTTGCACAACTAACTTTGATCTCTGCATCTGTCAAAGTAGCATATATTCCATCTCAAAAAACTTCAGAAGCTGGCTCAAGATCCGCAGGCATTGTCTCTTCACTCCTCGTAAGCGTTCGTCTCAAACTTTGCGTCCTAGCAGCATGACGTCCACTCGAGTCTTTTGAGCCCCAATATGTTGGCAAAACAGATCGGCCCTCCCACGCTGTTTGCTCCATGAAGCGTGAAGCGTGCAACCAAACCACCAAAACGACAAGAACCGAGACAGCTAGGTAGCAGATCTTCTAGGCGCCCTAGCATCCCTCTGTCCAACAGCCGCATAGCTAATAGGGCTAGATTTAAGTTCGAACCGTCGTGATTCGACATTGAGAACAAGCTTTTCTGTAACAAACGCAACAGTAGGGATTATTGGTGCAGCTTTGCGGACCATAATTGCACTGACAGCAATAGTAGACGACCCCAATACCTGGTCCAGGAAAGTTTATAGGATTAGGTGAATGCATTGTTGTTGCAATAACGTCTGCACGAAAGTATGGTTCATCAGCTGTGGCGAGACGTAGATGATTTGCTGATGTGCTGACGTCCGTGGAGAGATCGAGGACGGAAGTTGCGGTTTTTAAGAGTAGCCTGGTTGGGTCATCTTGAAGGGAGACAGTGAGACTGTCACGAAATTTAGACAGGTGCTTCCTCGTTGACGGCGCTTTGCGCATGGTTATTGGTGGACGAAAGTCGAGGCTGATATGCTAATGCTGGGAAGACAGGCTCGAATGACTCTTCTGGCAAGTGGTATGAAGAAGCTGGTGCAGGTACAGACCCGATTTAACCTGCTCTTAGAGTGGCGACAAAGGTCTCTGTCTTGTGAGGACCGAGATAAGATGGGTGTAGTGATTTAGGAATTCAGCTGCAAGTGTGCTTCGGTGGCTAGATGTTGAAAAAAGGTCTCGACCATGCTTAGATTAAATGATGGAGCGTAATAAAGCAGTTATATGAATGTATTCCGCGTGATATAGTTCTTCAGATGAAATCTAGGAAGGAAAACCTACCGTGCCAGAAAGCGAAAGCAAGATTTCGAGGGAAGCAGCTAAATTATACTCAGTAGTCGTCCTGCAAAGACTTTTAGAAGATAGGCAAATCAGATTCCGCATTCAACGAGGCTGCTTCAACGGGAACGAGTAGTAACCAGTTACCAGAGAATATACAAGCCAAAGATGTCACTGATCAGGTGATGGCTGGTTGATTGATGGGTTCTATCGATCGCCATTTGCGTCATATCAGCACAGAGCTGTAGGGCACAACACGGGTGCCTCTTCCATTTGGCCTTTGGAAGCTCGAAATGCGAGATGTGCCATGATGGTTAAAAAGAAGCCTCAATGGTGATGCCTCCCGGAGCAATCTGGTTGGTAGTTCATCTGCCAAGGTTTAATGAGGCTTGAAACGGAGCAGACTTGCCGCGCCAATGCGTGGAACTTTGGTGATCTAGCCAATCGGCTTCACCTCTCTCCGACGCCAATCGTAATTGCAGCATCTCGCGGCTGACAAGCAGATGAGTCGCTCGCACACTGCTGCAAGATGTTTGCATTGTCACCTCTACCTTGCCGCGGAGACTGTCCTCATCTGGCTGGTCCGGTGATCTCGATTCGCCTGTGCTGCTCACTTGTGTACAGCTTGTGCGGATCAAATAACATCCAACATCTAAGTTGAGTACATGTTCAATTAATGGAAGTATTGGCAATGTTACTTCCAAGTGCAAATTGTTTACCATCCACCAGCCCGGCATGACTGAAACGCATTACAGAACGTCGGAGGAAGAGTGGGATCGCCACAAGGACATCATCCGGAACCTTTATGTTGAAGAAAACAAGACCTTGGAGGAGCTTATGGCGCTTATGTTGCGTGATCACAGCTTTCGTGCTACGTAAGTAATCCCGCGCTGTCTTTGGATGTATTGGTCACATTATATGCAGGAAAAAGATGTACAAAATGAGATTCGCTAAATGGGGCCTCCATAAATACAACAGAGAGGACGAAATGATGGCTATCCTCTCTAAAAAGACCGAACGGGCCGCCGTTGGCAAGAAGTTCGCGTTCCAGCTCCGAGGACGCCAGGTAGACATGGAAAACGCCGAACGCTACCTCAAGCGCAAGGGCATCACCACTCGAGATATCATGGCCTGGAGGGCTACAGGTGCAACCACGCCACCAGGTCTGCGTTGCTATACTCCAGAGTTTATACGGCCATATCCCGCAGCCCCGAAGATGTTCCACATTCCGGAAAGTCTTTCGCTGATATCCGAACTTATTTTATGGGTTCATTCGAAGCGGGAACGTGGATTTCGAATGGTGTTGAGCATTTATGCTTCAGCATTAAGGCAAATCATACCTCCTCCAAGGTATTTGAAGATATTCGTCAAAATCTCATATCAGCCTGCCTTCTCATTAGCGAGCAATTATACCCCAAAGCATTTACCCAGCTTGAATCTGTATGTTCCAGGGTTCGGGACATAGTGAATGCAGAAAGCCCCGAAACAATAGCAAGATTTATTGAGATGTTGATTCTTGTCAGAGCCTTTGGGGATCCTGAGCTTGTCGAGATTCTTCTCAAGCAGTTTGCGGAAATGTCTGCGGTCATACTACGCACACCAGCGCATCCGATGTCTCGTATATTTGCTGGTCTATGTCGCCTGGAACTGCCCCAATTTGAAGAGGTGGCTCTCAAAGCCTGGGATTGCATGAACGACGTGTTTCAGAAGGTTCTCGGTCCATCACACCTGGGCACTTTGACGAGCAAGCTCGACAGGCTTAGTACTGCGACGACCTCACTCGACACGGAAAATCCAGATGGCCATCTTGAGATCATATTGAATTCAGGCCGGGAAGAATCTGGAAGTGACGCGTTGCGCTCAATTGCGGTACTCCAGGGTCTAGGCACTTATTTTGTCAACCGCAAGCGGTATGCTGAACTCCAAGAAACAGGTGGCGACATCGTTAACTGTGTCAAAAATTGGGATCCGGGGGACCCTGAAGGTACAAGATTATATCGCTGCGGTTTCGATTTCATGGCTACAGCACAATTCGCATTAGGTCAATATAAGCAAGCTATGTCGTCCTTCGGACTTCTTGTCGACCTTGCCTCAGCAGACTTATGTTCGGAAAACTCACAGGCGTGGGAATATCAGGCCAAGTTCGAGGAATGCTTACGCAAAATGAGCAGTCATGTCGAACGAGAATCCGGGCCAGCTCCCGTCCCTTAGCAACAAATGCTTACAGTTGTTGGTTACCAATCAGTAGAATTCTATCTTGACTAATTCGCTGTGCAATTCCATTGGATTTCACGTGATATCTTCCAATTTACCAGTCTTGTACAGAGAGGAGCGAAGACGCGGTGATGAGACAAGTGCGACCGGAGTCAAGGCGCAGGGTCTTTCGAATTTGCTGTTCTAACAGCTGCGCAGACACTTCCATGATTATCTCTCTTCGACAGTAATGACGTGGAGACCTGGAGATGGCCTTGATATCACGCCTCTGGAATTTCTCAGATTTTGACCGACAAATTGTGGTCCAAGCGCCATAGAGACGGAGGTTTGAAGAGTAGCCACCAACCCGCATACCCTCTTCTTGCCTAGGCTTACGGAGTACTTACAACAAAATTATCAACTTTAATTAATTCAACTGACGGGAACACTATTCTCAATAAGGCAAGGCAACCAATTTAGTGACACGAGAAATATTTCCTATTTAGGATGATTTGGAAACCTTTATGAAGGGTTATATTGTCTCCTGAAACCGGCCGAGGAATCCAGATCTGATGTACATTACTCAGTCGCGCGAGGAAGAGAAACAAGTTGAAATCCCCAATAGCGTTTGTGACCATGCTCAGGTTGACTTGACTTATACTTTCCGACTTGGTCCCTAGCATGGTTGCGGCTTACATGCGGCTCCTCTCGCTTATCGTGCATTTTAGTCTGCCGCTACGAAATGCATCCATCCGAGTTGGGATGCCTGAGAGGGCTGGGGCTCGACCCAGTGCGCTTCCTTCCAACAGAACACAAGGTCCAGATGTTGCCCACCTTTTTTAGATCATTGGAATCATATTCCTGGATGAGAAGTACTCTAAACCGGGGTAGATAGGTCAGTGTTGACATTGTAGCTTTCTATAACCATGTCGAATACGCCACTTTCTGCACCGGCAAAGAATCCTTCCATTGCTGCACCTTCGCTCGTAAATTGGGCTGTCCCAGCCACTGAAGATGGAAGGGGGCGTAGGGCAGCATTGGTATCTGCAGCCTTCAAAAGTGTCCCTACAGCAGATTCAAGAATTCCGCTGGCAATCTCAAGAAACTCTGCGCTCTTACTCGAGACGCGCAGTGTCCAGCGATACTCCTGCAGGCGGCGCTGATAGACTTCGACCTCCTCTGAAGTGATTGCCGTGACCCATAATAAGCCGTTGAAGGCACCGATCATGGCAAAGTTCACCTTGGAAGCGAAATACCAGAAAGACTGTAGATGCTCTGGCTTCAAGCGGTTGAAGAAGTCCAGAGCGCTCACAAGCCGGGCTTTGGCTGCTGATCTGCAGACTTGAGTAAGGTACGGATCAGTGTTTGACGACAGAGATCGAATAATTCGCCGATGCAGTGTTATTTCAAGAGCGAAGTAAGCTAGATGGAGATAACCTTGGGAGGAAAGTCTTCTCGCCTTCAGACTGTCCATGCGAAGACACTCCGGCATGTCTGCATACCAAGCTCGCAGCTTGAGCTGAATAGGTTTCGCCCTCTCAAGCACATATTTGGTTGTGTCAACCGCCAAACGGATTTCGGCTTCGGCTTTCTGCGAATATAAAGCCTCAAGGATATCAGACAACATCTTCGAGAGGACAATCATTGCGCTAAAGAGTGTACGTCCCTTTTCGACCTCTGAGCTGCCGTCCTCCTCGTCCTCATCAGCTGCGCTCTCCGGGAAATCGCTTCCGGTGACTTCCTGCACGGCCCAGTTGGAGGAGGAAATGTGAGGCGGCCGGCCATATACCAAAGCAGACCAAATATCCTGCATGAATAACGCCCAGCCTAGTCTTTTCCGAAGACCTTTCTCCCATGACGGTATTCGCCATGTACTGCAATCAAGATGCAATCCTAGATCTTGACCAATTGCAACAAGCTGCGCAGTCAGCATCCACGAGTAATCCTGGCGCGGCCGTTGCAGAAGTAATAAGCCCGCTTGCACTGTAGAAAGCTTTGCCCTTTGAGCGACCTCTTGAAGACCGCGAATAGCCAAGTCTTCCAGCTTGGCCACCTCGGGCTTGTGCATTTCGACCAGGTCGGGGCTGTACGACCACCAATTGAGAGCTAGTAAATAGACCGCGGCAAGCAGGGGTGGTGAGAATTCTCGATGTGTCCGCCCGTACTTTTCCAGAAAGACCCTTTTGTGTAGAATTGGAAAACTTGGATGAATGATCCGGAAGTAGATCTTGACGAGTGCCTCTCCATGAGGAGCTACGATATTCTCGATGGTATCCAATGTTTCAACGTCTCTTTTCTTGTCCTCAGGATCTTCCAGGAGCTGCCAAAAGTGATCAACCTCACTGATCCTTCGAAACGACCCTTTGCCGGCAGGGCTTTCGCCTTTGGAATCATCGTACAACCTCAGGTCGAGGAGAGCTGGTTCATATTCGGCAGTGGCCCCGATGTACCTGGCGTGGCGATGATTCTGTAGGCCGAGTGTGGCCTTCAATAATGAAGGTCCCCGCAGGTTGGCGTAGTCCTCTAGGACAGACTCAGTCTGGTCAAATGGCTGTGGTTCTCGACACATGGGAGTTACATCGAAGGATCTGCGCGTAGTCAGAAAGACCGCGTCATTTGTAGCGACAATATCATTACATTCTTTTCGATTTGTCTGGAATTCCGGCCGCAGCAGACACTTTCCGCTTCCTTGGAATGGTTCCTCGCTGGAATGTACATGGTTGGTGGTGGAACTCACACAGCACACACGTGGTACAATCTTCATTAATCACACACCGGCTCTTGCGTCTGCGGCAACCATCGCATGGTCGTTGCACGCGAGCTGTAAGATTTCCGTTTTCTGAGGGCCGCGAACCATCTGATGACGCTACTGCTGTTTCTGGCGATTGAGTAGTGTGTACTTCCTGCATGGTGCCAAATGTCAAGCGATACTGTAGCCGCGCCTTCGTGCATGGTGTTTCCCAATTCTCAGGCTGAAAATTGTACGGGAGCAAGATGACTGCTTTGCCTTTACACCTCAATATCGTTCAGACAGGGTACTTCCTTTTTGAAGGCCGAATTCGTGGCTCAACCCAGCGACCGCATGCCGGGACAAGGGAAAGCTCTGGAGCTGAGCGTCCATCTCAGTTCCAGATCTTGCCGCTCACAAGGAGCCATGGCTTTTACGGGGATTCGTGGCGTCGATTTAGGAAGGGTAGCGATAAGGAAGCCTTGTCAACCAATGAAAAGCACGCTGACCAAACGAGTTCTTAGTGAGGCCAGTTTAGCTACACACCACGAAGCCAAACTGAGGAAGAGTAGGCGCGCCGACTTGTATGTTACTTGTGGAACCATAGTAGGATATAATTACAAAGATGAGCACGAATTGAGATTCGGTTGAGATTTTCTTTGCGAACTGCGCGCACTTCGTAGATATAATTCGATGGAAAGGAGTTTGCTAATGATGTTACGCCTATTCTATGCCCTATCACCCTGACCGACAGCTTCAAAAAATCTTTGCGCAATGCCCAGTATTTCACTATCGGTGCAACTTGCCCCAAGGAATGTAATGCTGAATGGAAGCTCGCCTTTTCCTGACGAGTCGATTTCGCTCGCTTGGTAAGTACCTGCTGGAACTGCAACTGCGCACAGATCCAAGACGTTCCCGAAGTGGGTGAAAGTACCCAGTTTCGCATTTAGATCGATAGGGTCGACCAGCATCGAGGAGATGAGAGGATGCTCTGGAGCTGTTGGCACCACAATCACCGATAGTCCATCCGTCCCCGCGGCAGCAAATTGTGAAGATGCCTGTCTAGTAAGAAGGGATTTAGCTTGAAGGTCTCGGTAAGCCTGTACTGCGGTACTCTGTCTTGCGATTACATCCTCGAAGAGCTTCAGTATCACGGGGTGTAGATCTTGTCTGTTCTTTTCAAAGAAATCGTCCGGTAAACTTGCTAGTCTTTCCGAGACGAAGGTTCCTTGGTAGAGCAGATCGCCCGCCTTCTGGAATGGAGCCCAGTCGACGGCAACCAGGGTTCCACCGATAATTTGCAGGTGCTGTATGGCTTGGTTGAACATGCGACGATAGACAGGCGAGCAGATTTCAAGAACTTCCGGCGGCGGCACACCAAACTTGAATGACCGAGCCAGTTGCCCAAGAGAGTTGACATGCCGTTCCAAAGGAAAACTGTTTCTCGCGTATCGATCATTTCCGTCATATGCCTCGCAGCACTGCCATACAGCACGTGCATCTTCCACATTCTTGGCAATGATGGCAACGCAATCCAGAGAAGGGCACGCAGGCGTCACGCCTTCGATGGAGATTAACCCACGGGTAGGTTTGTAACCCACAACACCATTGTACCCAGAAGGTACGCGACCACTACCCGCAGTGTCTGTTGCCAAGGAGAATGTCACCAGATCGGCCCCAACGCTGACGCAACTGCCGCTTGATGATCCACCTGAGATGTATTTCTCATTGAAAACGGAGTGAGGGATTCCGTACGGGCTGCGGCATCCGCTTAGACCTGTAGCGAGCTGATCTAGGTTGACCTTCCCCATGAATAAGCCGCCCTGTTCCAGAACGAGGTCATATGCTCGAGCTGATTTGGGCGGAATATGTGCCAAAGGTGGACATGCCGTCGTCGTGTGGAGTCCAGCAACGTCAATGCTATCCTTCACATTGAAAGGAATACCGTACAGAGACGGCAGTGCGTGCTTCTCCGGATACTTCTCTGCCAGCTTCTTTGCATCTGCGAGCACCGCGTCCTTCGATCGTAGGTATATCCAAACACCCGGATCAATTCTCTGATACTTCTCAATCCTGTCGTATAGTGCCTCAGCAACGGATATAGGTGAAAGACCATTCCGATAAGCTGCGTGTAAGCTGGTGATGTCCAACGATCCATCCCAATATGGAGGTGTCTGAGGTGGTGTCGTGGGTCCGAGAGAGATATGTGGTTGCCTATAAGAGTGGAGAGCGTCTTGAAGAGGTTGCAACTCCCCAACGAATCCAAAGAGACCCTGAGACCAATGAATCATATCAAGGCTTGCAGCTTTGAAGTCTGAGTTGTACCCTGCAGTCGCTTGCACTATGCCGCAGCATTCAAAACCGCGGTCGTTGGCTTCTCGGATGGAAGTCGAAAAGCAACATTCAGTTGTCACCCCTGACACTAGTAGGTGGGTGATACCTCTCGCCTTGAGCTTGTGCATAATGCGAGTATTCCAGAAAGCACCCTTGCCAGGCTTGTCAATCACCACCTCGCCAGGCAAAGGCCGCAGCTCATCAACGATGTTGTGGCCATATTCACCCCGAACAAGGAGTCGGCCAAGCTCGCCCTTGTCGCCAATTACCTTTAGATGTTGTGAATTCCCAGGTGCTGCTGCTTGACGAATGATTTTTGAGGATGGACAATCTGATAGATCGCGGACATGGCCTTCTCGGGTATGGAATATACTGAGCCCGGCAGCTCGGCATGCCTCGAGAAGAGCCTTAGTTGGACCAATTGACGCCTGAACCGCTTCGAGATTGCCTCCCTGGATCTCTCCGAAGCCGCCTTGACAGATGAAGTCCCTTTGCATGTCAATCACAAGCAGCGCTGTTGTTCTTATGGGAAAAGTGAAAGGATACGGTTTGGCAATGAAGGTCAGAGTGGGGACATCTCGCGAGGTCGCCATCTTCACCGAGTTCAGCAAGCACCACTAGCTCACGGTATGCAATATTCTACGATGTTAGCTAATGGCAGTGGAAAAATGGAAGGTAAGGGAGGTCAAGCAAAATATTTGATCTTTGACCAAGACCCCTACTTGAGCAATATGCCTTGCCAGATGATAGATCGAAGGACTTTGACTCGTTCAGGGAGTTGTACAGCTGTTGAGGCCTCCGGCTGCTAGTCAAGGCCTTCGGGCAGCCGGCGGCCATGATACGTATCTGTGATGCCGGATGCTGCGTGTGCACAACAAGCCGGATTGATGATTGATAATTGTGTGGTGTTGCCTGATAAGAAGAGCTCATCAGCCTATCAGCAGAGCACATCACGTGATCGGGCCTTGTCGTTCCCATCTTCTCGCCGCCGGCCAAATCTATCTAAGTTAGTTAGCGGCCATATTCAGCTTTCCTGCACTCCAACCAATACCAATGCACATATTACCTTATCCATACGACCAGTGCCATCCTCATCCTCATTGGCACCTTATCATGGACGTTAGTGCTCAGCCCAGATGCATCTCTCCTCAGAGCCGCCGGCGAGCACTTGCCCGTAGCTGTGTCCCGCCGCCCTCTCTAACTAGCAAATGATTTTCATGTGTATATCTGTTCTCTCTCCTTACACATTGTTCTATCTTGTGGCTGGATTTCAAATCAACTTTCGAGTCTATTTCATTCCATGACATCCGCCATAAACATGTCACATTTCTTCTTCTCCACCTTGTTCTAGTCCGAGGATCTGCAACCATTCGAAACTTTTGCTCAAAGTCTTTACCCATATTCCATCAGCATTATGTCTATTCTCTCACCTAAGCGTTGGAAGGCGAAGATTGAGCCCCATCTGCATTGGCGTGTCCCTTTTGAGCCCGGTGTGTACGGGAACAGCCCTCGATGGTCTAACAAAGATCTTGATCCTATTCCGCCCAAGCGGCGTACATGGGGTGGTCTGGTACGTTTCTCAAGTCCACAACCAAACCTTCTAACCAGAAAAACTAGGATTATTGGGCATACTGGACGTCTGACATGCTCGCACCGCCTTTGGCTGCGACCGTCTCCAGTGTCATGTCACTGGGGTTTACTGCCCGCGAGACGATCCCCATTGTCTTCTTCGGTTTCGCCATCTGCTCTGTTGTGGTGACCCTAACGGGCAAGATGGTCAGGCCTAACACAAATCAATTAAACTCCAGGCGCTGACAACTTTCAGGGAGCAACCTATGCTATTTCCTACCCAGCCATTGTCAGGACCTCTTTTGGCATGTACGGCTCATACCCGGCCATATGCCTCCGTGCTTTCGTTGCTGCAATGTGGACTGCCATTCTCTGTGTGCAAGCCGGTGCATTTCTCCAGAATTGCATTGAAGCTATCTGGCCCAGCTTCGAGCGCTTACCGAACCATTTGCCAGAGAACGCTGGAATTACTTCGGCTGGTCTCCTCTGCTTCTTCCTCTACTGGATTGTTCAAACGATCTTGGCACTCATGCCGATTGAGAAACTCCGAATTCTCTTTCTTGTCAAAGCTGTTGTCGTTCCGCCTACCTTCCTCGCCCTTTTCCTCTGGGCAGTCATTGTCACTCATGGCGGTGGGGAACTCGTAACTGGCAAGGCGCAGATCACTTCCACCTACATGAATACCGCTTACTCTGCTTTGACCGGTCTCAATGTCATCATCGGCCTGTTCTCATCCATGGCAGTCAACATGCCTGATTTTGGACGGTTTTCCAAGAATCGACTTGGAGGCTACCATCAATTCTTCGCACTCCCAGTAATCGGTACTCTGGGCAGTCTGACTCCAATTTTTGTTACCTCTGCACACAGCTATATTTGGGGCGAGTTCGAATGGTATATGCCCGCGGTGATTGGGAAGTTTGACTCCCGTGCCGCCAAGTTCTTTACAGCCTTTTCTTTTATGCTCGCCACTATTGGTAACCAGATTGCAGCAGGAACATATGTACGTTGCCCCAGTTGCCCTGCCTCTATCTAAGTTTACAAGCAGCAGCCATTTTCCAACGATGTTTCCGGTCTGTACCCAAAGTATATCAATATCTTCCGTGCTACCATCTTCATCTCCATTTTCTGCGTCGTCAGCACTCCCTGGAATATCATCAAGAACGCTGCTGGCCTACTAGCCTTCTTATCCGGCTATTCCTGCTTGATGGGTCCTCTTGCCGGGGTGATGGTCAGCGACTATTACCTGATCAAGAAGCGGAAGCTCAACATCCATGAAGTCTACCGCGACCATGGCATCTACCACTATAGACATGGTGTCAATTGGCGTGCTTATGTGGCCTTCTTTGCCGGTGTCGGTCCCCTGATCCCCGGATTTGCCAAGTCAATTGATAATAAGCTCAATGTTGGTGGTGCCTGGCAGATCTTTACCTTTGCCTGGATTTTCGGCTTCACCATCAGCTTGTTGACGTACTATGTTATTGTGAATTACATTTCCGGTATCCGAGAGGCTAACGTGGAGGTTGCGGTTTATCCAGCCCAGAAGAGCGATGGTTCTTCTGATGTGGAGAGTGGAAGTGGTGAGATCTACGAGGAGAAGAGTGGTCTCGATGCCAAGACGAAAGAGGTTGACTCTCCCTTGTAATTCGATGATTTCCGATACCCTGTTTCTTTCACCGTGTTGGTCAAAGGTTTGGGGCCTTTCCAGGCGGTTGACGATTTCCCAGCGGATGATTGCGTATGTAGCGTTTCTTCCATCGAATCCAACTGCCAGCGTCTACACGGAACAACTTGACAGTAGCGCAGGACCCGCTCGGAGTGATCGATTCGTCGACTTGGTATGACTGTCTCGATTTATCGTTCACCCAGGCTCCACGAAAGGTGACCATATCTAGTGCTAGTTTGAATAAATGATGTTCGGCAAAGTATCGAACCCAGGCAATGGGTCACTGCGAGGTAAACCTGGAAATCTTGCCAATACAAGGAGAGGTGAATCTGCTCCTCGCTCACCTTGACGCCTACATCACTCGCTCAGGCTGGTCCATATATGAGCATTGCGCGACTCTACCTTGTATTCTCTCGAAGGAAGCGGCTGAGCTCCAGATAGCAGGCACAAAGTAGCGTAGGCGGCAACCTTGGCTGAGACAGATCAAAGGGCAAAGTATTCGCGAGTGATAGGAACCGTAAGGTGGAACCTAATAACCTGAAGGACACAAAATTGGGCTCTCTGAACTGGGATTGGGTTCAGAATCTGGGTCTCACAAGGAGCCCAGGGTAAATTTTTGTTGATGTTCAGGGCTGCTCAGGCTTAGAACAGTCTTGCACAGGCTCAGGGCTGCTTATTCATCCCTCAAGTTACAGTCTCGTGTGCTTAGGTCTCAAAGTAGAAATGGAATTTAGAGAGGTCAAGATCTAGGTGTGGATATTCTAGGATTCGCTGATAACCTTAGAGATCGAATCTTTCGATAACGAACTTGCCCTAGCACCTATGAAAGGGACTTAGGCTTTATCATTTAGAGGTGTTTTGTCATCTCTTAATCCTTAGCTCTAACGATAAGCATGGGCAAGACGGTCTTCATCGAAGAAGGTAAGCTAGCAAAGACTTTTGTTGCACGTCTCCGTACTGAATCATTAAACAGCAAATTGTATTGGATTTTCAACGTCTTATTATGGCCAAACCATCTTCGATTTCAAACGCCTCCAACGAACCCGCATGTACCTATAAACTGCCCACGGAAGAACCACGAAATAAAGACAGCAGAAAGTCATATATGAATTTAAAATGCGTGTATCCTCTTGCAGATGCTGTACATGCCTAAACACCGTATATGGATAATATTGCGGGCCCTGGCGTGGAAGAGCGATGTCTGTGTTGTTTAAAACCCATGCACAGAGATTTTCGTCAAATGTCTGGAGCACAACCTGTTAGCCGCACATATACTCTGGGCACAACTTGTGAGAGACATGCAGTATTTTGAAGACAGATCTGCAGCAGCGCAAGCTGATTAGCGGTTATCGAAAGGGCATTATTTCTTGCAGCGATATCAAGCGCTCGAATGCTTGCTACCGTTGCCCATACTCCGCACAACCCAAAGCCAAGTGCGTACACCGTGGCGATGTAGGCAAATGAGATTTCCCCCATCCGCTGGGCGACAGGAGAGAAGAATATAGGCTCCTTTTGGTGTTCACCGTGGTCGAAGTGACCTTGGCAGATGCATCGCAGTTGCTGCTGAGCCTCCACCTGTCCTTCTGCTTGCTGAATCCGATCCGGCTGCGAGGTTGAGTGAGATGAATCCGCCATTGTCAAATGGTTACGATGCGTTTTTCGGGGACTTGATGAGATGTGTTCTTTTTGGTTTGATGATACAGAATTTGAGGATACTGAAGCATTCTCTGAAATGCTGCCGCTTTGTTTTGCCAAACTTACTGGACACGAGCTTTTATGTCCCAATTTTCCCCTCAGCCTTGTGGGCTTGAAACAAGAAAAAAGAGTCACGAGCATCAAACCGGACAGAATGCGTCTATCATCTATAGAATGTGACGTGCCTCCTCTTTCCGTTGGATGGACCTCTCCACCCGGTGGCGGAAGTGGTGGAAGTGGTAAGGCTGACAAAACTAACTAGTTAGTGAAATGTTAAAAGAGGTAGAGTGAAGGGACAGGGCGGCGGCTGTGCGGAAGAGAGTTACTAGATCGGGTTAAGACCGATGAGAGCGGACTAACACAATAGTCATGTCAGACAAAAGCTAGTTTACGGACCTCTGAGGGCCGCGGTCCTTTTGGTCCAACAGGTCATCATGGCGGAATGCCTTCGCAGAGCCATATTCAGCAGCCCTGGAACATTGTCAGAAATTCGTTGCTGATCTGCTTCAAAACCAGCAGAGCAAGGTTTCGCAGCCAACTAACTACGCTGTTCTCGGCCTAATCGGTCAACAAATTGCGTCCGATATTCTCACAACGCACTTTGACCACGAGCACAATGATTGTAAGAATCCAGCGCTGTAATCGTTCTCGCAACAACTACTCCGTGAATCAAGAATACCCTGGTAGGTAATATACAGGGCTTCAGGCTCTTGCAATTTGCAGTCTCGCAGCTTCCGCCTTGCGGCTCCGACTCTCCCACACATCGCCCGCGCTCATTACTGTTGACGCCCTCACATCTTGGACGCCTGACACCATATCACTTGAAGCTTTGAGGACCTCGAGGCCCGAACAATTGCTTGTGTGTAGCAGAAGATTAAAGGAGCAGAGTAACAGAAACCAGGTGAATGGCCATCATGACGTTCCGGAATGAGTGCCAACTTGGGATATAGTATTAAAAATCACCTAAATCTACCAAAGAAGATCGGCATGAGCAACCACTATCAAAGAACATGCTTAACCTTGAATAGGCAGCTGATGTGCACCTATGATCGGTAGGCTTTCAGCATCGCAAGCCTAGCACCTTGGCACACCTTCTGCTCAGAACTAGAATCATACACCAACGAAGAGGAGTACGAGCCCCTAGGGCGCGGAGCGCGGAACGGGTTAGAACAACTCAATCAATCAATGTGGCCATTACCGTATTAGGTCCTGTCCGTCCCTTTCCTTTTCCTTGATTTCGATGCGCTGGGCGGGCCAGGAAGGCAAAGGTGAGCTTCTATCACAGAGAAAGCGAGACAGTAAGTCTGAACCAAAGAGCGTACAACAAGGCGCTGTCAGTGTGCCTACGCCGACAGAGTAAGCACTTCATAAGCGATATTGAAAGTGAAGATTTTGAAAAATTCCGAGTACAGAGTTTGAGTCAGGTGTGGAGAGAGAAGGCAAACTCCAGGAACGCCTGAAAATCGAGATCGTCTCGCTCACTGCCACCACAACGGCTTCCACACAAGGCTGCGGCCTGAATTCGTGTCAGACAAATCGCCGATGGGCGGCCAGTTGTGAGCGCGGTCCTTTGGGATCAACAAGTTTATTTTAAAAGCAACTTTCCGAGGCTGGTTTGGGGAGTTTTTCCAAAAGCGGAGAATTTAGAACCTTACCCATGGCCTTGGAGGTCATCAAACCATCCTCCTCCCTATGGATATCCTCCTCCTTGCTATCCTCCTTACTATCCTCCTCGCTATCCTCCTTACTATCCTCCTTACTATCCTCCTCCTTGCTATCTTCTTCCTGTCTATCCTCTTCCTTGCTATCCTCCTCCTTGCTATCCTCCTTACTATCCTCCTCATATCCTCCTCTCTATTTACGCCATAAAGGCGCTATATAGAGCTCTCCCTACGTTTATGCTTCTCATAATTCAACACTATAGTTTTTTATCTCAAAAATTTGGCAGTAAGGTTACAAGAGAGTCTATTTTACTAACCGGGCGACTTTGGGCATTCTGATACGATAATTAGGTGGTCAATGGCCATCCTCTACCCTCACCGTAATTCTGCCCCGCAGCGCCAGCAATTCGAGGGTAGCGGCAAGGAAGTCGCAACAATTTTGCAACGCACAATAATCTTGTGTCCAAATACCTATATACGCAGCCAAGCAGAGCTATCACACTATCAGTACCCCGCCCAGCAATTGCACCACGACCATTTACCAGAGAGATCAAAGCACAAGAAGTCATGAACCTGCCTTGGCCGCTGCCCAGTGCGATTCGCAATCTAACCGTAATACAACTGCTGCGATAGGAGGGGCAAGGAGGATGACGCTTAACGCGATCAGCTTCGCAGCTGGCCCGTTCAAAAATCCTGAAATCGTGGATGAAGGGCGTGAAGACTGATACTACACACTGCCCACAAAGATGACAGGAGAAAGTTTAGCCTAGCCCTAAGTAAACCAAAATGTCTAGCTTCCTGCTTTACTACTTATACACTCACTGTTCACTGTCTACAGATCTGCTACAAGACGATATCACGCTGAGACTACAAGGCCTCCCGGGGTTTCTATAAACTACTAAATAGGCAATAAAGATCTCTATTTTTAGAATCAGCATCGCGTGACTTCAATGTACTGCTATACTAGCTACATAACACCAGGTCGACTGATCGGTTTACACCGTTCACATATACACGTAGTCGAGTGGTCCTGCTCGCCTTACCTCAGCTTGCTCGAATCTAAACTTCCTGATTCTCGTCTGTCTGTCGTGCGCGAGGATGTTTCCCTCCATTTGAATCAAATTGAGTCAAATAAACCAAATCAAATGCTGGGCGAATAAACCAAATCCGTGCTTTCGTCAAACCAAATCAAGACTTTGAAATTTGACAAATTAGTCAAATGGAAGTCTTGGCGGAAAAGTCTTTTATTTTGAAATTTATTTTTGATAAAAAGATAAAAGACTTGGCAGACTCTTTTTGTGAGATAGATTAGAATCCTTGACAGTCCTCTTAACAAAATATTGCTTACTAACGTTTGACTCCATTTGACAAATGAGTCAAATCAAATCAAATCGAGCTCTAGGATTAGATAAGCAAATCAAATGAGGGTCATGATTTGGTTTATTTGATTTGATGGATACACTGTCCTGGGTTGTTTCTATTTGTAGGAACTAGTATACTACGCACTAACTCGTTAATGGAGTGCATTGTAATATACCCCGTACTTTGAATTCATGTATTAGGCTTTGGGTTCTGTTGTGTTGGGATTCTGGCTGGATGGAGTACTGTTGGAGTTCGTTGGATAGCAGTATGGCTATGGTAGGAAAAGGGATGGGATGAAGCACGACTCAAGCACATTCACGTAGTAATGTCACTTGTAAAATAAGGAGCCAGGAGCCAGGAGCCAGTAGCTAGACAGACGGGTTAAATGGTATTGCCATCAATGTTCCGGGACGAAGTCGGAGGAAGGCTGGAATATGGAGAGGGAGGAAGAGAAATTCGAGGGTAATTTCCCCCAAAAATTGTGCATGAAGATTTGGTACACGAACATCTCGCCCGGACAGGTAAGAAAAGGGTCGAGCCCTCGACCAACAGAAGGAATCACTGCCATGAAGCAGAGATAGCTGTATACAATCCGAAAACTGGAAACCGATTTATTCTACACCGAGTTGCACAACAGGAACTACTTCAACCATGCCTTTAAACGATGGTACTTGTAGCGCTGGACAGCTCGACAACAATTGGTTGTTTGAGGCTTATCCTGAAAGGACCTATGCCGTATCCTTCGCCCGCTTCTGGAATTGTGGGGCTGTCCCGTACACTGTGGTATACTCCTCGATGTAACGAGCCTTGTCCCGGGCGGCTCTGTCCTCGTACGGCTGGATTTGTATCAGTATAAGTATTCTGTACTATGTGTAGGAAATAATAGGTGAGTAGAAATTACCTTTTTCTCCTCTGCAGAAAGAGCTCTCCATTCTCTTCCAATCAGGGCACCAACCTCACCAATCTTCATGTTCTTCATGTCGCCGGATGCAAATCGTTCCTTCAAAAAGTATGTGTATGACGTTCGGGCCTGTTTGACGATCCGCTCATCTTGGATGTGAGGGTATATTTTCTTTGAGCCTTCCTTCTTCGCTTGCCGCTTTAATTGGCTGCGAGCGGCATTGGCTGCCTTGATCTCGACTGGTGAGTGCTCACCCAACCACTTCTTGAAGGCAGCTTCGTTCTTGGCTTTGTTTTCATTTGCGACGTGGTTCAGACGCTGATACGTAAGTCAGTCTGGAGTATGACTAAAAGAGGATGAGGTTTACCTCCATCTCTTCCGGGCTAAGGTTTTTGTATTGAGCTGATACCTCTTTTGAATGCTGTGAGAGGGACATCCCCTTGGAACTCGTTTCAGTAGACAACACTATGAAGGCGGTTGAGGGTAGCCGTTTGGGAGGATCCAGCAAAGCTATCTTCCGAAGATCCTTTTTCTTTTTGCCCGCATCCTTCTTCTCCTTGGCTGCTTTTTGTTTATCCGTCAATCTCTTTCGCTTCCCTTCTGGTTTTGATTTGGTGCTGCGCTTCCGCTTAGTTTTCCGAGCAGGCTTCTTAGCAGCAGGCTTCTTGCGTGTAGCTGTTTTCTTCGAGGGAGCTTTATCTGGCACACCTGCTGCTGCATCGCGTTGAGCTGCAGCTGGTTTTCGTTTGGACGCCGCAGGGCGGCCGGTATGGGCCTTCGGCTTTCCAGGTTTCGTCGCGTAAGATCGTGAGAGAAGCTGTCCGAGTGTTGAGGTAGAAGCATTACATTGTAGCAAAGAGCTAAGATAGCCTAGGTTGTTGTTGAAGGTGACGCGTGACCACGAGTGCGCGCAAGACAGCCGAGTAGCTCTTAAGTGGGATAGTCGTGTAACTGATTGATGCGATAACACCCTCCTGGGCGACACAAAGAACTTCATGCCTTACATTCAAGGAGCGGAGAAGGGGGTGTTGAGGTATCGAATGAAGAGCTCAACCTCTTCTGTGGGAATCAGGGGAGGCTGGTGACTTAACTACCAGCAAATAGCTTGGTCAGGGATCTGCAACACGGGCAGCTCCTGAGGCTTCAAGCGCGTTAAATTAGGCGCAGCACCTCAACCACAAGCGCCACGTCTTGGCTCGCCTGTCCGCAATGTCTCCGGGGGCCATGTGGCGGTGGAGGGGTTTTCATGCAGATTAATCCACAGGGTTGACAGCCCATTGATTCACAGAATATTCTATTCACCTTCGTTTTTCGCCTTGAGCTGCCAGATGTTCGCCTAAGTCAGGGCGGAATTATTCCAGCTTATTCGTATCGGCCAACAATTTTTACACGTCATTTGTTCAAAACCTCGTCTTCAATATCGCGAGAAGCTCGCCTGGTCCTTGATGCGGGTCAAGCAGTAAAACTCACTCATTTACAGCCTCTGTAGATGGCTCGCCACGGGGATACTCGCTCACCATCACCTGTAGGAAGCTCGTACTCTTCATCAAAGCGAAATCGGAGGGAGGAAGACGGATATGATCGAAGTCGGCGGGACGATGGAAGAAGCCATCGTAGAAGATCTCGGTCTCGAAGTCCGGAGGTAAACAAACCCTTGCTCTACCTCAAAGACCAAAGTACTTACCGACCTCCCAATCAGCGCCGCCACCGAGATAGAGAACGCGATCGCGATCGGGACCGGGAGCGTGAGCGTGATCGAGAGACCTACAGAAGACGAGACCGTTCCCCAGCCAGGCGCTACGATGACAGACGAGATGTAGACCACTACAAATCTGGGCGACGAGATCGTTCACGTGATCGACGGCGGTCAAAAGATCGAGACGATCGTCGTAGAAGTCGTGACAAAGATTATCGAAGCAGGCGGCAAGACTCCAGAGAGCGCGATGGTCGAAGAAGAGACGATTCTACTGACTCTAGGCGGAAGACTAGGAGGGAAGAAGGCAGGGAGAAGGCTTCGGCGAAACCGTCCACCAGTCAATCTCGCGAAGTAAGTCCATATTACAGCTTCACCATAGAGGAAGACACAGCCGCTCAATTGATGATACAGACCTCCAAGCCATCAACTCCAAATCAGAATGCTGAAGAACAGAAGGCTGCCCGCCTTGCAAAGTTAGAGGCTTGGAAGAAGAAGCAAGCTGCTGAGCAGGCTAAAAAAGATGCCGAACTGGCAGCAGCTGGAGGTGCGAGAAGCATTCTTACCGAAATCGATAAGAAAGCTAGACTTTCCCCAGTTGCCTCCTCTCCTCAGTCACCAGCCGTCCCAGGCAACGTATCACCTGTACCATATGCTGGCAAATTTGATCCAAAAGCAATCGTCAAGAAGGCACACGTACCAGCGGCCACTCCAGAGGTTCTGGGCGCTGATCTGGCTGCTCCACAGCTCCCGAAACAGTCTGCTGTATCAAGCACGTCAGGAACTTTTAAGGCTGACAATACAACAGTATCTAACAGCACCACCAAGAACGGTCAGTCACCGCGCCAACCAAATCCTATGTTCGTAGCTGACAGTCTCCAAGCATCTTTCAAAACCCGAGGCAATGTTAGCGGATTCGGTCTCGGTGCTAAAGTTCCGTCAGAGGCAGAGAAGTCCAAGACCGGCCCAGTATTCGAAGAAGAAGAATCTAGCCGCAGAAAGTTGGAGAAGTTGCCCACGCCACCTCTTGGAGAAGTTGACTTGAACAAGACTAACGGCGTAAAGGAGGATGGAGCGGATGTCGATGACGGTGACGATGATGACGTGGACATGCAGGTTGATGGTTCAGAAGAGGAAAGGCTGGCGGCAGCACGAGCTGCGGCTGAGAAAAGAGAGGAGCTGGTGCAATCTCAAGCTGGAAGAAATAAAGCGGAGAATGGTATGCTGCCAAGTAACAGTGCGAACGGCGGTGATACATCTATGACAGATGCTCAACCGGAGGCTCCACCTCCAGATGCAATGGAAGAAGATGATGCAGATCCTTTGGACGCTTTCATGTTGGGACTTAGAGCTACGCCGTCGAAAGCATCTGGCGTAAATGGTATAAAATCCTCGAAATCAAGACAGCAAGAGCCTCAGGCAATATTTGGTGACGACGAGGTTGACCTCACAGCCATTGATGCTGATCCAGGTGACATCCTAGCCATGGCTAGCAAGAAGAAGAAAAAGGATATACCAACAGTCAATCATGCAAAGATAAAATATGAACCATTTAGGAAGAACTTCTACAGCGAGCCTGTCGACATGTCAGGTTTGAGCGAAGCCGAGGTTGCCAACCTGCGACTCGAATTGGATGGTATTAAAGTACGTGGAGTAGATGTTCCAAAACCAGTACAAAGATGGGCCCAATGTGGTCTGGGCGTACAATCCTTGGATGTGATTCAGAAGCTCGGATACGCAGCACCTACTTCAATTCAGTCTCAAGCGATACCGGCAATCACCTCCGGAAGAGACGTTATCGGTGTCGCGAAGACAGGCTCAGGCAAGACTATCGCTTTCTTGTTGCCAATGTTCAGACACATAAAGGATCAGCGGCCGTTGGATATGCTAGAAGGCCCGATCGGTTTGATCCTATCACCAACCCGTGAATTGGCGACACAGATCCACAAAGAGTGCAGACCTTTTCTAAAAGCATTGAACTTGAGGGCAGTCTGCGCTTACGGAGGAGCACCTATCAAGGACCAGATTGCTGATCTCAAACGTGGGGCCGAAATCATAGTCTGTACCCCTGGTCGAATGATTGACTTACTCGCAGCAAATTCAGGTCGTGTAACCAATCTACGACGAGTCACATATGTCGTCTTGGACGAGGCCGATAGAATGTTTGACATGGGTTTCGAGCCGCAAGTCATGAAGATTCTGGCGAATATCCGTCCTGATCGCCAGACTGTCCTGTTTTCCGCTACCTTTCCGAGGCAGATGGAAGCGTTGGCCCGCAAAACCTTGTCCAAGCCTGTTGAAATAGTTGTCGGTGGACGTAGCGTTGTTGCACCGGAAATCACTCAAATCGTTGAAGTGCGCAACGAGGATCATAAATTCATACGCTTGCTCGAGCTGCTTGGCAACATGTACTCTGACGAGAAGAATGAAGATGATCGGGCCCTCATTTTCGTTGACCGCCAGGAATCAGCAGATTCGTTGCTGCGAGATCTGATGAGGAAAGGATACCCTTGCATGTCAATACACGGCGGCAAAGATCAAATCGACCGAGATTCAACAATCGACGATTTCAAGGCCGGAGTTGTCCCGATCCTTATTGCAACCTCAGTGGCAGCGAGAGGGTTGGATGTCAAACAGCTGAAGCTCGTGGTCAACTATGATGCACCAAATCATTTGGAGGATTATGTGCATCGTGCGGGTAGGACTGGAAGAGCAGGCAACACGGGAACTGCCGTAACGTTTTTAACCGAGGAACAAGATCGTTATGCAGTTGACATCGCCAAAGCGCTCAAGCAATCCGGCCAACCAGTTCCAGAACCGGTGCAGAAATTGGTGGAAGCGTTTAACGAGAAGGTCAAATCAGGCAAGGAGAAGGCTTCTGCAAGCGGATTTGGTGGCAAGGGACTGGACCGCCTGGATCAAGAACGAGATGCTGCTAAAGCTCGCGAACGCAAGACTTTCAAGACTGGTGAAGAAGGCGAGGAGGACGAGAAGGAAGACAAGGATACTGTTGGTGATGATCTTTTCGCAAAAGCCGCATCTGGTATCAAAGCACTCGACGCTAAACCGGAGCCAATACCTGGTGTTCCCAAAGGCATTGATCTTGATGGTAAGATCACCGTGCATAGGACCGAGAAGGAGACAGGGCCACAAAACCAAATGGACAAGGTCGCTGCAGCGGTTCAAAACATCGCCGCCAAATTGTCGAAAGCGGGTGTCATGCGGCAAGGGGTGCCCATCGATAACAAAGGACCAGATGCAGGAGCTTTCCATGCGACACTTGAGATTAACGATTTTCCTCGTAAGTCAATTTCTGTTCTCCTTATTCAGATCTCATGCTAATATTTCTGCAGAAAAAGCTCGTTGGGCTGTCACCAATCGAACCAATGTCGCCAAAATCCTTGAATCTACTGGCACCTCGATCACCACCAAAGGATCGTTCTACGCTGCTGGAAAGGACCCGGGTCCGAACGACAATCCGAAACTGTATATTTTGGTGGAAGGCGACACCGAAGTCGTGGTGCATGATGCTATGAGGGAGCTGATGAGGTTGCTGAAAGAGGGCACTATCGCTGCAGCTGATACCGACACTCGGGCACCAGGTAGATACAGTGTAGTCTAAGCAGCGAGATGAAATAGAGTATATTGCCATTGCTTTTTTCTTTGTGACGTTTGCCCGAAAATCAGCAGGCTCGCCTGTGTTCCAGGTTTCCGCAACACCTTCATACAATCCGAGCACCCCTAGCGCTTTAACTTGTACTCGAGGTTGGAAGCACAATCAGCATCTTTCCAACAGATGAAGTTCCGCTCGTCGTCGTCATATTTCAGTTCCTCAATACCCTTGCAGCATCAACCTCGTTCTTGACCACCATCCAGCCTCGGGCCTTACTTAGCTAAGCGGTGATTGCTAGCGCGAAATTTCCCGATGGAGGCCACACAAAATCCGCTTCGTGGGGAGGATTTTCGAGATCCGCTTCACGGTCAAGCAGAGCCAGCAGCTGGACCAGTCTGGATACGCAAGTCAGACATGGCAATGGCCGAGTCAGTAACCCTCTAATCCAACCCCAGAAACCCGTCTGAGTCTGACGTGTTCTAGGAAAGAGACGCCACTCAAGGCCGTCCAGGTCGAGGGCTTGGTATGCGATAATGCTGGAATTGCTGACCACAATGCTGACACGCCCTTAGGTGGTCATGAAGATCATAAAACACTGTTCGCAAAGGTTCCCAACCACAGCGACCGGCGCTCTTGTGGGCATGGACGTTAACGGCACACTCGAAATCACCAACGCTTTCCCACTGCCCATCATCGAAATACCACCCGAGGCACATTATGAAGGCCAGCACATCAACACAGCGGCTGCCGCACCTCGAGCGAAAGCAAATACTGGATATCAGGCGGAGATGATCAGAATGTTGCGAGAGGTCAACATAGACGCACAGAGTGTTGGTTGGTATACAAGTGCCAACATGGGCAACTTTTGCAACACCAATTTCATCGAGAACCAGTATTACTACCAAAAAGACCTCAACGAGAACACCGTTGCGCTGGTACATGATGTCAGCCGAAGTTCACAAGGAGCTCTTAGCCTGCGAGCCTTCCGACTATCACCACAGTTCATGGCGGCTTACAAAGAGAACAAGTTCACCACAGAGAAGTTAGTCGCACACCTTCGTATCACTCCCTCGAGCAAAGCTAATTCAAGCAACAGTCTTCAAAAATCCAACCTTCGATATCAAGACATCCTTGTTGAGCTTCCGGTCCAAATACACAATTCCCACCTCCTCACCACCTTCCTACACCAACTCCCCACACCACCTCCACCCACCTCGCTGGAGGAACCTACATCAGTCTCATCCATAGAAACGAACCCCTTCCTCTCTTCCAACCCCCTCCACCCCAATTACGACACCCTCTCCCTCAACATCGACCCCTTCCTCTCCCAAACCTGTGACCTCCTTCTCGACTCCATCGAAACCCACCACACGGAATCCAACAACTTCTCCTACTACTCTCGCGCCCTCGCCCGCGAACAGAACAAGATTGCGCAGTGGCAAGCCAAGCGGAAAGCTGAGAACGCACTGCGCGCGTCGACCAAGCAGGCTTTACTGCCGGAGGATGAGTGGCAGAGGCTGTTCAAGTTACCAACGGAGCCGAATCGATTGGAGAGTATGTTGAACTCAAGGCAGGTGGAGCAGTATAGCCGGCAGGTTGATGGATTTGTGGCGGGAACGACGGGCAAGATGTTTGCTGTTAGGGGGAATTTGTTGCCGGGGGAGGGGGTGGGTGGGGATTGAGGAGGCCCAAGAGAGCAGGGAGCAGAGCTGTTGCGAGGAGTGGGAAGAGGCGTGTTCTGCTAGGCATTTCGTAGATAGCGATCAAACTAGAGGGGAGACCTTTAGCCCACAGGGGAGCAGGTGCTGCTAACTAGTGAGGACGTCAAATCCTGTATACTGAGTACCTGTGCTAGTTAGCTCCACACTTCCGAGAACTATGTGCCACCGCCAGCGTAGTAGTAGGCGATAACCTGACCGAGTGAGTTACTTGATCCGTGAACAACATACTAGTACCAAATCCCCTATAGGTTCTGATGCTCTGATACTGCCTAGACAGCCAGCAACATAGTGCCGCCTGTGAGATGCACCAATTTCACTCGCGAAGTTCGAGACTAGAAATAACAGGAGGTAAGAATAGCATAGGTGTATAGATAAAGAACGAGAGCAAGGAAACGTATCCGTAGGATTTTGTAGTATGTGATCCAGTGAAGGATTTCTGCGAGTACGGTAGCCATGACCGAATCTCCGTAGCTAGAGTTTCTGTTTGATGGTACTAGGGAGCAACAGGGTGCTGGCTGTAGCTTGAAGGAAACACGGAAGAGGGAAAGGGAAGTGAGGGAAGAAAGATAGTAAGGATCTGGACGTATTAGGGTGCATGGAAGATTGCTTGAGGACAGTAATATCGTGAATGGGTGTGACCTTGACACTCAGGTCCTTCAAGAGGAAGGATAGTTGCTCGTGCTGCCTCGAATATCTTGAGGATAAGGTTGATGTCTTGTACTCTGCGCGAGGAAGAGGTGCTCTGGTTTATATGTATCTTCGTGGGAAAGTTTGTGTCCTTATTTTCTTCTCGAACGTTGGGTCCGGCCGCTGTGATGTGCGCCTGTACGCCTGAGCTGCTGTGCGCCTCTGCTTCATATGCTGCCGCCTGTAGCAGGATATTTCAGGAAGTCAAACATGCCAGACGAACATCCAAGTGCTTCCCTCCAGTACCTCTCGCAGACTGCCGCCCGGATGTACCCTTGGTCGAGCTCAAGCTCGAAACTACACCTGCCCCATCCCTAGAAAATAATCACTCCAGCCTGAACGAGCAATGTTCGAGTCTCACATTTTAGTTGTAATTCCGCGCCTCAGCCACCGCATCCGCAGCCCTTGCCTGCTGCTCCTCCTTCGACCCAGCAGCCAACAACTCACTCCTCGTCTGCTTCTTTTGCGCTTCCAGCTGCGCGGACAGCTTGCCACCAGACGTTCCTCTTGAGGCCGCTTTCGCACGTTCCTGAAGCGCGTGTTAGGAGGCCTTTAGCATGGAGGGCAAGCAGCAACGATGGAAGCCGCTGCCTTGCGACAGCAAGAGTAAGGACTCACTTCCGCGGCTTTGGCAGCTGCGCTTCGAGGATCGGAGGCTGCCCCGTCCAAGTTTCCACCACTGTTGACGCTGCTGCCTCCGAGAGGTTTGCCGGGTGAGTTCGATGTTATTTTCCGGGGGAGGGGCGCGGAGGATGCGGGTTGTGAGGAGGAGGTGCCGACGACTCGACCTTGGCCTGGGAATGCGTCGGGCTTGTTTGCTGATTTGGAGCAGAGATTGCCCATGGCTGCTGCCACAACGGGTTTGACCCAAGTATGTACAAGAGCTGAGATTGTCACCAAGGCATCAAGACTGGAAGGGGTGATAAACCACCTGGGTCAAGGGTGTCGGAGGTGGGATGGGATGTCAGTGCGGATGATCGACTAGATTGCGCCATCGTCCCGCAGTTCCGCTTTGGGAAGAAGAGAACAACATCCAAGTCACAACGTCGTGACTGCAAATCACTTTCACAACATCTGCATTTAGACACAAGCACGCTCGAGCTATGCATGATGATAAATGCACGGAGACTGTTGAAATACTCTTGCAAAAGCCGACTGGCACCAGAGCTTGCTTGATCCTATGCCCTCCATCTTATCACATTGCTGGGATGTCTTTTGAACCACCATGAAAACACTGGAAAGGCGGACGTGGCGGGAAACGAACTATGGCGTGAAGGTGTGGGCATCGAATATCAAAACCGCAAACGATGAGTGTCAATCGTTGCAGCCCAACTTCCTCGTGCTCTCGTTGTCGCTCAAGCTGCTGGTGGATCCTCAACGTCACTCGAAGGAGGGCCCCTAGGATAGACAGAAGAATATCAAGAACACCTCTTGATCTGTCTTGATAGATGGGAAACGGTATCCTAGAGAGGTGTCTCGAGCACGCCGGAATACAGAGCCCGCATCTTCATCAATCATTATCTCATCAATGCCAATGACAACCTCGTAAAAGGCACCAAGAGACTCCGAGTCCTTCAACAATGCAGAGCTGTATCACTGTCGTTTACGCCCGTCTCGTGTATCCGAACGACTGATCGACTGATTATCGAGATCATGGTTGCCGTAAGAGCGTACCATTGCCCAGCACATCCACCGACCGTCATCTTTCCCACTGTAATCGTCCTGGATCGAACGTATAAGGTTGCACTGCGCTCTTTGGCAATCGAGACCTTCTTCGAGTACTCCGTCAGAGTGTTGCGGGCTTCCAGCTTCGACTTCATGGACAAAATTCGCCGCTTTATCCACCCTTGGTAGGGAAGACACCGTTGAGGCAGCAACATCCCCTTCCGATTGAGGAAGGCACAAGCCGTTGATGCACATGACATTCATTTGGTGGATACTATTCCTAATGATTTCCACTCCGCCACCATCGGCTCCACCGCTGATTACCCGATACATACTTACGAGGCCCTTATGGCCGCGCCAAAAACCGTTGAGAGAACCGTGCGGTGACTACGTTTCCCGTTTGGGCTAAAATCCACACCCCCAAGATCGTGAACTAAAACACGCCTCTGCTCTTTTCAACATCTGAAAGAGGAACCGCGATGGGCTCGAATCCTCCCAGCCAATGATTGAGATGCTCTGCTCAAGCCTGAACCATTCCTTTGGCATTCTGAAGGAGTCATGTGTCCATTTTCTGGATCAAAACAGCAAAGGGTCAAAACGCTTCTCCCGATGGCTCCGCTCCGTGACCCGGGATTCAGCGAGGAACATGTGGTTTTCAGGAATGCCATGTACATAAATTTGTAGGTTCTTCCACCCAGAAATCTATTCCTTCATCTCACCACCGAAATAAGAACTTGACTGTGATATTGAAACCACTGTTCTACTACATACTTTTCAACACAGTCATTCTTTCCGCACCATACTATCATTCTCCACATGGCATCATACAACAGCTTCAACAGCGACATGAATAGCAACATGGAGATCTTCTGGACACCATATCAAGACCAACAGATGTGGCAAGGTCTCACTACTGGGGAGACCGCTGAATCATCACAAATTCCATCTCAAGATATGTTGCAGCCACTCAACTCGGCACATAGCTCTACACCCTTGATGCCCTGCACATATACTCAACACAACCAGTATATAGAGCCGCAGGGCAACATGATCAACGACCCTCCTGCGTGGCATCAAGAATCTCTACAGAGTGCGGGTGCCATCCACGATGACATGTTGGCCGCTATGTCAGATGAAGACCTTTTCGACCTCGCTTCCCTCGTCATACCCCCTGAGGGCTCCCAGTACCCTGTCGAAGAGACTAGCCACCAAATACCAGTAGCTACACAACAAGATATGCAGACGGACTCCCTGACGACCAGCTACGACGATTTTCAGCCACCATTCGTCCCTACACATCAACCATACCCAGATATCTCTGATGCCACCCTAGAACGACTTCTGGCTGGCCTCAGCACTCCTCCTCCCCCTTTTCATGAGGAGCAACAAGTACCTGACACAACTGTGCCCAATAACGTGTTTGGCGACATCCAGGAGCCTGGATCATCTTATCCGCCGCCATATATGCCCATGGCGGGCCCCTCGACATACAACTCTGCTACCTACCAACCACCACCACCACCGCAGGCCTCCTACTTTGATCACTCTCCCACTCCCGCTCCCCTTCCGGCGCAGATCACAGCGGCGCCACCACCACAGCTACAACTGGAAGGACAGCTTCCTCTTCCTCCTCTAACATCCCCTGTCGTCTCCTCCTCTTTCATCAATAACGCCACCATCGCCTCCTCGTCCTCCTTCTCCTCGTCCTCCATCAATAGCACCACCGTGGCCTCCTCCTACTTCTCTTCCACTACCACCAACAGCAGCCACAGCAACACTACCTCTGCCGCATCCTCTCGCAACAACACTCCCAGAAAACGCCGAGCGGCAGCACATAAAAAGCGGATTGAACAAAGCTGCAAAGTGGCAGGGTGCTCGTACAAGAGCTGCAACAAGGAAGAATTCCGGCGCCACACCGAGTCCGTGCACCAGAAGATCCGCCGGCACCACTGCGACATCTGTGATTCCAACTTCAACGATGCGAGCGGGCTGTCGAAGCACAAGAAGACGGATTCGCACCGGCAGAGGGCCAAGGCGCAGGGAATCGAGCTGGGCGGCAAGACCATGTTTGCGTGTCGCTTCTGCATCAACCATGGCGTGAACCCGACGAAGTTCAGACGGGCCGATCATCTGAAGAGGCACTTGAGGGAGTGCAAGAACTGCGAGAAGAAGGATGATGGGCTGCCGGTCGGGTATGGGGGTGGAATCGGTGGGATGAAAAATGGCGCTCTACGGGATGGTGCAGGTTTTTTCTTTGTGCACAGCGAGGTGTCAGAGGATGAAGCATTTGGGCTTGTATGAGATGTTGGTTTGGACAGCACGGTGTTTTGGGAATGGCTGGACGGACACCCAGGAGTCCGGGGGCAATTGTCTTGCATTTGTTGGAGTTTGGCACTTGGATCTTGCATTTGAAATCGCTCGACAATGTGATGGAATCCTGCGGGCATTGGTGCCCTTCAGGGACTTGTATATAGCAACAACTGCTCAATCAATTTCAAAGACTCCCCAAAATTCTTTTAGGCGTGATGTTGTCCCGAAGCCCCCTGAAGCCCCCCTGAAGGCCCTGACGCCCCTGAAAGATGACCCCTAGCCAAGACGATAGATAAGATAAGATGGAACCAATGTTCCATGACGATCATCATCCGAGCTCCCAATCTTTTTTGGTATATCGTCTGCAAGCCTACAAGAGGCCGCACCAGCTGTAGCGACTCTTGACCTAAACTCGCAATAATCTAATGTCTTTCAACACCAACACTGACATCTGGTTCGTAAGTTGAAGCTCATAATACAACGCACGGTCGGCCGAGTCTTCGCGCCCAAGCCCTCTCTGTTTCCACCCCCTAGCATGCACCTACCGTCGCGGCCTATTAGCTACCAAGACGCATACTGACTCTTCATCCCCCCAGGCCGGAGCCTTCGCAGCCTTCACCGTCGACCTCCTCGTCTATCCGCTCGACACCCTAAAAACGCGCATCCAATCTCCCAACTACCAAACCCTCTACAAAACCATCCCCCGCCCCTCCTCCTCCTCCTCCCCCTCTCAAAAACACCCCCGTCTCACCGGCTCCTCCCTCCTATCCCGCCACACGCACTTCAACCCCTCCCTCTTCCGCGGTCTCTACCAAGGAATCGGCACCGTCATCTTCGTGACCATCCCCAGCTCCGGCGCATTCTTCACCACCTATGAAGCGCTGAAGTCCACCCTCTCGGACTCCATCCCCCCCAATTCAACCATCTACCTGCCCCAACCGGCCATCCACGCCCTCAGCTCCGGTGGCGCGGAGTTGGTGAGCTGTGCGATTCTAACCCCGGCGGAGGTGCTGAAGCAGAATGCCCAGGTCTGGAACCGGAGCCAAGATCGGACGGGAGGGAAGGGGGAGAGGAGGAGCCCGACGATGGAAGTGCTGAAACAGTTTAAAAGGCAGCCTACAAAGTTGTTCCGGGGTTATACGGCGCTAGCGGCGAGGAATCTGCCGTTTACAGGGTTGCAGTTTCCAATGTTTGAGCATTTGAAGGGCTGGTTCTTGGAGAGGAGGAGACGGAAAAGGCTGCGGTTGAGGGATAATGAAGGAGGGGGAGAAGCAGAGGAGGTGAAGGTTGATGGGATTTTTGAGCGGGCACGCATAACCGCCCTCAGTGCCGCGCTGGCGGGCACGGGCGCTGCCTGGATCACTACGCCGATCGATGTGGTCAAGACGAGGATCATGCTTGCGGCGGGCGAGGAGGCGAAGAATAGAGACTCTAACCCGCATTCCCTGCATGACCATGTCACTTCAAGAACAACAACGGGGACCACATCCAGGCAGACCGCTCTCTCCCTCACCAAGCAAATCCTCAAAACCGAGGGCATCCAGGGCATGTTCCGCGGCGCATTGTTGAGGTCGCTCTGGACGGCGTTTGGGTCGGGACTGTATCTCGGTTGTTATGAGGGGGGAAGGCATTATCTGGAAGAACGGCGGAGGGATAAAGATGAAGGAGGGGATGTGGTCATGGAGAGGGAGGGTGATTGGAAGGGAGTTAAGGTTGGGATTGGGAAGAGTAGGAGTCAGGGCGATGTCGTGCGCAAGAGTGCTTGGCAGGATTGAGGAGTGTGTTCATTTTATGAGAGCTGGGGATTGAGATTGAGAGGCGAGCTTGTATATATGGTGTGGCCAGTTTGGTTGTAATGGCACATACATTTCAAGGTGTCAGCAGGATCGAGGTGGGTAGAGAGATCTTCACAACAGAGCATACAGCAAGTGCGGCCACAATTCTCGATATCCTCTATTGATCTCAGACATTTATTCTCCTGGGTATGTCGCATAACCGCCTCCCGAGTCAGGCCGTCTGCTTTTGCCTTGGAAGACAACTAGCTAAGTTTCCAGAACGAACCACGCCTTCATCTCGAATGATTCTTGTGCGCTTCATCGTGGCGATGCCTCATCAGGACCCAGGTCAAATCTGCAGTGGCACACTGGCAACAGGCGTCAGGTTCTCGCTCTTGCTCATCGACGTTCTTGGACGTCATGGTCACAGCGCCTATCGCCAAGCCGAGAGGAGAGACCTCTACAGCTGGCCCGATATACAAATGGTCGCCTTCAATTGGACCGACCATCAGAATCGAGAGATAGGATCCACTAATGCTGCAGTGCTCTCTTTTTGAATTCCAGACCTCCCCAGGCTGGATTGTATGGAAAGGGTGCAGGGAATGAAGGAGGCGTTGGGCTGCGACGTGGTCCATTCAGAACCGCTCTTTACTACAGCGCTGACCGTGTTCTCATAACGATGCAGCCTGAGTGCAGGAGACGAAGGAATGCATGGACAGGGACAATGCCTGCGCTGATGAGGAGTGCGTCTTGTTGGCTACATGACATTCACGGGATGTAAGGCATGTCGACTTCCGACGCAGGTTGATCTGATTTGGAGAGTTGCTGGTTTGCGGCTTCGTATATTCTGGCCCCTGAGCGTTATGCTGCCGTGGCACTTAAGAAGTCGCTAGTACTTGGGGGTTGTGGTCCTTTTGGTCCAACACTACTACTTATATGTCTCCCCCAGAATCTGTATCTAGAGTTTCAAGTCATTACAAACACACGCTACTGTTGATACACCTTGGCCATACAGAGCCATACAGTATCAGGTTGCCGCGGAACAGGCATATAATCTATATATGCAAACAAGGAAAGACGGGTAAAGTGAGAAGTAATTAGCCTTCAGAGATTCAGCGATGCTGATCTCTGCATGGTCTAGATGTCGCCAAAAGTCGGTGACCATTGTACATGGATCGTACATCTCAAGTTGGTGTACGTTGGACAGAGCCTCAGTGGTCAACAGAACGTGAAGACTAAATGTTCCACAATAATCGACAATTTTGAATGGAGAATAGGGCCGGAGCTAGGTGCCAAAATTCTTGACAGTTCCCACATTTTATCCCTTGTGAACCCGAATACATCCAAGTGGGCATCCTTCCGATTTAGGACTAGTATTTTTTGCGTGAAAAAGGCTAATTATTATAGCTATAAAACTATAAATGATATCATTCGAAAGCTAACTCTTCTAGCTTTCAAATAATACTATTTATAATCTATATACTATATATTTAAATAGAGCCTTTTAAGAGCTATCAAATAATATTATTTATAGATCTCTAGCCTTAATAATTAGCCTAACATAGCTAATTTAAGTTTTACTCTTATAATTTACTTTTAGTATTCTTAACGCTAAGGCTGCAGCTAAATCTTTATGAATTTTGATATTCTTAACGCTAAGGCTATAGTACTCTTCTATAATTTTGATATTCCTAATGCTAAGGTGTTAGGGCTTAATAAGTCAAGATAAGTCTTAACCAGAAGTGAGGTCCAAAGGGGTTTGGGTTATAGAACAGGGGGTACACAAGTAGATCACGAGATGTCTTCAACTTCTAGGTAAGAGCTAATAACATGAGTTGACTATGAAGACTATGAAACTATCTGGGAAATAAGCGTGCTTATATAGGCTAAGAGATTCGTGCTCATGGCTGCTCTATTCAGGGTCCAGTCTTGTCCAAGTCTGTCATAGTTCCTTCGCAGAGCGCCAGGCAGCTTCGTAGCGCCTGTCTGTGCTTGGCGTGTTCAAGTCCTGTAACATACTTGGTGCCGCCGAAAAGTGCGTCCCTTCCTAATTGGGTCTAGCACCACGCTAGATCCATCTCCGCCAAATTCTGGCGAATCAACAGCCAATTTCAAACAGTTGTATCTCAACAACAACTACTCGAAATACGTTGCCCTTTAGCTATAACAAGCAGCTATAGCTATGCCTCCTCATCATGGCGAAATCCCTTACGAAAAGCGCGTTGCTGTCGTTGCCCTGCGACTTTTAGCAGGCTTGAAATTCGCCGAAATTGCTGAAAAACTCGATCTTGAAGCGAATTCGAATTGTTAAGAGAGCTATTTCATGAGCATTTTGAGCTTCCTATTGAGGTAGTAACAACCTATATTGCAGGACTCAAAATGGCACGCAGCACAGCCGAAAATATCGCTCACAAGCATCGCGATCCTCTGAACAATCACGAATTAGTTCGAGTCGTACAGCCAAATAAGCCTGTTCTTACTCACGACGTTCGAGATTTACGCGTTGAATATGCGGAATGGGCTACTAAGGAGCAAGAGAATAGTGCTATATTCATCTTTGTCGACGAAACTTACTGTCATTTTGGAGGGCATTTTAGGAACAAACCAAAGATTACAAAGCCAAAAGGTGCAGATCCACATCTCTACGCACGTTTTGATCCTGCAGAGCAGTTTCAATTGATGGTATGGGGTGCAATTGGTCTGTACGAAGATGAGATCAAATTCCCTTTTTGGATATGGGAGCCAGAAACAGAGGAGGATAAATAATAAGCAAGGCAAGATATTAATCAATACAATGCGAATCACAAGCGAGAAGCCCTATCTCAACAGGCTAATGCCCACGTCTCTGGTACCGTTGAAAATCACGTTCTACAAGAGATAAATAATAATGTTATTTCTCACAATCAACAACGACGAGCAGAAGGTTATCAAGGCAACAAGGGATTCAAAAGAAAACGTACAGCAGAACAGGTGTTTAAATACGTTGAATTTAAGAGAGATAACAAGAAGGGGGGCATTGATTAGTAGATATATCGCAACGAGATTTTGATCCCTCTCTTGATACCCTATTATCAAGATATTCAACGTCGTCATGGCAACCAAGGCAATGTTTGGCTTGTTGAGGATAATCTTGGTGTTCATAAGAAGGCGTGGGATTCTCTCGGAGATATGGGTGTGTTGAGGGCTCCTTGGATGAGCAATTCTCCTGATTTGAATCAAATTGAGCCAATTTAGGGGTATCTCAAGGACTCACTATAGGATATGAGAGTAACCTCCTCTTTTGAGAGCATTAAGGAGCTGGCCAAGGGTAGAATTCGTTACGAAATGCACTCTGAGGGTATGCGACGGTGTGCTAAACACCATATTGAGGGCTATCGTGACAAATTGGCCCAAGTTCAGAGGCACGAGGGCAATAACAACTTCAGAGGATAGCTGCAATTGATTGGCTAACAGAATCCCTGCCCTCTCCACTCTAGACCCTCTATCCTATACCCGATTAGGAAAGATATACAGCTTCAAATTAGCGCTAGGACGCACTTTTCGGCGGCATCAGTAAGGCTACAGAATAACCTTATCCGTGGCCCAATGGGTGGATCCCTAGGGACCCACTTTGCAGGGGGGGTCCCCCAGATCGGAAGCCCTCTCCACTCTAGACCCTCTATCCTATACCCGATTAGGAAAGATATACAGCTTCAAATTAGCGCTAGGACGCACTTTTCGGCGGCATCAGTAAGGCTACAGAATAACCTTATCCGTGGCCCAATGGGTGGATCCCTAGGGACCCACTTTGCAGGGGGGGTCCCCCTGGCAAAGCCAGCGCGCCCAGCGCGTGGCTGTCAGCTCAACGCGTTTGTCAGCTCAACGCGTTTTTTGAACAGAAATTCAACTACGAAGGAGTACAGATAGCTTAGAATTCGCCGAATTGGGATATTAATCCTCTATTTCTTCTAGAGGGCCATTTATGATGGTCCACTCCAAGTTTGCTGTACGCCGACGCTCATCTTCTAGCTCTTTTCGTAGGATTTGCTCTCTCTTTTGAGCCCTCATCTCCTGTGTACCCCCCTCTTCTTCTCGTTGTTTGGTCATATTTCGAGCCTGTTCGGCATAAAGAACTCCTCCATTTTGTAGTTGACGTTGCCCTCTACATCTTCGTTCTTTTCGTTCTCTTTCAGCTGCTGTATATTCTGATAGATCCTTCTGGATTTGTACGGCAGTTTTGGCCTGAATCAGAGCCCCCTTGATGAATTTCTCTTGTAATGTTGTTTGACGACTCGGAGTTGCATTTTGTAGTTGAATAGCTTGCTTTTCAAGAGATTGAGCTGTTAGAGGTGTAACAGGAGGCCAGATTTGAGCGTCAGGAGGAGTAGATGGTCGATTTAGAGGAGTAAGAGGTTGATATTCTTGGATCTTATTTAGTACAATATTTGGATTGTAAGGAACAAGTCCGCATTCTCGAAATCCATCAAGGATAGAGTTCCTTTTAAACGTCATTTGGCGAATACTTTGAATAGCAGCAAGGAATTCTAGCTTATCAAATTTGCTACATCCTTTTCGAGTTGCTTGATCCACTGCCTGGGCGTGCCAATGCTTATACGGCTGAAATAGAACAACGTCAAGCGGTTGGAGGACGTGAGAAGTATGTAGAGGAAGCGCAAAAACGTAAATAAGGTTGATCTCGCAGAATTCGAGGATCTCTCGCGTAAAACGGCTCATATATCCGTCACAGAGGAGGATACGATGAGCTCCTATACGCGTTCGTCGACTTTGGCGTTCAAAGTGCTGAATATATTCGTACGCAAGCTCATCATTCGAATATCCAGTATCTGATAAGCCAATTAAAGTCTCTCCTTAAAGCTCATGATAGAAACGCTCTAAATGAACCTTCCCTGGCAGAATCAACATCTCATTAATAACTGCTCCGCCAGCACTAATAGCCTCCACAGCTGTTATAAAGTCGCGCGTATTATCAGAAGGTAAATAATGCCTTTTTCTCCGCGAAGCAGTAACTATCCATTGACTCTTGCTAACGCCTATCCGAAAGCCTGTTTCGTCGAAATTCCAGATATCCTCATTCTGTATTGAATATTTCTCTCAGAGCGTTCGAAAACGCTCAAACCAGTTCAAAATAGCGTCAGAATCATGAGCCAGCTTTCGTTCAAGTTCTAAGGGCTTTTGTTTAGCCTTATGAAGCTCAGAATGTCGATCTAGAAAGCGTCAGGCCCATTTTGAGCCTACAGAGGGCGCAGGAGTGTCGGTAGTATGATCCTGAAGAAGAATAGCATTTGCTACATTGCTGATTTGATCATATCGTATAGAGTGGCCAATTTCGTCTAAAGAGAGAATATATCGAATAAGAGATGCCTCTTAGATAGCAGAGAGCTTTGGATTAGCTGCCTTTCGACCTATACAAGATCCTATACTCTTGAGTCGTCGATGGATACGATCTTTATGGATACCAAGTTCGCGCGCTTTTGCTGCAACAGTAGAGCGCTCTCCCTCCTCTTTTGCAGCACGGATCTCTCGTACGGCCCTATCCACCAAATCATCGATATCTTCGTTCGAAACAGGCATGTTATGAGGGTGCTATGGTCAAGAATCTACAGGAGTTGAATTTCTGTTCAAAAAACGCGTTGAGCTGACAGCCACGCGCTGCGCGCGCTGGCTTTGCCAGGGGACCCCCCCTGCAAAGTGGGTCCCTAGGGATCCACCCATTGGGCCACGGATACCGCTAAATACAGGTACCTCTTAACGCTAAACTCTATAAGGAAGGATGCTTACGCAGGGGTTTATTCAGGCTTATAAGGGATAAAATTGCCACAAAGTTAATGCAGAGTTAGTGCAGAGTTGATGCAGAGTTCAAAATTTTAATGTGTTGTTAACCTAATAATAGTCCGCCGTAGTTCCGCGTGAATGAATTATAACGAATCCGGCATCCTGAAGGTACTACTTCCTAACAACGTCCACAGGTCTGATTCCCAGTTCCGCATGCCGCTGGGCCGTCCCCTTCACCCACTCTCTACCCACCTAAGTCCCACGCTGTCCGGCTTCCTCATCTGCAACAATAGCGTAATGTGACTATCCAGCACAACGCCCATAACCCTTTCCCTAGCCTCTTTCATACTCTCCCCACTCTCCGGCACCACCTCGACCCTATGCCTCCGAAACAGCACCCCCATCGCCGCCACAAATTCCACCTGTCCAAACTTCTTGCCCGGGCACACACGTGCCCCGTCGGACCATGGCACATAGGCTCCTCTGGGTGGAGTGTACAGGTACTCGTGCGCCAGTGGCGAGGTGTTGCTGGGGGTGCTTTCGGTTGCGGGGTTGGATAGGAGGATCCAGCGCTGCGGGCGCCAGGTAAGGCTGTCGGAGCCCCAGTACTTGGGGTGCGTGTGGATGGCGTTAATGTTAAGGATGACGCGGGTGCGAGCCGGGATAGTGGTGACACGCCCGTTGAGGGTAAGAGGTTGGGGGGTCGAGCCAGTGGATTTGGCGATTCCGATTAGAGGGTCCCAGAGTCGGAGAGTTTCCAGCTGAAGAGGGAGACGTCAGTAGTCAGTGAAATGGGGTGTGCGTGCTGATGGTTCATAGCTGGGGTGTAAGGTGAGATGGATAAGATGCAGTGGAAGGAAGGGGGAGTAGAGAATGGTCTACTTACTAGAACGGCGAGGCAGCGATTGAGCTTGGGGTACACCTCGTCGTAGGTCCAGGTAGAACTCTGATCATATTGTATAACGGCATTACATTCTTCGGAGACCCAGTCCTGGATTTCCGGATGCGCTGCGAGGAGGTAGAGAGCCCAATTGAGCGTAATGGCCATGGTGTCGTGTCCAGCGAAATTATAAACAAAGATATTGCCGTATATTTCATCCTCGGTGAGACCTTTGAAACCTGAACCGTCTGTACGAGCTGACTTGGTCATCTCTTCTGACGCTCGTATGAGGGAGTTAATGATATTTCCCCCTCCAGGTTTGCCCTCAGCAATGAGCCGTTTTTCCTCCTCAACCATTTCTACCATGTGGAATTTGAAATCCAATGTCGCTTGGCCTATTCGAGTCCAGCTCTTGGGAAGAAACTGATTCGTGAGGAACTTCGGACCAAAAATCAGAATCAAGAAGATATTTTCTAGGATCAAGGCAAGCGAGTCTCGATAATTGAACACATGGCCCGGCTTAGGTGCTTCTGTGGATTTCCGGAAAGAATATGACTTGCCGAATCCTGCTTCGGATAAGACATGGAGGGACAAGGTTCGGGTATCCTTAGCGATACGTCTGATTGGAGTGCCCAGTGACTTCCAGAATTGTAAAACCTCATCCGCTTGTCGCAAAGCCTTAGCCCATACAAGATGACTATTTTGCTCATTAAATGGTGTGCTTGTTATTTTACGATGACGTTGCCAGTCCGCCCCATTTGCCTCGTTCGTGGTCAGCCAGGGTCCGTCAACTGAGGATGTAAGGCTGATTACCGTTGAAATGTTCGGCCCAAAAACATCTAGCATTGCTGATGTCTCAGAATCAGCGACAGTTTGTGACAAGGATCAGCATTTGAGGACATACCTAACATCTCCGGCGGTCGAGCGAAGGCATTGCGGCGCTGGAAGATGTCGTTGAAGGCCTCCGCATTGCAAACATAGACCCAATTATGAGCGGGAGTGACGAGCACCACGGCATCACCATGTTTAACATGCACTCTGTATTTTTCATGGTACTCCCAACCAATTTGACCATATTTGGTAACCGAGCAGTCTCCAAAGATGGCTTTGACAATGGATAGCACGGGACCAGATGTAAGCATCCATACTGGATTATCTGGACTAGCAGGAAGCACGATGACAGGAATTCCAATCTTGCGTGCAATCCGATAGTTGAGGAAGAGGCAGAATAAGTTATGAAGCGCAAAGGTGAGAGGTAGCAGAAGCAGCAGTAGGAGGATGGAGTTTGCCATGACCGAGTAACCACAGTCCAGCAAAGATTGAGGGCTCGAAGAACCACTCAGGTGTAGATGGTCTAAGGAAAAGGTGTTGGTGTTGGATGCGTATGACTGTGAGTAGGCTGCTTAGGGTTATGTCATGCGCACTAGATATGAAGTGAGTAGAGCTATCGTGGAGCTTGGCATACGCACAGCATTAGAAGTAAGTGAGACTCTTATTCGGCGTAGCAGCACATAGTGTTAGGATCCTAGGGGGGTGCAAGGGCAATAGAACAGTAGGAGGTCAATGGAATGTCTTTTTAAGCGCAGAGAACCAGAATCTATCTAGAGAGAAGAGAGATTTAAGTACTAAGAGGCCAGCTGCCAAACAAGGAAGCTATCAAACAAGGAAGCTGCTAAATAAGGAAGCTGCTAAATAAGGAAGCTGGGTAAACTTAAGAGGGAGTCCTTAAGACGCTACTATAGAGCGGTCAAGATTTTTAAAATGGATTTTGAGAACTGAAATTCACCTTAAACCTATAATAGTCCGCCGTACTACGTAGTCCCCCAACCAAGTACTCTTTGATACCTCCCAAGTCCTACCTCCAAGACGGACACCAAGTTTTGACAAACTTCCTCGCCCCCTCCAGTGCACTTTTCGCCTCGGCCTCTAACCCCATGACGCCCGCCGCCGCAAAAGTATTGTGCATCCCATCCGGAAATCGATAGAATTCTATCTCACTGCCTCCTCCTTCCTCCTTCTTCTCCTCAATCCTCATCCTCTCTACGAACTTCTCCGCATCCGCATAGAACAGCTCCGCCGTCCCGGACTGCACCCACAGCGGCACCCCAATCCGGAACGGATGTCGTAGCGGCGAGAAATACGGCCCAGCCGCATCTTCCTCGGGAGGGACCACGCTCGTGACGCCCCATTCCAACAGTGATAAGGGGAGGTAATCACCTGTCGCCTGGTCGACGCTCGTTGTGGTGGGCGGCAGCAGCATATCGAGCCATGGACTGTGCAGCAGCACAGCAGCGGGGAGGGGCAGCAGACCGCTGCTGTTGTTCTCAGCCAGGTAGCGCATCAAGGCGAGTGCTAGGTGCGCGCCAGCGGAGTCGCCGCTGACGATGATGCGTGACGGCGGGACACCGACCGTTAGTAGATGCGCGTACGCCGTCACGGCGTCCTGGAGCGCGGCGGGGAAGGCGGCGGCGCTGGAGGAGGCGAGACGGTACTGGGGTAGTAGCACAGCGGTGGCGGAGAGTGATGAGCATAGCATGCTGGGTCCATACTGCGCGACGGGCAGGCGCGGGGAGGTGCAGACGTAGGCGCCGCCGTGGAAGTGAAGGATCATGCGGCTGGAGGACCAGGAGGAGGAGGTGGATGAGGAGGAGGAGGAGGAGAGTGTGGAGAGGGAGGGGAGACGCGGGAGCCAAATACAACCAAGGGTTGTAGGGCGGATGGCTGGGTTTTGCTGTAGCACGCCACGATACACGTTGGTGGGGCCGGGCTGGAGGAGTTCAAAGCGCGACTCGTCGGCACCGGGGACAAGTGAACGCGGGGTGGAGAGGCGGATGCTGGTGATAAAGGTGAAGTAAATTCTGACAAGCGCGGTTCCCACGGCGGCTCTGTAGGACCAGGTGAGGCGCGGCCGGAGAGAACGAGGGAGGTAGTAGAGTAGCAGAAATGGGACGCGAATCACGCTGCATAAGGCGAAGAGGATGATGTAAAATGTTTTCATCGGCTGTTGAGCCGTTAACGGTTTGGAGGAAGCCATGGTGAGTAATCTTTTTCGTCGTTGTTTATAGATAGAATCAGCGTTATCGCTAAGATGAAGGGCAGACAGAAACGGGGGAATAGTGAAGAATAAAACGGGGGAAACGAAAGAAAAGATATTAGGGACATAAAAGCAACGCTGTAGAAAGGCTATTCGTGCGTTATAGCTAGGAGGCTGCAGGCTTCAAATAATGTTTGTGCCACCAGACCGGTGACACAGTCCCATCTTTGTTACGAGAGCAGAATCAAGCTACAACATTACAACCACGGGCTACAATCATTGTTATTGAACTAAGGCCGCTTAGTATCGTGCATTTCGTACGCCTGTTGAAATTCATCTTTACCATCACCTAGATTAATCCTAACCTAAATAGTGTTAAACACAAGTGATTGTTCGCACATTTTCACATTTCAAGTTAATGGGTCGTGGTGGTAGTAATGGATAGAAATCGGCTATCTTGTGTGGCCTGAATATGAACCAACGTACTGTCAATATCCTACAGGTGACTGCATTCTACAGGTGTCTGCATTCCCCTCGGCGCTGGAGTGGTCAGTATGCAACCAATCACTGCTCTGCTCAGCAGTTCGTGCACACACAGCTCAGCATATGTCTGCCGGAACTTCTCCTAGGAGAACAGCTTCCACCTCATTCGGCACAATCTGTCTGGTTAGACTACCTCGAAGTGCCTTTGGATCCTAATTGAATTCAAATGGTACCTTTCCGGTGGGCTTGCCAATGGTACATTGTGAGTCAGATGCTGGATATCTTCGGACGGTTGAGCAAGACGTTCGTACTTGGAGCTCTCCTGGTCGTAGTTCAACTTCAAGGCGCGGTCCTTGCTGAAGCCATGCAACAGGCGCGAGTTGGACCAACTGCTGATATATTGGGCAAGCTTGGCCGAGTTGATCAACGGGCCGTAGCACGGAAGGCAGGCGCATGTGATGGCTATAGCAAGTTCTACCGTCGACCAATCGAGACCGATAGGAAGGGAAGCTGCGGGGGTATATCAGATGGGTTTTGGCAAACATGCGACTCCAGCAAAGCTTACATGTGTCGGTGGAAGCCGTTTGGTTCATGTAGCCTATCCGAATGATGCAGATGACACATACACTGGATGGTATTGTCAGCATCGGGAACATTTTGCAAATATCGAGAATCTGCGGGGAATGAACGAACTTACAGACTACCGAGGAGGACCATGCATGCCACGACAATTTTCCGCTCGAGGGCAAGCTGAAGCTTTTTGAGCATGGAAAGTGGGAGAGCAATAATTGCAATATCAAGCAGCACGTTCGAGAGCTCGTATCCGATGATAAAATGGCCATATTTAATGCATTGTGCCTGGCCGAGAAGAGCGAGTTCGAAATGCCACGCCGCAGAGATAGGCCTGCATTGGAAGACGCTGACAAGACAACACACCAGAAGCCATAAAATGCAAACACTGCCCACAACGAAAGAGGCTTTTCGAAACCCAGGAGTTGAAAAGATCTTCTGGTAGAAGACCAGGATTGATATCTTGACGAGCGAGATAGTAATGGTGAAGAGTAGTTCGCTGATATAGACGTACTGTTCGAAAACTTAGCCATCACCCCTGAGAATGAATAGTCCGGTACCATGAACCTTTAAGAGCTCTGTTGTCTGAATCAAATCGGTCTGTGATAAGTCTAGAGTGCCGCCAGCTTTCATCATACCTATGACTGCATTGTTAGCTAGCAGCTATAAACCCGATATTCACGTCACCTGTCAGAATCACGCCAACGTAGCCGCTATACGTCGAAAAGGCCACAATAATCACTACATCTTCCACTGCCAGTTTCTTGATCTTGATTTTGGCAACGAAGCGAGCGATCAGAGCAATCGAGGCAACTATGCTCATGGCAACGGACACAGCTACAGCAGAGTTCCCGCTCGCCTTGAGCTGTACCATGCTGGGTAGGACTAAAGAAAGGGCAATATTGAGGTAGAATAGGAGGAGATGGTATTGCACTACACTGAGTATGGGCCGGGGTGAATATGAGAGCGACAAGAAGAGTTGATATCAAAGCACATTTTGCCTTGAGACAGGTCGACTGGCCAGATCGTCGATACTAGGTTTCACCGAGTACGGAGCAGCTGACTGTAAGAGGGCCAGGGACCGTTCAAGGACAGACACTAACAAATGGCGTAAGTTGGGACAAGACAGTCTGCTCGCACTGGTATGAAGTGGGGTGGGATCTTCCCCCTTGTTGATGTCTCCTTGTTCTTATCTTTGCCGGCGATCTTTGCTAGATTCAGAGGTCAGAAGGATTCGCATGCATGTCCGGAGGATTCAAACGGCTTACTTGCATGCTAGTCCGGAGGATTCAAACGACTTACTTGCATGCTAAGACTCTACTCATGTATGGAACAGGCGATGGAACACGGTCTTATTGCCTGATTTGTTACTGCAATGGCAACAACACTGCTTAAGGCAGGGGTAATGGTAGTGGTAACTGCCACGAATAGGTCTTGTGAAGCAGCACAGGTCAGTAATTGGTAGTGCAAAGTGCATATTAGACAAAAGAAGGCACATGGATGGTACGGAACACAGCGCACATTGGTCAGCAATGTAATGTGGCAGCCTGTGCAACACACGGTGCCGTGTAACACCAAATTTTTACACCGCAATTTGCGATACAGAGTCATGTCCCAAAGACAGTTAAAATACACTAAGAACATATCTGTCAAGAGATACACTCCTATCGACTATGTCATTTGACTTCCTTATAAGCTTTAGGCCTGCTTAGTAAGCGGTGAGGCTCTAGATGGCCCTTGACCCCTCCCTATCCGATTTTCGGGCTAATGTATCCCAGAACATTGAGTACTACGTCCTGAGCTGTCCTGCCATAATTACGTGATTCCGCTACTGTCGCACATGTCTCCAGTACTCGTCATATCGAATCTCGTCCAGGATGGGAGCAACCATGGTGGATTGGTTCATGCTTTCTGTCGGACCAAAAGAGACCGTGGCCTTAATAGTCGCACAGCTAGTTATTATATATACCGGCACTTTCATTCCCATGTCTGTTTGTCTTGGTCCTTCAGGCCTCGATGCGTTGTGATAACCATGACTTCTCCTTCATAAGCTCTTTACTGCACCGCAAGCACCGCAGTGAGTCCTCAGTTTACAGACACACAGATTCTGAGTCCTGTCCTACCTTCAGCTGTGATCGAGAGAACAGTTCCTATTAGAAAGAACGACCTGTTACCATGTCGATCCCAGAAAGCAACGGCGTGCCCGACATATCGAATTTTCTTGCTTCACGTGATAAGCTGGAGCCCATCGCTATCATCGGCATGTCCGCGAAGTTCCCCCAAGATGCGACCTCGCCAGCGGCGTTCTGGCAGCTGCTCTGCGAGGGGCGCTCAGCCATGACGGAAGTCCCTGAAGACCGATGGAAAATCGATTCGTTCTATCATCCCGATGCTAACAGGCTTGATACGGTATAGTATGCTGTGTTACTGTCTGTCCCGCGGAACGCTAAACGGCGCACAGCTTAATGCAAGAGGAGGTCATTTCCTCGAGGGCGATGTCGCGGCTTTTGATGCCCCGTTCTTTTCGATTCCAAGAACGGAGGCAGTTTCTCTAGACCCGCAGCAGCGGGGCTTGCTGGAAAGCGCGTACAAGGCGCTGGAGAACGGTAGGGACGTTCGTTTCTTCTCACTGAGAAAAAAACCAAGCACACATATCCATCGATATAGTGATAATACACAGAACCGTAAACTTTTCGAGCTCGTCATCAAAAGTTGAGGGACTCGAGGATGTGACGAGACTTGATATATTTTTCTCGTTTATTATGCTACTCTTTTGTTTTATCAACGCGGCCGGCATGATGCCCTTAGCTGGTCTTGATTTCTCTCCTCAGCGCGCATTTTATGATGATTTGCTCACTGGACGGTCACACAGCCGGTCTTCCCATGGAGCATGTCACGGGCTCTAGGACAGGCGTCTACGTCGGCTGCTATGCTCACGACTACGACGCTGTGTTCAATCGTGATCCCCTCAACATGACCCGGTATCAAGCATCTGGCGTCGGCTCCGCCATGCTCTCTAACCGTCTGAGCTGGTTCTACAACTTTACCGGCCCTAGCATGACCATCGATACTGCATGCTCAAGTAGTCTGAATGCGCTGCACCTTGCATGTCAGAGTCTTCGAAGCCGCGAATCTTCCATGGTAATTGCTGAATTCTTTGCATTCCAAGCCCTCGAACTTCCACTGCGGCTAACGCCTCTCAGGCACTTGTCGCTGGCAGTAACGTGATTATCAACCCCGAAGCCGTGGCAATCCCGCTGTCCAACCTGTCCCTACTATCTTCTGACAGCCGCTGCTACAGCTTCGATGCACGCGCTAACGGCTACTCGCGCGGCGAAGGCATTGGCGTCATGGTGCTGAAGCCGCTCTCCTGTGCCATCCGGGACGGCAACCTCGTCCGCGCTGTCATCCGCGCCACGGGCTCAAACCAAGACGGCAAAACACCGGGGATCACGCAGCCCAGCATGGCTGCGCAGGAGCGGCTGATACGAGATACGTATGCATCTGGCGGGCTGGACTTAGGAACAACACGCTTCTTTGAGGCACACGGCACGGGCACCCCGATAGGGGATCCGGTTGAAGCAAGCGCCATCGCTGCTGTGTTCCAAAGCGAAAGGAGCAGTGAGAGTCCGCTGTATATCGGGGCCGTGAAGTCGAATATCGGGCACTTAGAGGGCGCGAGCGGCATGGCAAGTTTAGTGAAGACGGTACAGATACTAGAGAATGGATTTATCCCACCAAATATCTGGTTTGAGAAGCCGAACCCGGCGATACCGGTGGAAGAGTGGAATATCCGGGTAAGCGATGACTCTTCTTGTCCTTATGCGCCTAGGAGGCGCCTGTGTACTCAGTGCTGATGGATGTAGTTCCCGCTGCAACCTACGCCTTGGCCGAAGTTGGGCCTGCGCAGGGCATCAATTAATTCATTCAGTTATGGCGGCTCCAATGCACATGTGGTGATGGAAGATGCGAGACATTATTTGAGTGCGCGCTCTATTATGGGAAAGCATTGTACTGTAGAGAGGCCGCCCGATGCGAGGGAGCTAAGTGCGAGATATGCGACGGTAAGAGACTCGTTCGTGAATGATTCATTGAACAGCAGTGCCTTGAGTAACGGCTCACTACCCAACGGCTCCAAAAGCTTGTGGTGCCATCAATCCAATAGCAATCATTCTGTGGACTCATCGCCTTCTCGCAACCTCTCCAGGCCTCGACTATTTGTCTGGTCTGCGTCTGATGAAGCCGGTCTCAAGCGCCAGGCCATGGTATACTGCGACCACTTCTCCGAGCTGCCTTCAGCTGCGAAGTCAGAACCCGATAAGTACATTGAGGACCTCGCCTACACCCTAGCCACGAAGCGCAGTAGACTACCCTGGAAGTCTTATGTTACTGCCTCCTCGCTCAGTGACCTCCAGAGCGATTTGCTTGGGAAACTCTCAAAGCCCGTACGGTCAACAAGTGGCGCGCCGCCGCAGCTCGGTTTCGTCTTTACCGGTCAGGGCGCGCAGTGGCATGCGATGGGAAGGGAGCTGCTGACATATCCGGTGTTTGAGTGCGCGCTGAGACACAGTGACATGTACCTGAAGGAGCTGGGGTGCAAGTGGTCGCTGATTGGTAAACCTGCTCGGTCCATACCATGGTCCGATTAACTGCTAACGCGACCACAGAGGAACTGCAGCGGGATAAGGACCAGTCTCAGGTTCATAGTCCCGAGTTCTCCCAACCCCTGTGCACTGCCCTGCAGATCGCTCTTGTAGATCTCCTTGCATCCTGGAGTATCCGTCCCCTCGCAGTGATCGGCCATTCCTCTGGCGAGATTGCAGCGGCTTATTGTGCGCGCGGCCTCTCGCGTGACGCTGCCATCAAGGTTGCCTATTTCCGCGGCGTGCTTGCTGCACGGCTAGCAATCAATACTCGCGAACACAGTGGCTCGATGATGTCTGTGGCGCTGTCAGAGGCAGCACTCCAACCCCATCTGAAGAAGCTGGACGCCAAGGGAAGCATTGCCGTAGGCTGTGTTAATAGTCCTGTCAACTCAACCGTGACAGGCGACGAGGCACTGGTGGATGAGTTGAAGAAAGTCATGGATGACGAGGGTGTGTTTACGCGGAAGTTGAAGGTTGGTGTTGCGTATCATTCCACTCAAATGAATGCAATTGCGCAGGAGTATCGCAGGCTCATTCACGATATTGCTCCTCCAACCGACGTGATGGAGGCGCCGGCAATGTTTTCGTCGGTCACTGGCACGTACGTCCCGACTGATCGCTTATATCAAAGCGAGTACTGGGTCTCGAACCTCACGTCGAAGGTCCAATTTGCTCCTGCCCTGGCTCAGATGCGTCGCGAAAAATACCGGCAAAGAGTCGCCCACTTCCTTGAAATTGGGCCACATGGCGCGCTCAGGCGACCGATCAAGGACACCGTGGGCCACAATTCTCACTACTTCTCTATGCTGCATGCCGGTACTTCTGCCTTGCAGAGCTCTCTTGATCTGATAGGCCAGCTGCACTGTCATGGTTACACGGTCAATCTCACCGCAGTTAATTCCCCAACATGCTCGGAAGCAGACCTTAGTATGCTAATCGACCTGCCCGAGTATCAGTTCAATCATTCCCAGGTCTACTGGCATGAGAGCCGCATCAGCCGCAACTTCCGCTTCCGGCAACACCCTCGCCACGAGTTACTGGGAACGCCATCTGCGGATTGGAATTCGCTGGAGGCGAAGTGGCGTAATATCATCAAGCGGTCCGAAAATCCTTGGGTCAGCGAACATAAAAGCAACGAGACTGAGCTGTACCCCGGCGCCGGCATGGTGGTCATGGCCATGGAGGCGGCGCGCCAGATTGCAAGGGACCCGGCGGCGATACAGGGGTACAGGCTCAAGGATGTGCGCTTTTCGAAGGCGTTGCTCCTACCGTTGGATTCCGAGGCGGACGTGGAGACGCAGTTTCATATGAGGCCTGGGAAGGTCGGTAACGCGGCGGAGGAGAAGAACGATTTTCGACTGACCATGCTTTCCAATGATGAGTGGGTTGAGGTGTGTTGCGGCGTGGTAACCGTGGAGTATGAAGAGGCACTGGATGAGGTCAACAACAGCTACCAGAGCAGCAAAGAGGGGGATAGTTACAAAGACATCTACGTGTCCGGAATTAAGACGTGTAAACGTAATATCGCCTCCAAGCAGCTGTACGACAATCTCGCCAGCTTCGGCTTCAACTTTGGGCCCACCTTCCAAAACCTCAAAGATGTCTCCTACGGCCATAAGGGCGAAGCGACCGCTTCGGTGGCACTGCGCGACTGGATGGAGAAAGTCCCCAAAGGCACCGAGATCATCCAGCCTCATGTTATACACCCCACGACGTTGGACTCAGTCTTTCACCTCGCGGTCGTGGGCCTCACCAAGGGGGGATGGGAGCCTGTCCCCACAATCGTGCCAACAATGATCCTGGACATGTGGGTATCCAACGAGCTTCTCACCAGGACCACATTGAAGCACGGCAAGGCGTTCGCAAGATCCTCGTGGAATGGCTACCGCGAGGTGGATTCAAAAATCGTGCTGCTTCATCCGGAAACCGAAGAGACCCTGCTGGCGATTGATTCCTATCGCGGGACAGTTGTGGGGAGCCTGGATGCATACAGATGGAGACGCCTGTGCTTTGGAATTGACTGGAAGCCAGATGTGGACATGCTCAGTACCGAGCAGCTCGGCACACTTTGCGAGAATGCAGCGAAGTTAGCACATGGAGAGAGCGGTGTGATAGATGTGATCGATCGGTGCGAGCTCACGTGTCTTTATTTTATGCAGTCGGCGCTGCTGGCGGTGGAGACGGACTATACGTACTCGTCACCAGTCCTGCAGACCTACGTTGCATGGATGAAGCATTGTCGCTCCGAGAGCGGCTTCGAGCATCTTTTGGCGACTCCAGAGCTGGAAAATCTGCGCTCTGACGAGACGTACCGGGAGGCCTTTTTTTCCGACTTGGAAAACAGCAGTCCCGAGGGAAAACTCTACGTGACCGTCGGCCGCCAGCTGCTCAGTATCCTTCATGGCGAAGTCGACCCGCTCGAAATCCTATTCAGCGACGACATGATGTCACAATTCTATAGTGGCAACCTGTTTATGATCAGCTACCGCAAGATGATGGCATATTTGGAGCTACTTTCGCACAAGAACCCCAGCCTGTCAGTTCTTGAAATCGGCGCCGGGACCGGCGGAGCTACACAATTCGCGTTGCAGGCAATGGGGCCACAAGATCCCACGCACGAGCATGGGACTCCCAAGTACGAGCAGTATACCTACACTGACATTTCCCCAAAGTTCTTCGAAGACGCGAAGCAGCGATTCAGAGTCCATGCTGGGCGAATGGTGTTTAAAACTCTGGATATCGAGAAAGACCCAGTTGCACAGGGTTTTGAGATGGGGACATACGATCTTGTGATTGCGTCATGTGTACTGCACGCCACTGGATGTATAGATACCACACTAGCAAATGTGCGGAAGCTATTGAAGCCGGGGGGGAAGATGGTGCTGATCGAACCGACTAACGTGCACTCCGTCCGCACGACTTTTGTTTTTGGGCTATTGCCCGGCTGGTGGCTTTCGAAAGAGAAGCACCGGCAGGGGGGACCGCTGCTATCGGACGAGACATGGAACTATACGTTGGGCAGAAATGGTTTCTCCGGCGCGGATATCTGTCTTCCTGATCAGGATCCTGCATGGCATACGTGCAGCGTGATAATGTCGACGGCAGATAAAGCGGAAGTGTTGGCGCCTACGGTCTCTATCCCTCACACAATGATTGTCATTGCACAGGACTGTCCGATACAAAACCAAATCGCCCAAGATCTTAAACGTCAGTTACTAGTTCTTGGGGCCCTGGGTTGCCGAATCAGCACAATCGGAGAAATCATCAGTGCAACGGATCTGAGTGGAGATTTTTGCATCTTCCTCCCGGAGATTGAAAAACCATACCTGTATGGCGTCAGCGAGGAGGAATTTGTCAGCTTGAAGCACATCACCACATCTGCACGTGGGATCTTATGGATCACCAAGGATAACGAGCGAATCAGAAACCCAGAGCTTGAACTCGTTATGGGCTTCAGCCGCTCCATACGCTCAGAATTCAGCGATTTGACTTTCGTGACGCTAGCTCTTGAGCCCGAGCCTGAAAGTACAAGCGTAGCCAACATGCTCAAGGTGTACCGGGCTATCTTATCCGCGCCGCAGGAGCAAGTCGAGTCCGAGTACCAATCGCAGCATGGACTACTATGCATCAACCGGCTCGTTGAGAACCACTCTCTCAACGATCACATTTACTCCAAGCTGGCCCGCCAGAATTCTGAGCCGCGTCCGTTTAGCGAGGATGCGTCACGCCCATTGCTATTGACCATCGGCTCGCCCGGCCTCCTTGATACGCTGTGTTTCGTGGATGACGACGGGGTCACCGAGCCGTTGGGCCCGCTCGACATAGAAGTCAAGGTGGAGGCTGTGGGCGTCAACTTTCGTGACGTTATGACCGCGCTGGGCCAGCTGCCTAGCAAGGACCTCGGATTGGAGGGCGCCGGCACAGTAACACGTGTGGGGGCAAGCGTTGATCCAGCACAGATCAAGCCGGGGGATCGAGTCTGCTTCGTCTCGCCGGGTGCGTATAAGACTTATGCAAGGTGTACGGCGAGTACGATAGCGCGGATCCCGGACGATATGCCTTTTGTGACTGCGGCTTCGTTGCCGATCGTCTTCTGCACCGCGTATTACGCACTGTTCCACATCGCGCACATCAGCCACGGTGAGTCCATACTCATCCACTCGGCGGCTGGTGGGGTGGGCCAGGCGGCGATTCAGCTGGCCAAAAGTGTCGGCGCGGAGATCTTCGCCACAGTAGGATCAAGCGAGAAGAAGGAGCTGCTGATGCAGACCTATGATATCCCAGCCGATCATATCTTCTCCAGCCGTAATGTGTCGTTCGCACGGGGCATTAAGCGCATGACGCACAACCGCGGTGTGAATATAGTGCTTAACTCGCTCTCAGGTGAGAAGTTGAAGGTCTCATTCGAATGCATCGCGCCGATGGGGCGCTTTCTTGAGATTGGGAAGAAGGATATGGCCGAGCGTGCGGACCTACCTATGGCACCGTTCCTGGCAAACGTCATGTTCGCCAGCGTCGATCTGGGCGTGTTGACGAAACATGCTCCGGATGTGATGCGCGAGCTGATGGAGACGGTGGTGAAGCTGACGAAGACGTGCCCGCCCGTTGTGAGGGCGCCGGTGCCGCTGCACGTTCGGTCCATCAACGAAATCGAGGTAGCGATGCGATATTTGCAGGGTGGCAAGAACACAGGGAAAACGGTCATTGAGATGGAGAGCGGTGGGATTGTACCGGTAATTACCAGACTCCCGCCCCTCCCTTGAAGTGAAATATAAGCATGTTAATGCTTTATTGGACAGGTACTAAGGCGGCTCGAATCCTCATGGACACTTGACTCGAACGCTACCTATTTAATCACAGGCGGGCTTGGTGGCCTGGGCCGCACCATTGCGCGCTGGATGGTGAGCAGGGGAGCCAAACATCTCCTCCTGCTCTCCCGCTCCGGCGCCCAAACCCCCGTTGCCGTGGCGTTTCTGAAAGAGCTTACAGCTAATGGTGTAGATGCGCGAGCGCCCCTGTGTGACATCAGCGACAAGGAGATGCTGAAGTGCGTGTTAGACGAGCAGGGAAAGACGATGCCGCCGATTAAGGGCTGCATCCAAGCCTCGATGGTGTTGAGGGTACGTTGGCGCTCCACGAACCAGCGTCCATCAAGATACTAACTACGGGACAGGACTCGATCCTAGAGAAGATGACGTCCCAAGATTTTAATGCACCTCTAGCCCCTAAAGTCACCGGTTCATGGAATCTCCACACACACCTTCCGCCGTCTCTTACCTTCTTCATCCTGCTTTCTTCCTCCGGCGGCGTGATTGGCAACCCAGGGCAGAGCAATTACACATCTGCCAATACGTATCAAGACTCGTTAGCACGCCACCTCAGCGCACGCGGCCGAAGATGCATCTCACTGAACCTGGGCCTCATGACCGAGGCCGGCTTCGTGGCCGAGCGCCAGCAGCTGATGACCGCTTTCAAAGTCTCAGGCCACGAGGGGATTCGCAACGCGGAGCTCTTCGCCATATTGGACTACGTGTGTGATCCGACACGAGGCGTCCTACCGCCGCAGGACTCGCAAATCGTTTTAGGCGCCGGGACACCTGCGTCCATGAAAGCCAAGGGATTTGACGAGCTGCTTTGGATGCGCAGACCGCTTTTTCGCAATCTAATGCAGATGGATCGGCTCGTCTCCAACACCGATACAGATGACTCGATAAAGACGGAAGTGAACACCACAGCGCTGTTGCGCAAGGTGGAGACGCTTGACGCGGCCATAGAGCTTGTAGAGAAGGCGCTAGTGAGGAAGTTGGCAAATGCGCTGTGTATCTTGGAGGAGGACGTGGAGGTGGCGAAGCCCGTGCATGCGTATGGGGTGGACTCGCTGGTCGCAGTGGAATTGCGTAACTGGTTCCTGAAGGAGTTGAACGCCGAGGTCACAGTTATTGATATCGTGGGTGCGGCGAGCGTTCAGGAGCTGATTAGAATGGCAACAGAGAGTATTAAGCCTTTGCAGGGTAGCTTAAGAAGGGTGCAGGTAAGTATGGAGTGAGTGCCAAATGAGAATCAGGAAGGGTCATTCGGCTTATTCGTCAGAAGGTAGAAATCTGTCTGGCATTGCTTATTCATGTTCTTTCTTGTCTCTTCTACTTTAATAAATACAGAGTGACTTTTTACAGCGGACTATTACAGGCTTAAGACCAATTCCGAGAGGTAGAACATTAGTAGAGATACTTTATCTACAGCTGACTACATTATTAAGTTTTTAATTTTTCCAAAAATTAATATAGTTATAATAAATAAATAACTAACAATAATTTTAAGAGACCTATAAGTGTCTAATACTAGTATTAGACACTTATACATCCAAAAGATACAAAATTTATGGGGAAAAGAAGTCATTATACAGACATATCATGAAGTAGTGTTACTAACAAAAACGAAAATTCTTAGTGGCCCACCGACATTACTTATGCCTGATACTGTAGTAGCTGCTACTAGCGCTAAGCTATGGCTACCGCTGCCTGATACTGTAGTAGTAGACACTTATGTGTACGGAGTAGGACATTCAGATATACGTAGTAGGTACGGAGTAATGTACCTGTCAAACGTACTACGCGCGTGATTGGCTGTGCGAGAGATTGCTGCTGGCCCGTGCGCTCGATTTAGTGCCTCGTTTTGTCATATATCTTGCTTCTGCTTCTGCGCAGCGTTTAAGACACCTGCTTGACAGTCCCCACCTGGCATGTGTACCACACTCCCATTTGCACCACTTTGAATTGTGGCCGATCTCTCCATACCTGGCAAATTAGGCAAATTCGGCAAATTCAGATGCATCGCATGACCTGAATCAAGCAATGCTTGTTGGCACGATGCCTATTTGACCTTTTCCAATCAATTCAATCTCCACAATATGGCCACTAACGTTCAAGTAGTAGAAATATGCTCGGAGACTGAAACGCCAGGCAGTTTCTGGGGCAAATGGGGTGTGGTGCACATTTCTGTTGGGTACGTTAGGCCCTAAGTTTGTGGCAGCCGTTGCAGGACAAGTGAGTACTACGTTAGTATCCAGTGCGGGTCCGTTGGCTGCAGGAGGCTACTGCTGAAGTAGACCCGTCACACCGGTCCGTCTCTCGTTCTCACCTTCTGCTCCCCAATGACACACGTTGCTGGAAGCCTCGATAGATTTGGTACTCACCGGCAACACCGTGGACCGCCAGATGAGGAAACGCTTCCTGCATATGATTCTAGTGCAAGCTTCTCCATTGGGGGATGACGAAGTTGGGGAATGTCAACCCTATGCCAGAGCTTCCCCGCTCAAGAGACAATACGCTTTATCTGGAGCTTTGTTCGCCATGTTCGCCATGTTCGCCATGATTGCGCAAGGTCGCAAAAAATCCTGTTGCTCGAAAAGATTCAACGTGGTAATACTTGAGCCCATTCAGGGTTTTGGCCGGCATGCCTTCACTTTGGGTAGTGGTGTTCATTGCGAGCTATCTCGCGTACCTCGTTGTCCTTGCTCTCTACCGCCTATACCTCAGTCCAATTGCACACTTTCCCGGCTCAAAGATTACCGCCGTCTCAGGATGGTACGAAACATATCTCGACGTCTTCAAGGGGGGCCAGTTCACCTTCCAGATCCAGAAGTGGCATGAACAATATGGTGCAGAACCACAGCATAACAACCTGCTATTTCTTCGCTGAGCAACTTTGACTTCAGGCCCAATCATCCGCATCAACCCAACAGAGATCCACATTTCCGACCCAGACTTCCATGATATCGTGTATTCGTCAAGTGCACCTTTCAACAAGCTTCCGGCTTTCAGAGATCGCTTTGGCATCCCAACAGCAGTCATTTCGACCGTCGACCACGAGCTCCACCACCGTCGCCGCGTGGCCCTGAATCCCTGCTTCTCCAAGAAGCGAATAAGCGACTTCTGCCCGTACATTCAGCAACGCGCAGAAAGGCTTTGCAATAAACTGCTGCTAGAGTACAAGGGCACTTCAAAGGTGGTGACGCTGAATGATGCTTGGGCAGCATATGTAACAGATAACGTCATGTTCTACACCTTGGCCTTGACACCCGACTTTCTGGACCTCCCAGACTTCGTTGCGCCTTATACGGAGTCAACCAGGGAGCTGGTCAGTTCCACCCACTTTGTCGGTCATTTTCCATGGGTCTTGAAAGCGCTACAGTCGATGCCGGAGGCTCTGTCAGGTGTCATCAACCCAGCAATGAGGCCGATCTTCAAGTTCCACAATGTATGCTTGTGACGGTGCTAGTCCTTTCAAACTGCACTTCCAAAAAACCTGTCTGGATGGAGTGCCCAGCTAACAGACCAACAGGAAATCAAGGCTCAAATCATCAAAATTATGACTGGAGAAAACGAAGCACACAAGAGTGTATCCCACAGGACGGTCTTGAGCAGTCTGCTCACCTCTAATCTACCTCCACAAGAACTCTCTGTCACTCGTTTGCAGCAAGAGGCTCTCGGTATCGTCGGCGCAGCCATTGAAACCACCAAAGCAAGCTTAACGCTGGCGAGTTTCCACATTTTGGACAATCCGGAGATATTCCGCCGTCTTCGGCAAGAATTGAAAGAGGCATTTCCCGACCCCACGAGACCGCCGACCTTGACGCAATTGGAGGGATTGCCATACTTTACCGCGGTTATTCAGGAGGGTACGTTCCCTTGCATTTCCTTTTCCCCATCCCAACCACAGCGTCCAATCAGCTAAACATCGCTACCAAAGCTTTACGCCTCTCCTATGGCGTAACACAACGCCTTCCCCGCGTCTGCCCACACACCTGCATCCAGTACAATGACACCTACACCATCCCTCCCAACACCCCGTTCGGCATGTCTGCCTACCTGATGCATCATTCTCCCTCCATCTTTCCGGACAGCCACACCTTCAACCCGGACCGCTGGCTGAACAACCCCAAAACCGTACACGGCAAGCCGCTGTCCCGATACCTCGTCTCGTTCAGTAAGGGGACGAGGATGTGTGTCGGTGTGCATTTCGCGTGGGCGGAGCTATATCTCGGCTTGGCAAATGTGTTTCGAAGGGTGGATTTCGAGCTTTTCGAGACGGGGAAGGAGGATGTTGAGATGGCGAGCGAATTCTTTGTGCCGAGGCCGAAAGCGGGTTCGAAAGGGGTACGAGCTGTTGTTAAATAGTCTCATGGCTTTTAGCAAGGCGATGAAGGGCGAGAGCTTGGGTGCATGCGTCTGTTGGGGTGGGTGGTCCAAGAGCGTGTAGGAGTAGCAAATCAGTCAAGAATTCAAACATACCCTCGCTTGCAGAGTCGTCGAGTCCATAGATCTTAGCTCTATATTGGTTAGTAAAAGAGAGTCGTGCTGGTCGTAATTATTAACAACCACCTCGTCGACGATGCTAGAATTACTATCCCAATGTAGCTATCCTAAAGTAGCTATCACGTGTTATAGCACGTGATCTAACTACTCAATCGGTTATCCAGTTATCCACTCCTCCGCGGATCAAGATGTGAGTCCAAGGGCAACGCTCAGGGGGAGCTCTGTGTTGGCACTCCTGCTCGTGCCGGCAGGTGAAAGAACGGTGGTGGCAGAAAGAGGGTCCGGGTCCGGCCCAGCATCAGGGGGCTCTGAACCTTTTCGCCCTGGACAAATCTGAGCTTTGAGTCAAAGCCCATGGTCTAGTGCAGCTCTAGCAGAGAACCGACTTCATTAACAGCAAGAATCTCTGCCTGGTTTTGCTCAGCAAGGGCCGTCCAGCTGCATTTGCTGGTCGCCGCTGTCCAATTTCCGCAAACGGTGACGTGGTCAAAATCAGCGATTTAACCTAAATATCGGACGATGATATACTAGGATTCGTGTTGGGAGCACAGATCTCTCTTGGCGGCAAAAAGCTGCAAGCTGTAAGGTGGCTGTGTATCTCCGCCCGCTCTGGTCTTTGTGCTCGGGGGCGGAATAGTCATAGATGCCTTCGCAATGACGATGCAAAAATCCCTTCTCCTCGTACTAAACCCGAGGACTTGACTTCCAAACAAGTAGCATTAGGTATCTGTTTTGAGTATCAATCCCCTTTCAACGAGCGACTCCTCATCAGCATGTTCCCTGACGGCTGGATCTTGATCTTAATCGCGTCCACAGATTCTTGGCTGTTCTATTCAGTAAACCTGTAATCCTCTTTTGCCTGATTCAGCCCTGGCAATCATCTCCGCCTTCGGTTCAAGCCGTAGATCGTTATAAACGAACTCCGGGCTATCACAACTACAGGATTATACTGAAGTTGTTGAGGCAGATTTCCCAAACCAATCATTCTAGCTACACCTGGCGGGAAGCCGAGTTCTTTCCCTGCTTTTTCTCTTATAACTCGGTCGTTTTTGACTTTCTGTGTACTCTTTGCTTTCCCGTCAAGAAAATCGACGAATGAGTTCAGTTGTTCAGTCTGCCACTCAGTCTCCATTCTAGCCCATCCTTCCTCCATCTTACCGGTTTCTTCTAATTCGTACCGAAAGCGGATCCCAAGCCGTTTTGCGGGATCCTCATCGACTGTATTTTGAGTGCAAACGCGGTGATGCGCCTTTCCTGGCTGGAGTAAGTTGCACTGGATCCACACGGTGCTGAAGTCGGCCTGTTGAGGGATTTTCATTGTCAGCGTTGCTCGCAAAACAACCGTTCCATGCTTGGTATCATGCCTTCTTGTGCAGTAGACCTGAGATCCTTCTAGGAGCTTCTACGACGATCGGCATTCAATCCTGCTTTGTTTGCTGCCGTTCGGTTGACACTAGTACCAGCAGGCAGATTGGATTCCTTTGGCGTTGGCAGTTTGCTAAATCCCTTAGCTACCCACTCTTTTCCGATTTGTGTTTTCCATAACTCCCCAGTCTGTGCTGCGTGCATATAGGTATTGGACTGGCTGAAGACGACATCATCTCCAACCTTGAGGACAACGCAGTCTTGCAGGAATGGATTGTGGGATTCTCCCCACAAAGTTTGATCTTTGCCTTAGCTTCCGGGCCGACAACCAATCTGAGTGGGTCTTCTATCCACGGAACTTGAAGAGGAAGCAGTCCGTTGGCGGTGAATTGCACTTGACGGCCGTCCCGCAGGTCTCGAGCTTCACGCACAGGATGCCACTTGCCGGATTTGGCCACTGAGCGGTTGACTCGCTTTCGCATATGATGGAGCTGGCTCGAAGGCAGACAGTGGTCATTTGTATTGTCGGCTAAGCTATCATCAGTATCGTCAAAAACGATTGTGCTGTCGTTTTCTTGTATCGAACCTTTTGGGTTTGGGGACTGCTTTGTGCGTTTTTTTAGGTCGTTGGCCTGTTGTATCGCCCGTTCTTTTCTTGTCGGCTGCCTTTTCTTTGGCGAGAAGGGTATTGTAGAGTCCAAGCAATTGTCTCTCATTCAGCTGTTCCATGCAAGCTCTTGCAATCGATGTTTTTCCTTGGATGACGATATCGAACCTCTTGCCCAAATATTTCCTAGCCCATCTGAGAGACGCGGGAGGATACTCAGTCTGGTCCAGAATCTTCCCTCTGTTCTCTTCAACTTTCAGAAGGCGTGATATTTGCGGTATAAGATACAGCCTCGAATAATAAAGACTGCACTTTATGCTTTCTCTTTGAAGTACCGTAGCATCATGTGGCCGTCCCTGTAGCCGGAGGAGGAAGTTAGCCATAGCTTCCACTTACACAGAACATGACCTAGGCTCCTCTAAGCCCTTCATGGACATAGTTGAAGGATGGGAAATGTATGCGACAATGCGACTCAGATCTCGTTCTCTGAAGACCAAATCAAATTCCACGTGGAGACCAGTTTGGTCGACTGGTACTTCGAGGGTGCGGCGGCGCATACCTAAGGAGCTCAGGAATTTGCGAAGGTGCTGCCGGGCGCAACGACCACCTACTAAGGCGAAGCGGCCAGGTAGAGTGGTGAAGAGTGAAGATGATAAATCGTCGTGTAATTGCTTTACTGCCGGAGGCCATTTCGTCGCCGAACAAACCCCGCGCTAGCTTATCGTCTCTTCTGCTCGCCAGTGCCAATCGTATCCAAATAAGATGTCTGTGTTGAAGCCTTTAATCTCTAGTGCTTTAATAGTGAATGAGGTCGTATCCCAGAAATCTCTTATGAAGGCGTACCAGGGGTCGGGGTCCGGCTTCCGTGTTGGTAGGTGAAGGATGACGATTAGTTCAGCATCCTCTTTTCCTGAGGGCTTTCCGAAGCTTTCCTTACCCCATCCCAGATTCCGACGTTTCTTCCTCGTAGAAGCATTGTATCCTGTCGTCTACTTGCTGGTGGAGCTGTACTCGTAAGATCGGAGACGAGGCGTATGCCGCCCGCCTGATAGGCGCATGACAGAGCTTGTTGTCCTCTCATTACGTCTTTTTGTATTCTCTCGGATGACCTAACTTATATTAGCCGATAGATCTCCTACAAAGTATACTAGATCCCTAGCTTATCTTAAATGGATTCTAGCTTACTCTGTTTACCTGACTACTTATTTCTTGTTCTTTACATCTTATACTATTTTGAGAATTTGACGTAACGTATCTATTAACTAACTAAGATCACTAGTGACTTTAATAGATCCTGAGAGATATAGACTAATTACTTAGTATTGACATTCACCAAAAAAGTAAAAGAAACCTTGCCTCCACACGGAATCGAACCATGGACCTTGTCATTCACCTTATTTGAAAGGATACTAGTGACACTTCATTAATTAGAATTGATTAACCTCAATCTTTGACAATGGTTATTTACCGCTTTACCACTGAGCCATGGAGGCTTCGTAATCGTAGGTGTCAAACATCTTGAATATATTTTATTTTAATAAAGAACTGTTAAGACGGTGCGTACGCTTCCTAAGTGCGAACACACTGCGTTACGCACGCGGCAAAAGAACTAGATTAACAGAATTTTCTGTTAAGGCTACACAACCACCTTAAATCCTCATAATTAATCCCCCCTTAGCGGCTTATGTGCTCACTCGTCATAGCCTCCAACAAGTCTTGGGAGCACTATCATTCTTCATGAGACTCTTACTATTGAAAATAATTCGCGTTAGGCATTTAGAGGGCAGCTCATCCTTAAAGGCGGACCTCCGGACCTTGCTTACAGGGTAGTTAGAAAGAATGACACACTCTCGCCGACCTCTCTGAGGTTCGAACTCAGAGCTATGTTATGCGCGCTAAGTATGCCCTGCGCGTGCCCTGCGCGTGCGAAATGAGACTACAACGCATAATTAGCTTGTTGGAGAGAAGGTGAATGAAACAAGACCCGAGCAGCCTGAGCAAGTGGGTGAGCAAGCTGCGCCAAGGATGAGCAGAGGATGGATAGCGCCTGAGCAGAGGCGGCGATGTTGGCCAACCAGATGGAGGCCCCGCCACAAAATCTTGTGGGATAATACCTCTATATTTTGGTTAAGTCTTACAATGATAACATCACCAAGTCTGACATTAAAGCGCCCGTTCAGGATACTATCAGCTACCCAACGATCAAGGTGAGATCGATGGGAAACGTACGCAACATATTCCTGCATGTGGAAGCTGCCGCGTTGGTTCCCGTTCTAGACATGGGTAAACATGCCAGAACAACCCTGTGGCGTGTGATTCGTCCCAAAGTGGTATGTTGATGTCAGACAGAAGCTAGTTTACGGTCCTCTGAGGGCTGCGGTCCTTTTGGTCCAACAGTTGAGTTGTCTTGAAGCGGCGTTGCAGGTGCTTCAGGTTGCTCATCCAGTCGTGATGCTGCAAGCTTGAAGGGTAACGCGCAGCTCCATCCCACCGTATAGTGGCTGAAAGCAAGCTGCTTCACCATCTTAGGAGATTGCCATCTCTCTTCAGGGGTCATTGACGGGCACAGTCCTTGTCGCACCAAGGCGGCATGCTAACCAGCCGGACGTACAGCGAGCTGTCGATTCAAGTCGCGCAGCGGAAAGAATGGTCAATCACGAGAGCATCGAGTTGATCGCAAATTTGTCACGGCAATGTCAACGGAACTGTCTTTCAAGCTGCGAAACACGTGGGGGTGAGTCCGCGTAACTGTAAGTTTGGCCGCCAACCCGTCGATTTGGCAAAGTTCAACAGCAAGGTAAGTTGAGACAGATGAGGGCCATATCAACCACTCCCACCAAAAGGACAGCGCTTGTGGGTCTCGAGCCACACTTAGTTGATGTATCCTTACTGACCTGCACTAGTTTGCTCATAAGCCCGAACTCGAACGATCAACCTCCCACCACCCATTGCCAAAATTACCTTTTAGCGTTGCTGCCGCCTTAACTGGTATGGTTCTTAACTTCGCTGGGCGAGGACTCGGTTGATAAAGTGTTCGCGGCTTGCATCTGTACGGGAGTCTTTGCCCCCCACCTTCGGGCTTCCTCGCCAGAACTGCTAAGCTGCAGTAGAGTCTTCGCGGTTCATGCCGATGGCACCATAGCTGGTCTCCTGCGCCACGTTGTGATGTTGAACGCTCGTCGGGCATGGGCGAGCGAGAGCACTATATTGTTGCAGCTCACTACACACGATCAGAGCCAGGCAATCTGCGTTGGCTTGGCGTTCCCGGATGGCATGATAAATGAAAGAAAGTGCTCACCCTGCAGTGGGTAGAGGTCGGCGCTTCTTGACAGGCAGTACTCGCAAAAATGAGTGTGCCAGTGTTTGCTTTCCCCTCCTCGCCGACGTGGTCAGCTGAAGTAGATCCAGCCCGTTCAAGGGTATCACCTGTAATTCAAGCATCGTGCAATTGAATATTGTCCATGAACCTGCTTTCTCTTGCTGAGGTATTACCTGACACTTTCTCTCGCAGTAATAAGATGTACTTCTTTCTCAACCACCACGTTTGATTTCAGTCTAGCCCGGAACATATCATCTGTCTAAATCCTCACTGCAAAACGCGGCCCGTGAATGGCCAAATGACGCTTTTCACAACATGCCAATTTAACCCAAGCGCTGACTTCTTCAGTCAATCACAAACCGATTCGCCGCCATCATATCCTTTTTGGTCATCTCTCCCAGGCCCTGCGGCGTCACCTCCGCCCCCAGCAACAGCAAGAAGGGAATATCGACCGCAAAGGCCATGAAGAACCAGGTACGGAACTCCGCGCCCAACATGCTGTCCATCCCCCATTTGATGAGTGGGACTTTGGAATCGATCTTCTCGGCGCGCACCAAGATCAGATTCGCCAACCGCGCGACGATGATAGCGGTGATGGTGTCAAGGACGTCGTCATTAGTGCCGCCGGGCTCGAGGGTCTGGGCCAACGCGGGCGGGAGGCCGGAGTCGCTCTTCTTGGAGTGAGCGTCAGACTCGCCGTCAAGGGAGCTGGCGAGGATGGAGGCGCGCGAGTCGTTGAGCGTCGGGATCGTGCCCTCGAAGCCCATCTGGCGCAGCTTCTTCATGCCCTGCGTCTCCAAGCCGGTGAGGATATGGGCTTCACCCACCAGGGTATGGTCCGGCCGAGAAAGGGTGAGGTCGATGATGGAGAGGAGTTCGTCTTCTTTGATGGGTTGGATTCCCTTGCGGAGGAGGACCGCTTCGATCTCGGGGTTTTCGTGCAGGTAGCCGACTTCGGAAATCATGCCGAGGCCGATCGAGGTGGCGGGTAGGCCTTGGTTGCGACGGTGTTTGGCGAAGTTGTCGAGGAAGGAATTGGCGGACGTGTAGTTGCTTTCGGTGGCGGTGCCGACGCTGCCGGCAACGGAGCTGGTCATCAGGAAGAAGTCGAGTTCGCTGTCTCTGCCTTTGATGGCGTTGTGAAGGTTCCAGGTCCCATGCACCTTGGGGTTGACGCTCGTGTGCCACGACTGATTGGACATGGCCGTGAAAATGTGTTCGTCCAGGCCCATGGCTGCTTGGATCACACCACCGACTGGTCCATCGACAGCTTCCACGCATTTTTGGACGTCTTCGTAGTTGCCAACATCACCACGGATGACGGTGCAGCTGGCCCCCGAGTCTTCCAGATCATGCACTAGTCGACGCGCTGGTTCTTTGTCGAGGCCTGAACGGCCAATGAAGCCGAATTTTCTTGCCCCTTGCCTTACCATCCATTTGGTGATGCTTCGCCCGATGCCTCCGAGACAACCACTGAGGACGTAGGTCTTATGGTCGGAGAAATTTGAGTCGTATTGAGACGGCAGGACTTGGACCAAAGATTCATCTTTCTCGAAAGAGACTGCAATCTTACCCATGCGGTTCTTAGACGAGAAGTGTCGGAACGCTTGAGATATCTCTGAAACATCAAAGACCCTGAGGGGATCAAAGGCTTTGATCTGTCCACTTCGATAAAGGGTCATGAATTCTTTCAGTAGCCTTTCCCACGTATTGCTCAGAGTTCGATTGCTGATGTCGCACAATTCGCTCACGTCAAAGGCCGTGAAGGTAACATTGCGGCGAAACATCTGCATGTCCAGCCTACCAGCGTCGGTAAGGTTGCGCTGACCAATTTTCTACAAACCTTCCAAATCTCGCACAAGCTCTCCAACTGTCGTGTAGAAGGTCTCCAGTGAGGGAGTTCAGGACGACGTCGGCTCCTTTCCCATTGGTTGCACCAAGAATGCCAGGCAGGAATGAAGCGTCGCGGGAGTTGAAAATGTTCTCTCTTCTTATCCCAAAGTGGTTGACCAAGAAATTCTTCTTTTCCTCGGTGCTGACCGTTGTGAAGATCTCTGCACCCTTCAGCTGGGCGATCTGAATGGCAGCGATTCCGACACCGCCAGCACCGGAGTGGATAAGAACACTCTCATGTTCGCGAAGGTTGGCGCGATCAGAAAGAGCATAGAGTGCGGTAGCAAAGACCAGAGGCAGTGTCGATACCACCTTGTAATCTTCTCCGTCTTGCAGCTTCGCACAAGCCTACTCTGGAAAACTTTCCAGCGTCTGAAAATGGCCCGGCGCCATGACGACGACACGATCACCTGCTGTCAGCCTCGACACGGCGCACTCTAGAGAGCTGGTTGCGCCACGAGTCTCGACCTTGCCGCAGTAGACGTAGATATCCTTGGCATTCAGTCCGACAGACTTGACGTCCACCTCAACCGAATCGGCCCCCAATTCCTTGGAACTGGATGCAGTCGGCTTGAAAGCCAATGTGTCAAATTGACCGAGATCTCTGATGGTAAGGCGACACGGTTTGACTTGGCCAAGGGGTTTCAGTGCTTGCCTGACTCCCAGTTTCTGCCGGAAAGTCTCATTCATTGTCTCTTCTGGCACGAAATGACTGAGGTAAGGGACGCCGTCCTTCTGAACTGTCTCACAGTCACGAATTTCTTCAGATCCTAGCTCATCTAATACGGCAAGGATATTGTCAACTGTTGCCTGTTGATGAGCTCCCGGCTGGTCGATGTCAAAGGTACAGAATTTCAGAGATAGCTGCTCGAGCACCAAAGATCGCTGAAAGCCTGACACCATGGCAAAGTTGGGGCGGACTCCGCTGAGTTGATCGCCGCCTGTGATCCAAAGTAGGTTCTCCGCGTTGTCCGTCATGATCTTGAGGCTAGCCATCTCAGGGACAGACATCGTTGCCAAAAGCGGTTCGTACAATTCTACCATAGAAATGATGGTCGTTCCTGGCGTGACGAGTCCAGAGGTCAGTGCGGAAAGGGTGACTCTTTCCACCGGTTTCTCGATATATGCAGATAGTGCCTGAACCATGAAGTCCTTGAAAGCACTGTTGCATCCACGTTCGACCACTACTATACGACGAATATTTTCATCTGACTCGCCCCCTCTGTCTTTCAGTCTGCTTGCTAGAAGAAGAGCTTCGGAAGCATCTCCCGTGGGGATCTGGACTGTACCCAGCCCAGCAGACTTAGCCATGTCTGGTACTTCGAGGGCGGCAGGTAGGCGGCCCAGCACTCTTCCTTGAGGTCGCAGAAACGATTGGACAAGATTCAATCGCTCCGGAGCAAATTCGTCTTGGTAAAAGGGATTGGGGAATATGATCAAATCGTATGTGACCTCAACCCGTTGTTGGATCTTGTCGAAGCTGTCCGCAATTGAGTCCGCTGACTCCAACGCCTCCACAAAGAGCTCACCGTTTGCGGTGAAGTAGCCGCGAGAATAAGAGCCGAATTGTTTGTAGGGTGTTTCAGAGCGTAAAACATCTCGCAAAAGGTGTCTGGTAAAGTCTGGGATTGGGGCACCCAGCTCGAGGATGTTGACTCGCGGGTTGAGATGAGCGACGAGACCTGCCATTGTCGCCAACTTGGCCAGGTTCTTTGTGAGAGGCATCTCCAACATCTTGTCTGTAGCATTTGTCGGGTAATCTGAATATCCCTGTGCATTGCTCTGCGTGAGCTTTGCGACGTCGGGCTTCCACAGAACCCTCATCATTGGGTGACGCCCATCGATAGACGACTGATCCACCATGATACCTTGAAATGCAACTGCACTGACATTCTCGAATTGTCCACAGATCTGGCCTTAACCATCATGGAGCTCTGCGGCAATTTGGATGGATCCCGGTCCGACAGGCTGCGAGACTGCATCGACGAACCAGGGAGTGTCGACCGAAGATGGGGCCTTGAATCGTGCTGTTTCGATGGCAGTCGGCACCATGCAGGCAAGGTCGCTGATTGTGCCTGCGGAGCTAGCGATGAGTGCAGTCTGAAGCATGGCGTCGATCGTGATAGGATGTATGATATAGTCCGCTTGGGTGGCATGTCCGACTCCGCCTCCAGTAAGATATTGTACAGTAGAACGGGCCTGCATAACCTCTTTCTTGCGGTCAATCTCTATTCTCTCCAGGCTTTGAAACTCTTGGCCAAAGTTGAGCCCTACTTGCGCAAACCTGTTGTACCAGTTTCGAGTTGCAGATGATTGGAAGTTCACTATCTCCTGAGAAAAAAGCTTGGCCGATGTCGGAATGGTCATCTCAAGGCTAATGCTTCCAGTAGCATGTGTCCTTGATTTTCCATTCTCGAACGAGCCAACTTCAAAGTCATACCACTTTGCTGAATTGCTTACCCCAGTGAGCTTCATAGGACGTAAGGTAGTGAAGATCTCAACCCCCGGATCATTCTCTTCCACAGATAGAGGGAGTGCCTTGGCGATGTTCACATGGCGTAAGAGGAAGGATGGTGTATCAGCAATTGTCGTGCCAGTGACTTGGCAGACACTCTCAATCGCCATGGCGATGTAACCAGCAGCAGGGAAGACGACGTCATTTCCCAGCCTGTGGCTAGAAAGCCACGAGACATCCTTCACTCTTAGGGTGTTGCGCCATGTCGTCACCAGGCCATCGCCATAAAGGGTTTGTAGGCCTAACAGATCGTGGTGGCCGTATTTACGATTTCGTAGTTCCCGACTGGACCGGCTTTCGTTGAACAAGATCTGGTCGTAGGTCCAAGGATAGGGTGGAAGATCTGTAAGAACTTTCCCTTGCTTACCGGTGGCAAATGTTGTTTCGACGTAGTTGATGTTGGCAAAGGAAACGTCATGGCCGTGCAGAAAGAGATCTCCCATCAAGTTCAAGACACAATCAATACCGTCCTTTCCGCGAGAGAGGGCGGAAGAGTAGTGAAACTTTGCGTCGCTCAGATCCAGCTTTTTGCAAGTCTGCTTTATAGGCATCTCGAGGGCGGAGTGCGGGCCAATCTCAATAAGATGTATTGGTGTCTGCTTGAGGAGACGCTCTAGGGCGCCACTGAATCGCACTGGTGACTCCAAGTTTTTCCGCCAGTATGATGGTAAGATTTTGCCTGTGACTGATTCTTCATGGACGGATGACACCCACATCGCTTCGGTGAACTCCACTGGAAGCAGAAGTGGTCCAACTCTCTTTTCAAGTAGGTCCGGGTACTCTTGCCCCAGAGCTGCCATGTGATGGGAATGATAGGCTCGGCCATCAGTGTTCAATTTTCGCGCAAAGGTGCCCCCTGGCCGCCAATATACTCAGCCATTGATCGATAGCCACAGCGTCGCCGCTGATAGTGACCGATTCGGGGCTGTTGACGCATGCGACCTTGATACTACCACCTAGACCCAAAAGGTTGATCTCGGCCTTCGCAGTATCCTCGCCGAGACTCACTGCCATCATGGCCCCCGAGGTCGTGGTCTCAGTTTTGCCGACGACGTATCCACGGTAAAAAGCAACAATGATGGCCTGTGCAGCAGAAAATCTCTCGGCGGCATAAGCGGCACCGATCTCTCCTGAAGAGTGCCCAATAAACCCTGCGGTTTAATGCCCCATTGAGCCAGAAGCTGTACGAGCGCAATTTGAACTGCGGTACAGACAGGTTGAGATCGAGTAACGAGATTGATCTGGCTAATCTCCTTTGGATCCAACAATGCTTGCTGAATGGTCCAGAACGGTCTTTCCGGCAGACCGCTTAAGACATTGTCAAGCTCTTGGATAGAGCGGCGGAAGCACGGGAATTGCTCAAGCAATTCCTTTCCCATTTGTGGCCATTGTGCTCCTTGTCCCGTGAAGACAAACCCGATCGGAAGTTTGGAGTAAGTTCCACTACCTCTTGTCCGGAAGCAATGGGGCTGAAGATCGATTTTCACCGTAGGTTGTGTCACTAGGGTGAAGCTGCGTTCCGCCAGCTTTGATCGACGTGTACCCAAGGGATGGGCAAGATCAACCACATTGACTTGTTCGAGATTTGTAGATACCAAACGTGCAGCTTGAATTTTCAAAGCTGACGAGGTGCTCGCTGACAGAGGGAATGAATTTGGAACTGGGGTGCAGCAAATCTTGAGGTGAACTATCTTCGGCAGAAGATGGATAACTCGACGCGGAGTCGAGAATGGCATGGCTGTTTGCACCACCATAGCCGAATGAATTGACACTAATCCTGCGAATGGGAGGGCCCGTCCCGATTGAAGATGGCCATCTGGTATTTTCTTGAACGATTTGTACGGCCCACTCATCAACCTTGATCTTGGGATTGATGTTCTGAACACCGATCGTGGCGGGGATGAGTCCGTTTTCCAGAGCAAGCGTTGCCTTGATGATGCTGGAGAGATCGCTGGCTGCCTCACTGTGACCGAGATTGGTCTTGACAGATCCGATAAGGAGAGGTCCTTTCGCAGCGACGTCTCTGTTGAAGACGCGAGAGACTGCTTCGACTTCGATCGGATCACCGACGGGAGTTCCCGTGCCATGACACTCAACATACTGGGTATCGTCAAAGTTCGTCAGGCCAGCTTTGGCGTAAGCCTTGCGTATAACCGCCTCCTGGCCATCTTGACTTGGTAGACTGATTCCGGGCGTTTTCCCGTTACTGTTCACTGCCGTTCCACGGATGATTGAACGAATCGGATCTCCATCTGCAATGGCCTTGCTTGACTTCTTGATATACAATGCGCCTAACCCATCTGCGCGCCCATAGCCGTCTGCAGTCTCGTCGAAGGTATGACAGGTTCCCGTTGGTGAAAGCACACCCGCTTTCATGGTGCCCAACTGCTGTTCTGGTGACTGGAGCAAGTCTGAGGCAGCCACAATGGCTGCGTTGCATTCCCCAGCATCTAGTGCAGTGCACGCTTGATGTAAAGCATACAGAGAAGCAGAGCAACCTGTATCAAGTGTGAAGCTTGGTCCTCGAAGATTCAATGCATGGCTGATACGGTTGGCCAGAATTGTAGTACCCATTCCCGTGGCATGATAACGATGTAGGTAGTCGGGCTCCCTGGTTTGCATCATCCAGTAGTCAAGCGTAAAACTACCGACATAAGTCCCAATGTTTGCTCCGTTGACCTGATCGAGCGGAACCCCCGCACTTTCTAAGCACTCGTAAACGACCTCAAGTAGTTTTCGTTGCTGAGGATCCATGAAAGTTGCTTCAATGTTGTTGATACCGAAGAAACTGTTTTCAAATTTTCTGAGGTCTTCGTGGATGAAATACCCACTATCCATACTCATGGTACCAATCTTCTCGTTGTCATTCGGATGGTAGAAAGCATCGATGTTCCATCGCTCAGCGGGGACGCGGGAATGGCTAGACTTCTTCGAAATGAGGAGGTCCCACAGGTTAGCAGCAGACTTTACCTCTCCAGGGAGACGGCAACCAATACCCACAATAGCTATTGGGTCGTATTCAGTAACACCGTTCGAAAGATTGTCCGGAGTGTCCACGGCCGTTCCGTCACCCCCAGCATACTTGTAGCCAGGATGAACAAGTTCTGGAACGATGTCATCAGTCAGCTCGAGGAAATCATCAATTCTGTGTGGTGCCATTGCTTTTGGAACGGATTGACGAGAGAGTGTTGCACTGATGGGCAAGTAATGGTGAAGAGCTTGGAAATTGATGTTAAATCTTGAGCTAGAATGTTGATTCTGATCGAAAGACTTGTTAATATTGTCACTTGTAGCGTGTTGGGTCTTTTCATATGGATAGTGAATGTGAGCTCCTTTTGTATCTTGTCCACTTCGCCACTTCAGTCCTCTCGGGCCTGTCCAGGAGAGTACGCCAGAGTACGATCGTAAAGCGGACGACTGTTGGAGTTCTGTTGAAATGGTCGAGAACATGCTCCATTCAATGTTTCGGCTGTATTGCTGCATTCCTCTGCGTGCTTTGCATCGAAAGGGTGTGCCAAACCCTCGGTCCGCGTCCCCCAGTCTCTAGATCAGACTTGCATGGATAGAAACCCTTGAAGCCATGACGGCAGAGTCGCTGCTTTTGCTCGACAAGTCCAATAGATCGTAGCCGATGATGTTGAGAAAATCTCCCTGATCAGCATAAGGTCGCATCGAAGCGTTCTGCCCTGTCAATTAGCGTGATGATGATGATTGTTTGCAAACAACGCAACACTTGGGACGTACTGAGCCACCAATAAAAGCAATAGCCTCGTTTTGATTTCACGACGGTATAAACCCATACCTTAGCAATGGTGGCGATATTACCAAAGTGGGGTCTTGGCAAGTATTGCAAGCGAGAATGACCGCAGAGTAGGCTTGCGAAACCTAGCATCTCAGCTGGTTTTAAAACCGTGATAGATAGCACAATATCCACACCCGAATCTTGACCTCTCCAAATTCCATTTCCACTTCAAGACCTGAGCACAGGTAACTGTAACCTGAGCGACCCTGAGCTGTGGCTGTGCAAGGCTGTTCCGAGCCTGAGCAGCTCTGAGCATCCCTGAAGATCGACTCAATACTTTCCTAAGTCGTATTGGACCACTCCACCATAGGTTTGATCAGGCTGGCTAATCACAATTATCACCTAGACGGATATCTATATCCTCTTGGAGGTTGGGGATACCCCCTCTAACCCCTATCACCAATCCAAACCGCAGTCCATTGAATATCCTCAGCATGTCTCTAGCGACTCTTGATGCAGCATTTGTGCCATGAATACCCGATGGTAAGCAGGCAATAACTACATTATGCTCATGAATTCGGCCCAACACATAATTATTTAAGTCAATTGAATCCTGACTAATGACCCACTGATGCCGTCCATCTGGAATGGCTATCGCTGCCGTCATCTCATGAGGGAGGGCGCACACCACGCCCAACTGCTACTGCTCGATTGGTAGGGAGCGTCTTGCAGACATAGGTACTGATCTCTACCGTTCTCGTCAATAGAATGAATATATGAGGTGGTGACTCGTCTTGACTGAGAGTGAGAGTAGGTGAGGAGGAAGAGAAGATGCGACCGAAGGTAAATTCTTGAGATACAAGATACGACGATCAGGCTGAGAAAAAATTAATTGTGAAACAATCACAAGGCTGTATCAGCAGCACCTTAGGCAACTCTCAAGTGGCGTGTCTGTCCGAAGGTCCGTCTAGCTGCTATGTCTTTCGGTCGCGGCTTTTCACCAGACTCGGAAGCCATGCTTGGAGCAAGCCAGTGTGATAGCAATAGAACGAGACCCTCAAGCTCCTCGAGGTCTTCAAGAGAAGTTGATAATGATCCTCCCAGTACGAGACTGGAAGCTGAGTGGGATTCGAGAGGATCAGGAGTTCGGGGCCGCCGAGGGATCTGAGGGACTGAGGCAAGGCGCGGGGCATGTGGCTCGACTGATTACATAAGGGGGTGGGTGTGGCGTAAAAGGCCCGGAGGCCCCCGGAACCGGCGATCGCCGTAGGCTCCCGTTATTGAGAAGAGTGACCAAGCAGCCATCATGGTCCGTGGATGGTTTCCTGCTTGATTTGCAAAATAGCGACAATGGTATCGCCTCAAGAGCAGGCTTCGCAGTTCACTGTCATTGTGGCGACTCAAACACTCCTGGCCATGAATGGAGACACCGAATGTTCCACTAGTCCAGGGTATTGCTCCCATTCACCTGTTCAGGTTGTACAATACCGGTCAGTGAACACTGACCAAGTATGGTGTTTTTTCGTCTCCGAGCACATTTTTGATGGCCAAGCTCAATTCTGAGACGAGAATGTCTCAGCACAGTCTGGAGTAAGCATGGCCAAAAAATAATGGTCTGATACAAAAAGTAAGATGTTGTCCAAGCATCTTCGCCATCTTGCCCCCTTCTTTCTTGCTACACCCTCTTCCTCGTGCGGCTCAACGTAAGCATTGCTTTTGTTTCATCTCAATTTCTGCCAACTGTCCCTTAAACTTGACCCTCTTATCATTACGAGAATTTCCAAGTTTGACAAGAACGGAGAACTTAACATATCGTTGTTGTGCCCTTTATTCATCATGGCTGAGGCTGGCCCAAGTCGTGCTCGCCCTGGCGGTGCTGGCGTCCCTTTACCTGAAATTGAAGGTACGCTCATATTGTCAGATAATGCAAGATATACCCCTATATGCTGACTGGAGTTGTCACTTAGCCCGTCGCCTCATCGGCGCCATAGCCAGCAACAAGGCCACCTTAGCTGACAAGACCCAATTCAGACATCAAGTCGCAACTTCGCGAGAATTTCATGGACTGGTGCTCAAAGAGCTGAGTTCGGAAGACTCGGAAACAGGCCTTCGTGATAGACGGCGCCTACAGAAATTCTATAACAGCATCGATGAAGATCAAAGAAGAACCACCGACCCTCGTGACATTCGCGCACGGGTACAAGAGGTTCGCCGGGAAATAGATCGCCGGAATCGCGGACAGAACAGGGGTCAATTTCGACGGACGGAGGCTGAAAGGAGAGTACCTGATACGAATGTCCCCGAAAGGAATGCTCAGGCTGGTGAACGAGCTGCTTCGCTTACAGAAGCTGGATCTAATCCACGTTCCAATCTTACTTCATTGGCTGGCTCAGCAGGGTTTCGAGGCGAACGAGCTGGTGAAGCTCCACAACCGATTGCGGCCGGAAGTATCCCGCCTCTGGACTATGCAATTGGAACGGTTGTTATTCATCCCCATCTACCAAGTCTCTTCGATCTGGTGGCGTTCAATATTGCCACGCAAGATCAGTTCAATAGTTTCATGCGGGTTTTACTTGAAGGAAATCAGGAGCAGGCTGTTGTTGAACGAATCAGAAGCCTTTTTTACCGATCAGAACGCGACGCAGCGTTACGTTTATACGCTGTACTGATGCAAGCACACGTTCTTGTCCTGACTCAATTGTCATCCCGTTATGCGATACAAAATAGTGGTGTGCGAAATTCCACACAAAAGCGAGATTTGTATCAACTTATCATCAAAGTACGTGACGGTTCAGCCTCAAGACAACAAAAGGATCATTTTCAACAGCTTCTAAACCATGAAGACTTTCGAACAATGATAATCGATCTGCAGATTTTTTGTGACCTAACGGCGACAGAAGAGGGACCGAAGATGGCCAAAGCACTCAAGGACGAACTCGTGCGCTATGGAGCTGGATCCGCTTTGCAGACAAGATATGCTCGTAAATCTCCATCTTTGAAACTCTCGAGCATCGTGGGTGAACGTGCAGCAAATGCACCGCCTGAAACGACTGTTCCCTCAGATGCCCGCGTATTTGATTTACTGATTGACCGAATAGAATCGGCAGGATCGAGCACTGCGGAACCAGAGAAGGAGTTATTTAGTCAATTCATGAGGGGTGAGCGCTTTCGGCTGTGCGTCTTGCATCGAGTACGAAGGTATAAGAGAGAACCCACAACTTCCACGCTCAGGAGACTGAATGCACTATTGGATGCAATCGACTGGGATATGACAACACTGGTGGGAAGGGAGCTTGTGCTAAAAAATCTTGCAGACAATGGAGTGTCCGAAATGGTTCTCATCAACCGTGTAGCCAACAATACTGCTACAGAGGACCAAAAGCGGCGTTTCCGAGGCCGACTCTTCTCAAATGTCATTTTTAGGATGCTAGTCTCTGACCAGATCAGAAAATGCGGACAAGCAGGCGCACAGGACAAAGTGGGGCGACTCCTCGTACTGAAGGGAATGGAAATGGGCCTCCCAACACCTTCAGAGCAGGAGAAGTTATCCGTAGAAGGGCAAGCAGCTGCAGCTGCATCAGTGATTGCACCGCCACCAGCGGCAGAAGGTGCCCCACCAGCAGCACCAGTACCAGCACCTAACCCTGATCCCGAGGTAGTGACATGGATTTTCCCCCCAGAAGTTCGGCCCTAAGAAGCCAAGACCAAAACGAATGTCAAAGGCAGGCATGCCATGCTGCACAATTTGTGATGAAGGTCCCCCAGACGATCACACAAAGAAATGAGATTATTCTCGTTGGTGGTTCCACTCGTATCCCTCGCGTTCAGAAGTTATTGAGCCACTTCTTCAATGGTAAAAAATTGGAGAAGGTAAGTTGATCGTGTCATGTGAAAACTCTGGCTGATTCCGAACCTAGCCCATCAATCCCGATGAAGCTGACCTGGAAGTGCATTTGCTAGGGTCATGCCTTGCACACTCTCACTGTGTTGGGTGGTCTTTCTTGAGAGCGGCCGGACATCCGGGATCAGCCCTATCGCCGGATGCCAACACCACCACGTAGATTGCCGCAGATTGCCACAGATTGTAGCCACAGTGCAGCTGGGGTGCAATCACGTGTCCGGCTAAGGGCTCAGCTGGTCGGCGAATGCAGATATAGGTCTCTGTTACCCAGTGCTGTAAAATGCTGCTGGAACGCCAATTGAGCACATCTCATGTGAGAGATCTTCGTACTGACAAGGGTCATGGCTTCGATCCGGCTGTGACCGCAAGGCAAATCATATGCGGATAGTTGATTACCAAATGCAAGATTGTGTATATGCGACCGGAACTCCCACGGCAGAGTGAAGAAGCGAGACGAGTCCTGCGGACAGGTGTCATGGAGAAAGCCGGCCCGCCTACGCGATTGCATTGCGCATACGGGCAATCTCGATTCCTGATCAGTGGGCCCGTCTGGCGTACCTGACAAGTGTGCTGAAGTACTATTGGATTGATCCCAGCTGGAGAAAGCCTTTGGAAAACGCAAATACGATGTCTGATTACGGTGACCCTGATCACGAAGCTTCCAAAAGGACCGCAGAGTGTTCTTTTCATTTATTTCTAGACGGGTCGTTCAAACAAGCATTGATTCCTTTCTAGAAAGGTTGACTGAAAAGCTGGGACGACTGAGGTCAATTGATTATGTCTTGGCCTTGCCTTGGCATCTTGTGTGTAGATTTGCTGAGGGGAGTTAATGGGGATCACAGCACCGGATGTCTGGTGGGGACTTTTCTTCGAGAGAAGTCATTCGTAAACGAGATGATTCGTTCAGTCACCACTTCTTTGTGTCATTGATAGACATATCGAGGGTTCTGCTTGTATTGGTAGACTGGCAGCAGCGCTTGGCAATTGACACGGTAAGTAGAAAGGGTTCTTCAAAAGTGCTCTGCTCTGTAACAACTCTTTGGGAAACATCCTTGCTGGTGGCTGCCCGATCGTAAAAACAATCTTGCTGTACCTCAACCGGGCCTAACAATAATAACGCCAAGCTCTCCGCTTTGAATGCCACGACAGGCTAATCATCCTTGCTATACTTTCGTTTATCTAACACCTGGTAGATTCTGCTGTGGTGGTCCTATGTTTTCGGGCCCTGTAGTTTTCTGTCGTTTTGCGTCCTCGCCGCCACTATTGACTCCAGCATTCGACGGGTGCATGTTCGAAACATCGCCTAGCGGCGGTCTCTTGATGCCCGCCAGTCCTGCTTGCCCTTGACCCTGTGTCTGTGCACCGGCAGCTCCCATACCTATACCCGTCTCCAATGGTGCTCTTCTGGTGGGTGGTCGATATGCTGAGCCATTCATGCCTCCTTTGGCAATAGGGCTAGGCACTCCGCCACCTGGCACTCCTATCCTTCTATACATGTCAGAACTTGGGTTGACGAAGTCTCTTGCCACTACACCTGGCGCAGGCATGTTTTCACGGAGCCCTGGCAATGGTGCAGGTGGTTGTTCGGTCACGACCATTGCTGCTCTTTTGACGGGCACGGATCGAGAATGATCCACTCCGACTGTCTTCCTTATCGAAGGACTTTCGGAATGCGGATTGAATTGCGAAATGGGTGCTGCAGGGCCCTCTGGAGCTCCATTAAGGACTGAGGCTGCTCGCGCCGAGTAGAAGCCAACTGGAGGGGTTTGCTGCTGGTTAGATGGTTGAGCATTGTGCTGTTGGACTTGGCCAGTAGCGGCCTGAGGTGCACCAAAATGCTGCGATACATGACCTGGGGAGGACGATTGGTTGCCACTGCTCGTTCGTGGAGCAGTTGGGACGTTTGCCCCCGAGTCTACTTTGATACTTGCGGCTTGCTGAGCTGGAAGTGGTCGATGGTCATGAGAAGGGTTGCGCTGCACGGGAGGTTGCTGTACGCGATGGTCAAGTGATGGTGCCGATATCCTCGATTGGGGTCTTCTTGGAGGGGTGTTCACACCGCCATTTATTTGAGGAGCAGATGGCCGCGTCTGTTCTGGGTGGAGCTTCAGATTCTGTGCAGCTGCCCTGGCTGGAGCCTGTGGAATTTGTGGCTCTACTGGTAGGATCACCTCGTCTGGATGGCTATTATGGTTTTCGCTGAAATCTGTATCAGAAAAATCTGCTCCAAATTCATCTTCCCCTTCAGTGTGTGACGCCACCCCGGTTGCGACAACTGTTGTGGTACTGTTATCCTCCCCTGTCTGCTCCTTTTTCACTGGAGCAAAGTCTGGATGACGGTGTAGGTTATCCGCATCCCATCTCGATGGAGCGGTTTTGATCTTGGTGACTCTTCCCAGGAAATCCTTGTCGTAGATGCAATTTCCCAGAACATTGCCAAATGTTCTTAGTGCACGCTTCAATCCATCGGTCGTGCCCTCTTTCTTAGCCTTTTCGAATGCTGCCGCTTTTCCTTTACAATTCTCGATATGCCCATAGCCAATATCCTCATGATATGTCCCATCTCTCAACGTAACCCGAACGGTAACTGATAACCCTAACGATATCTTTCCATTGTGTGGATTTTCATCAATGAAATCAATTGTGATGACCTTAATCGCGCTGCTCCAGCCATTGAACCCGAAAACTTCATTGGCAAGGTTGATGACTTTCTCAGCCGCTAGATAGTGTACCTTCTGTCCAGCTGCCCCGGGTCGAGATGAGATGTATTCCGGCCCAAGCTGCTTGTTCAGCCGACTCTGTAATATTGCAATCTCCTGTGCAGTGTATTCGCTCATTCGAGGTGGTTCTTCCTCGAAGGGATTGGCAGATGGGCCATTGCTGGACTTGTGTTGGTCCCCGACACTGTGACGCATGGTTAGATGTTACGGCAGAAGAAGGTTGCATGTAACGAACGCTGGCATTCTTTCAACATCTCATTGCACTGCAACGATAAATAACGACCATTCTGAAATCTGTATGGAGAGTTGGTAAAAGTTGATGTTGACGTGCAAGCAGCTGAAGTGCGCTAAGTCAATAGAAGTTAGCTTAACGCGCAGTCACGTTTTCTATTGGGACGCATCTGAAAACACTTCCTGGAGGCTATCAAGTATCTGGGACGATTCTTTCATTTTCCACTGTTCTCATCCGTAAGATCGCCTTCTGGCCAGGCCTCGAAACGTGAGGTGCGTTGATAAGATGCTTGACACCAAATTAGGTCACCAGGGTAGAGGATATTCTCTGTCTCGTGGTCAGTGAGCATGGAGTGAAAGCGCTCAGGCCTGAGATACATTTCTATTTTCTGTGCAGTCTTGCTGCAGCTACATAAACACCAGAATCCCTCCAATGCAGACACGTAAGGACCAGAGCACCTACTTCACTATGAGACTTGCGCTGGGGACCAGCTTCAACTCCTTCAATGTTTCGCCAAAGAATTCGTTGTTGTACACTTTCCTTGGAAACGTTTGAGTGAAACTCTCCACTTCCATTCCGCTCTCTTTACTCAACTCTGCAGCCACCTCGAAGAGGGTGGTTTCCACCGGAAACGCCTTCATGATGTTCCCGTTCGGGGTTTGAAGACGCAGTCGTGTTTCAGTGTATGCAGATGCAGGTTTCGATGTCGCCGGGCCAGAGGACGTAGGACCAGCAGCAGGCACGGGCTGTGGTGGCGCTGCTCGTCCTTCTCTCTCCGCCTTTTCACGCTCGGTCCTGAGGCGCCGCTCCTCCTTGTCCGCTGCAATCTTCGCTTGAATTCTCTTCTTGGCCTCGACGTCTGCCAATTTTTCTTGTCGTTTCTTTGCTGCTTCTTTAATCTGCTCTTTCTTCGCCAGATCTTCCTTGATATCCTGAGTCTCCTTGGTGCTCTTCCTCCGAATTTCCTCATTTCGTTTCTTGTCAATCTTGTCTTGCTCCGACATACCTTCTCGCTTCTCCTTGAGCTTCTCCCTGAGTAGGGCCAGCTTAGCTGCCTTCTCTTCTTCTGTCAACGGGGCAATTTCGTCTGTTGATTCTGAGAAGTCTTGGTGCTCGGTCTTTGAGGCGTGGAATTCTGCCTGTGCAGTTGAACGGAACTTTTTGCCACATTCGTTGCAGACCAAACTTCTGGCAGTTTCACCAGGGTTGAGAGCAGGGCCGGAGTCCTCCGTCGCAGCAGCTTTGATATCCTCGATTGACTTGTCCTGGTTCGTCTCGAGCCATTCAAGCGCTCCTTGTACTAAAAGTGTTGTCAGCCATGGCCACTCTCAATGTCATGCCTGAGAGCGGTACTGACAGCCGCCTGTATGCTTCACCGCAAGTTCAGCACGTTCTTTCTCAAATCCCATTTCAAGGAGTTGCTCTAGATCTGTAGAAGCCATACTGCTGGTTGTGTCTACGTAACCTAAGGTTGACCGAAAGTCTGATGAAGGTGAAGAAGAATCGTAATGTACCGAATTAGCCACAAGGCTGGTGAACTGAATGATGCCCGCGAATTGTATAATGTACAGGCGCAGGCGCAGGCTGGTTTACTCTACTCCAACTTGTGTGCCCCACTGCGTCAGGGAAAGTCAGCCAGTCAGCCACCAAGCTTTCCCAGTCGCAAGGACCAGCCGACCTCTCTTTCGTCACTCCACACTCATGTCCGATTACCTATTTACACCCCACGCAGAATAACTGTCCAGCTTTCCTTGTGCTCAGTCCGCAATTCTTGCTTGCTCAAAAGCAACCTTGCGCGTTAGTCCTGAACCGTTGGTGTCTTACCCGATTCCGTCGGACAAGATACAAACTTGCGACTGCGTCTTCTCATTCTTACCTTCTACTTCCACAATTCACCGCGATCATGTCGATTGACCTTTCTCCACCAGAATTGGGCTTCAAGCGTATATATGTACACGGTATAGAATTTTCACCACAGCACTGACTGCGAAATAGGACCTTTCAATCGTGAGGTCTCCGAAACCCTTCGCCTTGGAAATCCGCACGATGGTCCTCTTGCTTTCAAGGTCTATATGGCCTCCACCCCCAAATTTTGCGTAAATATCTTGTGCTAACAACAAGATTTTAGGTCAAAACTACAGCTCCCAAGCAGTATGTAGCATCCGGAAGTCGAGATGGGGTCATGCTAAAGCCAGCCAGATACTGCGTGCGACCAAACTCTGGTCTTATCCACCCTAATGGCTCGGTCGATGTTCAAGGTACGAACACAATCAACTACCCGCTTTCATTCTAACAATTTTACAGTGCTCTTACAAGCAATGAAAGAAGATCCTCCTCTTGATGCAAAGTGTCGCGACAAATTCCTTGTCCAGTCAGTTCTCATCACATCGGAAGATGTCTCGAACATTCCAGCGATTTGGCAAGCGATTGAAAAGACCGCAAAATCGTCAATCCAGGAACGTAAAATCAGAGTCAATTTTCTGCCTGCTGAAGGCGCTACGTCCACCACCAACGGTGTTCCCGCACCCCATCGGAACTCGGAAGAGCCACCTGCCTATTCGTCTCCCTCACCCCAGTTTGGCTCTCCAGCTACGCATTCAGCCGTCACATCCACTGAAACGAAGGATTACGGGAAGAAGTCGGTAGACGAGACGAACAATTCATCATCGACTGCTACGGCCCCATCCACCGTTAGCTCCGTAGCGGCTGCAGTCTCAAGTGCTGTTCCTAAATCTCAGGAAGACCTGAAGCAACAGCTGGCAGATGCAAAAGCACAGATATCGAAGTTGACCAGTCAGTTGGGCGACCCTCAATTGCGGCAGAGGAAAGTCCAGGAAGCGAGCGAGAAAATGCAGACGGTTGTGCAACAAACTGGTGAGACTGGGGTACCTGTGCAAATTGTGGCGGGACTTTGCCTTCTCAGCTTCCTTCTGGCCTATTTCTTCTTTTGACCTACCCATAGGAGAATTTCATGGTGCTATTACTACCTCGTGGATTGGGTGTTGGATTGGGTTCAGAGCAGCAAATCAAGAGGCCGTACAGAAGTGCTCGTCACATTTAGAGGAAGAATGGCAGTTAGGCAAGGTCTCCCAGGAGGAGCTTTTTGAGAGTTGCCTTGTGCGACAGACTGTGTATGCCGATGTTGCATTACCTACTCCATTCATCATTTAATGTAACCAGCCATACTTGCGTAGACCGACTTGTTGTAGCTCTTTCACGGGCACTGAACATGCATGTTCGTCCAATTGTCACATTCTTAGAAATCCATCACTGAGCCATTTTCGGATGCGCGTAAAGATTCCTACTGTGCTGGTGGAGCCCTTATTATTCATTGTTAGCTGACAGCTATCCAAACATCTGATTATGGAAGGCCCACGTGGAAATCTAGATGGAGCCTTCAGCAATTGATGCAAGAAATCCCTGCTCGCCCCTGCATGACCCGGCGTACCACTCCGCAGAACATCCGCACCAAAACGATAACTTTTTCAACCTTCGTTGCCCTGTTGCTCTCGTGTCTTTCTCGGAATCAGTTTATGTTCCGCTTAATGATTATGGTCTTTTCCGTCATTTCCACCGAGACACGGGCACGACTACAGATATCCACAGCAGCCACAAGCCCCGAATCTGCCCCACCAGAGTCGAAATCGTCGCAATTGCAAGATGCAGCCTCAAAAGACGATGACTTCTTTTGGACATATACCGAGGAGCCTCATAGAACTCGACGACAAGCTATCATCAGAGCGCATCCTGAAGTCACCAAATTGTGTGGACCAGAGCCGCTCACCAAGTACCTTGTAGTGCTGGTTGTCCTACTTCAGATCTACTGCGCCTATGCTCTTTCCTCGACACCAGTTCTGTCATGGAGATTCCTCATGACAGCCTACATTGTTGGTGCAACTGCCAACCAGAATCTCTTCCTTTCCATTCACGAGATCAGCCACAACCTTGCCTTCCGCTCAGCATCTGCGAATCGAGCCATTGCAATCCTTGCAAACCTACCAATTGGCATTCCCTACTCAGCTTCTTTCAGACCGTATCACTTGACGCATCACAAGTCGCTCGGTGTTGATGGATTGGACGCAGATCTGCCGACACCTCTAGAAGCCATCTTTCTCGATTCTCTGCTTGGAAAGGCCTTCTTTTGCACATTTCAGATACTGTTTTATGCCATTCGACCAATGTTCGTATATCAAGTACCTCTGACAAAGGTCCACTTCGCCAACATATTCGTGCAATTGGCGTTTGACGCGTGCCTCGTTCGAGCATGCGGAGCGAATGCGCTGATATATCTCATTATGAGTTCTTTCCTCGCAGGCTCACTTCATCCCTGTGCAGCTCACTTTATTGCCGAACACTACGTTTTTGATGCTCCTGCGACAGTGCCCAAGCAACCCAGCAATGTACCAATTCCAGAGACTTACTCCTACTACGGTGGTCTCAATCTCCTCACCTACAATGTTGGATATCACAATGAGCACCATGATTTTCCAGCAGTGCCATGGAGTCGACTCCCTTCTTTGCATAAGATTGCAAAGGAGTTCTACGAGCCGTTACCTTACCACAAGAGCTGGACATTGGTGCTGTGGAAATTCATCCTGGATAAGCAAGTTGGGCTTTGGTGTCGAGTCAAGAGGGCTGAGGGCGGCCGTCTTGTTGGGTCATGGAAGGAGAGCGAAGTCCAAAACTAGAAATATAGATGCATAAACTAATCTTAGTCTCACGGAAAAAATCACCTTCAGACCTGATGGTGCTGGTTAATTGTGCGGGTTGTGATTCTTTTCGTGGTTTGGCAAGAGTAGCTCTTGTGATTTCTCTCCAGCCAACCTCCAGCTCTACAACCCACAACCCACAATCCACATCTGGATCTCACAATCCTCTTGTGCAGCTTCAAAAAGGGATATTCTTATGGCGCCACGCTTCAAGCGTAAGCGGCGGGCCTCTCTCACTTCTTCCAGTGCACGCACTTCCCAGAGCTGGAGCTCCCAGAGCAGCAGGTTCAAGCGACCATCATTACCATCGCAATCCTCTTCTAGAAGAAGGTCCATTGATCCCCCTTACAATCAAGCATCTAGTCACCATCATATCCCTCATGACCGTGATGCATCTCAACCGCAAACCTATCATGCGGCGGACAATGAGGAAGTCGATGAGGATCTGGAGCAAGTTGTTATGGCAATCGATCGACAGCAGAAAGGGACCATTGGCTGTGCATACTATGTCGCGCGCAATGAAACGTTATATTGCCTTCAGGACGTGATTGACGGGAGTCTTGAGGCGATCGAAACATGCAAGACTTACTATAATTGGTGCAGCAATGTCGGCATCGTTGACAAAAACTAGTGAAAATAGACATTCGGCCAACCATTGTCCTACTTTCTCCCAGAGTAGGCCCAGAAGACAATGACTCAGAAGCTACTCGACGACTAGGTCGTGGTTCACTCGTTGGTGATGGTCTGTATCTAGCGCACCATCAAAAGATGCGGACTGATTTTGGCGATAGTTGGATCGGAGCCTCCCCTTCCGTACCAAGTTGACATACGGCCTTCGCAAGAATTCGCCTACGAAGGAACAAAGACTAAGCTCATCAACCTTGAATCGGCGATTGCAAGAAATGATGGGACCATCTTCCTGGTCCCAGGAGATGCCTCGACCTATGATGATGAGCAAGACCACGAGAACTTTGGCTCCACTAACCGTCAAGGTAAATTGTTGCGTCTGTCAAGCTGGATTGACTTCGAGAGCCGAGTTAGTGCTGGATGTGTAGGGGCAATCTTGACTCATTTGCAAAGAAGAAGAGCTGCGGACTATCTACCAGACGATCCTGATGCTCAATGGGCCTTTCGAGTGAGAAGCTTAGAGATGTTCACTCTGCAAAATACTATGTAGGCATTTTATCCTCTGTTAGGCCTTCTCTAATATACACTTACAGGTTCATCAGTCCTGATACCCTACTTTCACTACAGATCATCCAGCCAGAATCTCATCCTAACGCATTCAACCAGGGTCCTGGCTCAACGGGCTCCAAAGAGTCACTTTCTATTTACGGACTGTTCCACCACTATGCTCGTACACCACAAGGCAAAGGTAGACTACGGCAGACCTTCCTCCGGCCCAGTCTAGATCTAGAAGAGACAAACCATCGACTCGATTTCATTGGTGTCTTCGTCAGGCCAGAAAACCAGATTCCACTACAGAAGCTGTCTAGGAGTATGAGCATGATCAAGAACATTCGCACTGTCATGATACATCTCCATAAAGGTGTCAATGGGGGCAACCAGAAATCTGGGGGATTTAAGTCTGGTGTCTGGGCAACGCTTCTTGAGTTTGCTCACCACACAATCGACATCCGAGACACTTTGCGCGAGGTGCTTGGTGGTGAAAGCTTGCCCCTGCTGGCAAAGTCTATGCAGGTGCTGGATACCCGATTGCTTCAGAGTGTGGGTAGGAATATCAATGACATTTTCGATCGTGAATCTTCGATTGAGCAGAACCGTACCGTCGTCAAACGTGGAGTTAACGATCAGTTGGATGACCTCAAGAATATCTATGATGGCATGGATGATCTTCTTTCTCGGACGGCACTTGAAATTGCTCGAGAGCTGCCCGATCACATTGCGATGAAGCTCAACGTGATCTATTTCCCTCAATTGGGCTATCACATTACGATACCACTCGATCCACACACCAGGCAACCACTATACGAAGGTGATCCAGACGATCCAGCGAGTGGAAGTCGGTGGGAACGTATGTTCACCACCGAGAACCAAGTCTATCTCAAAGACGATCGAATGCGGGCTATGGATGAAAGGCTGGGAGATCTGTGGAATATGATCTGTGGTGAGTGAAACTCCATGTTACTACTTGAAGCAGCGAATTAACCTATCACGGACCAGACCTCGAAATCGAAATCTCTTACGACCTCGCCCAACGAGTCCTTCAACACGAAGAAATTCTCATCTCGGTCTCCGACATCTGCGGAGAGTTAGATTGCATGCTTGCCTTCGCCCAAGCCGCACGTCAATACAACCTCGTTCGACCCCGGATGACCGAAAAGAATATAATTGACATCAAGAATTGCCGGCATCTGCTCCAAGAGATGACAGTCCCCTCCTACGTCACCAACGACGCCTTCCTAATCGGTGGTACTGACCCTGACGACCAATCCTACAGGCATACCTCGGAACGCCCAACCAGGCAACCTTCCTCCCATCCCCACGAAGACGAAGATGAAGATCCGCCACCACCGCGCATACTCCTGCTAACCGGCCCCAACTACTCCGGAAAATCCATTTACCTCAAATCCATCGCCCTAACCATCTACCTCGCCCACCTCGGCTCCTTCGTGCCCTGCACCTCCGCCCTCGTCGGCCTCACCGACTCCATCCTCACTCGCATCCGCACCTGCGAGACGGTATCCCGTCCCCACTCGGCATTCATGATCGATCTGCAGCAGATCGCTGGGATCCTCAAAATGGCAACGAACAGGTCGTTGGTGGTTATGGATGAGTTTGGCAAGGGAACAGACAGTTGTGATGGGGCAGGGTTGGTTGCTGGCGTGTTGCAACATTTGCTGGGCGAGATTGGTGAAGAAGGAGAAAGCGTGCGGCCGAAGGTGCTGGCCGCGACGCACTTCCATGATATATTTGAGATGGGATTCCTCCCGCCCCAGAACGGATTACAATTCGCGCACATGGAGGTGCGTGTTGATCGGAAACACCATCACGATGATGACCAGCACGCGGAAGCCGGTCAGTCCGCCACGCAGGTTACCTATCTGTATAATCTACGTCCAGGTCGGAGCACGGAGTCGTTTGGCACACAATGCGCGGCTATGAATGGGGTCCCTGCGCCGATTGTGCAGAGGGCCAGTCAGTTGAGTAAATTGGCGGCGAAGGGAGAGGATTTGGTGAGTGTCTGTGCGGTTGGCGGGAAGGAGGAAGAGGAGGATTTGGAGAGGGCGGAGGTGGTGGCGAGGGCCTTTTTGCATTGGGATCTTGATGATGACGGCGGGAATCATTGTGGTGTTGTAGGGAATGGGGATCCAAGGAGGGTGCTGGAGGAGTTAGTTGGGGAGGTAGCTGGGGAGATTGACATTGGTGTTCGGACAGGATCTGGAAGTGCAGCGGCTAATGGGATGGAGATGGAAACTGGATCGGGAGTTGAGATCGGTAGGGAGAATGCATCGGAGGTTTGAGGAGAGAGGCTTAAGGTATATGTCAGAAAGGGCTGCCTTGCCGCAGTATGGCTTTACAAGATAGAAAGGCCTCCTGCTCTGAAAGTCTAGCATCGTGTGAGTTGATGTACTGAGAGATGGTTCTCTAATCCGTCTAACATCATTTAGTACCCGTGATTCGTGTAAACTCTACGCGTATCATTTGCTGCCCTCGTCCACTTCCTCTCTTCCCCGTTGCCTGCACTTGCCAACAAAATCCGGCGCGACCAAATAACACCGCCACACTTCCCAACAGACTCGAAAACGGATCTACAAGGCCATCCCTCGAGCTTGCGCCCATCCTCATACCCGTAGAAGATGGCCCAGAAATATCCTCGTGATGAGATAGTTGCCCTTCTCTAGCCTCTGGGCCGCGATCCTAGCTACTTCATCCGGGTGCTGGGGCTTATCGTCTTGTTTTAGCATTAGAGTCAGGGTTGGTTCTAGCTTGTATTCATCCTGATAGCCAGGGTGAGGATGGCCGTGGGAAACAGGTTGTGGATTCTAATATCCATTGAACTGGGAGAAGAAGAAGAAGAGATGTTGTGTATCTTGTTGTACAACGCACTATGCATAGCTACTACGTACTCCTTGCACGAGGGTGTCTGATAGGGAATTTCATGAGCCCTTTTGCACAGGTGTAGGGGGCGTAGCCGGACACCGGGAAGCAGGTTAGGGTTGAGGAGGTGAACATGATGTATTTTGACTCAGTCGAGGAGTGCTCTTCCAGGGATTTGACAAGCTCTTTGGGTGTAGAGGCTAACCAGCGGTTGAGCGTGGCATGGGCCATGTAAGCTGCTGACTAGCAGCTGGTGTCCATTTCTCTACGGATGGCATCAATGGAGGTGTTTGTGAAGAACCCGGGGATGCAGTGGCTGGCACAGCACCAGATGATGGAAAGCTTGGGTGCATTTTGGCCAACTATCACAACATTCGCTCCTTTGGATACGATATGCTTGGCTGCCGACAGATCCAATTCTGGGAGCCGCCAGTGATGATTGCAGTCTACGGGTGGCAGGTCAGCAGAAGTTGAAAAAATTAGAGGATATGCCGAGGGCAACCTTCTGATCCAAAGGGAAATGGTTCTTGGTGGAGAGGGACCCCATGAACGTCAGAGCCAGCCAACCGAATAGTCAGGTGGATGCTAGGGTCTGTTGACGCTCTCTGCCTGGAGTTGGCTTGCCGTGCTACCTACTTTTTCCATCGACGCATGAACTCTGATGCTCCATTAAAGCAGCAATTTGAGCTGGAGTCTTGGGCAACAGTTGGATTAAGCGCAGTGCATGCCACAGTTTTGCCAAGAAAAGAAAAATCATGCGCATCACTGCACTGCACTGCAGCAATCAGCTACGCTTCCTCCTCGCCGCCTCCCCGCCGCCTCCCTCTGCCTAAATCTCCCTGTAAAGTAGCGATGAGTTCACGGAGTCCGTGCTAGCAACATCTGCGTCTCACTCGTCGGACCCTGTTGCCCATTCCAGTTTCTCTTCCGGGAACCTGTTAGCGAACATTGCGATCGCCAATTGACCAACACACAACGGATCTTGGCGTTCTATCCTTTAATAAATGTGCTGACCATCTTTGCAACTAAATTACCATCATACGTCACGCAAAAGGCATATCAATCCTCTGCTTGCCGAATACTTAACCAGCTTAAGGTAAGTGGCTGAGCAACTCTTTTCCCGGCTTCGTTGGTCATCAGGAAGGCGAGATCTTCGCTTTCTGAAACGCGATCTCGCTAAGAAGATGCGCAACACAAAGATTCCACAGCATATAGAACGCCACCTACGTGTAACGCATTTTGTTGACTAAAGGAATAGATGGTCAAGCGAGATTGGCCGTTCGTTATGGCACTGCCACCCTTATGCCATGATCGTCAAGGCGGCAGCACTCTGGGGCAGGACGTCTATAAAGTGGCCGGGGTCGAACCCCAAGTAACATAGAGCCAGAAGATATTGCAGGCATCAAGTGGAATACCTTGAGTATCTTTTAGCCAGACCACTCATAAGAATCACGCAGAACACCCCACGACATTTCCTTGTCAAAAATCCATATCTTTACAAACCGTCCAAGCCTACAAAAACAAAGTTTCCACCATGCATTTCACCACAATCCTGAACACCGCCTTCCTCGCCATCGTCAGCGGCGCCCTCGCCGCGCCCCTGGCTCAGTCAGGCTCCGGCTCCAGCTCGTCGAACTACTTTCCCAGCGTCACCGAAATTGGCTGGTGCATGATCCCTTGGAATGTGGACGATTGCGTCAAGGCTCAGGGCCACGCTGACATCGCCGCCCAAGCCGCCCAGAACCTCTTCCCCGCCAACACCCTGCACAATGGCAAGGGCGACGCCTTCCGCCACTGCTACTGGAATGCCCGCATGACCATCGACCTGGGCGCTGGCAACGCCAAGAGCATCGGCGATAACCACGAGGATGGGTCCAATGGCCCGGCGGAGGAGAAGAGGATGGACCTTGCAAACAATGCGTCCGGAAGAAATATTGGCGCCAGTGCGGGAAGTTATGCCAGTGCACAGGAGGCTTGTAGGGTGGCTGCCGTGAATGGGAGGCTGGTGACCTTGAAGTAGACAGCCGAGAGTGGGACCGATCAGGGCTTGCCAATATCAGTTGTTCATAGGATATGTCTCTGATATGTGAATGGGCGCTTCTGCTTTCAATACCCGTAGTCTTCGTGATATTGGTCGGAGGAAGGAACCTGGAGCTCATGTCAACAGCCACAAAATAAATCATCAGAATTTGAATTGATGGACTTAATTATTTATCCCCCTCATACTAGTGACATCTTGAGCTAGATGAGACTAACTTCTAGGCAAAGTCAATCTCTACCGTGGTTGACAAGTCATGATGTTCGAACCCATCTTATTTAGCAGGAAGAGGCCCTCTTCAAAATAATGCTAGGGGAGCCATCAAAGTGCGCTTAGGTTAAGTCTTATCGTAAGATTGTTTAAAATGTGCAAAGATACATAGCTTAGTTATCTATGATCTAATGAAATATTATTATCCACCACGTATTTTGCTGAAAATATAGTCACAGTATAATTTGACCGAATAGCTGTTCTTTCCATCAACGGCACTTAGCTCATTTATTTAGCTACCCCTTCTCTTGGCAAGTAGGTTGTGAACCAAAACTGGGTCGCACTTCGGTCATTATGGTCGCCTACTTTATCTGTGAACAGTCTCTGAAGGGGTGGCACCATTCTCTTTAATGTCCTTTTCGTTGCATCCTGGTGAATATGTCAGAAGCCCACAAGATGGTTTACAACAAACATTATGTTCCGCTCGAGTCGAATCCCACAATCTTTACAAGGTTGATACATGAGTTGGGCGTCTCGCCTTCGTTGGCTTTTTATGATGTTCTGTCGATCGACAATTCCGAGTTGCTCGCTTTCACTCCTCGGCCTGCACTTGCCCTTATTCTTGTCTTCCCTACTTCCGCCAAATACGAGGAGCACAAGGCCAAAGAAGAAGCATTAAGGAAATGCTATGATGGTTGCGGCGAAGATGAGCAGGTGATGTGGTACAGACAAATGATCAACAACGCCTGTGGACTTTATGGTATTTTGCACGCTATCAGCAATGGAGATTCTAGGCGATTCATCCGTGAGTGAATGAACATTCTCTGTCAATGAAGACGTGTACAAGCCTACTCGAATCGAGAATCTTTATCACGTGGCAATCTTTCACCATCTCGTGGGGATCTAAGGAGCTGAACGAGTTCTTTCACCTTCGAGAAAACACTGACTGTGCATGCATCCCGCAATTTTAGTTCCTGATTCCCACTTGTCCCGTTTTCTTGAGAGCTGCCGACAGTTGAAGCCTCTCGACCGCGCCCGGATGCTAGAGAATGATGCCGAGCTTGAATCTGCTTATAGCATGTTTGCTCTACAAGGCGATTCAGAGGTTCCCGAAAACCCCGAAGACGAGGTCGATTTTCACTATGTTTGTTTCGTGAAGTCACACAAAGATGGGCATCTGTATGAGATGGATGGTGACCGCAAAGGGCCAGTGGACTGGGGTCCTCTAGGATCAGATGAGGACGTCCTCGATGAGCGTAGTCTCTATCTGGTTCAGGAATTCATTCAGAGGGAAGATGGATGCAACGCCAATTTTAGTTTGCTTGTTTTGGCACCTGCGTGATCACCGTACATTCATACCTGTCTTCATATCAATGCGTTTCGTTGACAATATTCCACTTTCATCTGTATCAACAAGGGCGCAGAGGTATATCCCCTAGCTAGCTATTATATGATTCAGCAGGATCATGAAATTAGGAGGCGATATATAGTCCTGGAAACCATAAATCTTCGGTTATACTAGCTACCATGGAGCTCGGCTTGGATTCATAAAACCCTAAGCTAAAGCATCAATCGGGCTCATAACTGTTGGGCCAAAAGGACCGCGGCCCTCAGAGAATCGTAAATCAGCTTATGTTTGACATGTTTCTTCAGACGATTATTCCTCCTTCGAGGCGACTAGCTATCTAACATAGCCACTAGGATGCTGCCATCTCCTAGGGTGCCTAAGCGCCAATTGGCCTTAGTTTGACAGGTACACCAAATTACTACAAATTACTACGTAAGCCTTCCGGGCTTCTTGTACACTGTGACCTGGATAGACATCTCTAGTACTTACTTAACTGCCATAAATTTAATCCGGATCCATCTGATATTCATAGTGTTGGTATAAAGACCACAGCAGCAATGCAGAGTAACTAGTGTGGTTGACCTCAAAACGAACTGGGGCTAAAGATGGGCCAAGATTTCATCCCGCACCTACAATATTTTTTAGTGCTGATAGCTCTGAATTACCAACCACATTGTCCGCCAAACAACACAGACTCTGGATCATGGGCAAGAATCAGAACTCGAATGGGCATGATTCTACGAAACATACCTCGAAAAGCGTGGAGCAGACGAAATACAAAGTGAATGAAACATTCGCAGACTCCGAAGATGAGTTCTTCGCCGGACGAGATCAAATTTTACTTGACGATGGCCCTTCCAGCAAACGGCGAAAACTCCATGAAGATGGTAGGCAAAATCGAAATCTTACTAAAATCTGTGGTGACTAAGCTAAAAGGCTTCTAGATGCATTCTTACAGCTCTCAGACGAAGAAGTCCTAGATTATGACGAAGACGACGACACCGAAGATGACATTCCTGAATCAGATGGCGAGGCTTCAGCATTCGAGAGACCAGACGAGGAAGGGGAGGAGGAGGACAATTTGCGAGACTGGGGAACCTCCAAAGCCGACTACTACAACGCAGATGCCATTGAGACGGAAGCTGACGCACTCGAGGAAGAGCGGGAGGCACGCAGACTTCAGCAGAAGCAGCTCCAGAAATTGAGTGAAGCGGACTTTGGTTTCGACGAAAATCGATGGATGGAGGAAGACAGTGCAGGGATTGAGTTGCGGAGGGATACTTTCACGGAACGACTGCCAGAGCTGGAAATCAAAGAAGATGCATCTTCGGAAGAGAAGGCCCAAATCCTGAAAAGCAGATATCCAGAATTCGAGCCGCTTGCAAAGGATTTTGTGGAGCTCCAAAATTTGCACGAAGAACTGACTTTAGCTGCAAAGGCAGCAGAGGCAGTTGTTAAGGCGAAGGGTTCTTCAAGGAAGGGCGAGAACGGGGCCATTGTGGAAGATTTGCTGGTGCACGAGACACCTATTGCTACGATCAAGTTAAGGGCTCTGTCTACGTATCTTGGGACAATTGGAATGTATTTCGCGTTGTTAACCTCCACAACGAATCCTGCCTCTTCGAACGCGCTTGCTTTGTCACCGGCCGAGCTTCGAGATCATCCAATTGTTCATAGTCTTTTCCGGGCAAGACAGCTATGGGAAAATATCAAGGATACTCCTTTACCAGAACTCCAGGCCGTGGCCAGAGAAGCGGAGTCGGGTACTCTGATAGAAGCTGAGCCGGAGCCCCGTATGAACGGAGCGAGCATACCGAATTCCATGAATGATGACTACGTTGCAAAGAAGAAGAGGAGAACGAAGACGGAAAGAGCAGCTACAAAGGCACAGGAGCTGGTCGAAGCTAAAAGACAACTGCAGATGAAAAGGACCGAGGCTAAACTTGCCGACCTAGATGTCCTTTTATTGACCAAGCGAAAAGAGGCGAGGCTCAAGGATATCGGGAGGAAGAGCAATGGGGAGGAGAACTCCGAGTTCGGCGATGAAGAAGCCCTTACAGCACAAGAAGTAGCCGAAAAGGCCCTCAGAAAGAAGAGTCTTCGCTTTTACACTTCCCAAATTGCGCAAAAGTCCAACAAACGTGGTGCTGCTTCCAGAGATGCAGGTGGAGATGCAGATCTGCCATATAAGGAGCGACTGAAGGATCGCCAAGCAAGATTGATGCGCGAAGCCCAGCGGAAAGGGCAATCTCAGGCTGGGGAAAATGAGCGTTTAGGTAGCGAGGCCAGCGGTGACGAGGCAGAAGACATTCGATTGGCCAAAGAGGTCAGAGGTGACGGTGTTGACGAAGATGACTACTACGATATGGTATCTGCTCGTACGAAGCAGAAAAAGGACGAAAGGAAAGCATTGGCTGAAGCTCAGGCTCAAGCTGTTAAGGAAGGCGGCCAAGTCTATATTGAAGAAGAGGTAGGACCAGATGGGAAGCGGGCAATCACCTATGCCATCTCCAAGAATAAAGGACTGGCGCCCAGACGAAAGAAGGAGATCCGTAATCCTCGCGTAAAGAAAAAGATGCGGTATGAAAAGGCGAAAAAGAAGCTTGGGAGTATCCGTCCGATTTACAAGGGTGGAGAAGGGAGAGGTGGTTACGGCGGAGAGCTGACAGGCATCAAGACCAATGTTCTGAAGGGTGTGAAGCTATAGGCCACTGTCGGGGTAGACGCTTGATTTTGTCGAACATCCAATCGAGATTCTACCAGTCAAAAACCCCTTTCTATATAAAGAAACTTAAAATATATGTTGGCAAGATGTAGTCTTGTGCGAGATCAACGTTGCCTTTTTGACTCGTGATCTTATGTCTTGGTAGTAGTAATGGTACTCTACTAGTACTACTTAGCAGGAAGAGGCCCTCTTAAAATAATGCTAGGAGAGCCATCAAAGTGCGCTTAGATTAAGCCTAACCATGATATTACTTAGAGAGTGTAAGAATATGCAACTTAGTTGTCTGTGATCTAATAAAATCTTATTATCTATAACGTATTTTATTGAAAATATGATTATAGTATAGTCAAAATATGCCTCTCTTATCATATTAATATGCTCTTTGCGAGCACGCAAGGCATTGATTGAATCAATAGGATGATGAGCTTCTACCTTCTCGTGGTATCCAGCGTGAGTACTCGCTTTCGAGGAAACGAAACGAAGCTCAACACCTGGAAGGCGGGTGGGTGCGAGCCACAGGGTCGGGCTACGACGCGTGGCGAACAACAAAAGGCCTTCACGGCCGCCTGCGGATGAGTGTGAGAAGATACATCTGGTAACGAATCGAATCTCGAGAACCTGTTGTATGAGTGCCGGCACCACAAGTTGCTCTTCAATAATCGATTCGCTCTTATTGAAGCGTGCCTCAGAAGTGGCAAGACGAGATGACTTACAGAGCTCTACTCACAAGGATCTACAAGGACATCATAAATACGAACATATTCGAGTGAAGACGACAAGCCAAAACCTACTGAACACCCTCTGTTACCCTTGAACGTACAGTTATAATCAAATCTAACCGAAAAAACCTCACAGACAAAACCTTTACAGTACAACACGAACTTGTACAAACAAGAGAAACAAAATACAACAAGATTTATTTAGCTATTTATTTATTTGATTCTTACACCGATGTGGTCCTGGCCTAGGGCTGGTCCATGCGGGGGATACGTACAATTAAGAGCAGTTATAACTCTTAATAACAAACAAGAACAAACGCAAGGAAACCTTTCTAGGGAAAAAACCTTACCGCCAGTGAGTGGACGAGTTCTTTGGGGCGCTTCGACGGTGTGCACAGGGCTCTGTAGCTGCAGTGTAGTTAGGCGCAAAGTTGTTCAGCCGCAAACGAGAACTGAGGGAGGGCCCCAGCCTTCATTAGCCAAAGCGTTACTATCTTGAGGGCCTTTGGATCGTCGAGGAGACGGCGGTAATCTGTCGTGCCGGCGGCGGCGAGCATCTTGTGTCTGTCCGAGAGCAGCGGGCAGTCCATAACCACGTGTTGGGCAGTCTGTCTTCTCCAACCGCACCCGCAGGATGGTGAGGGGATGTCTGGAACGTTCTGTTTGAAGAGGAAGTCTGCGAAGCCTATTTTGTTAGTCCTTAGCTGTGTGGTAA